TGACTATGGCACATGGGATGACGTCGGTAAATTCTTGCCATGAGAACCCGGGTGTCTTAGTTGCTAGATTAGTTAGCGATTGTGCCGTCAATGATGACTTGTCTTGTAGCCGAAAAGCAGCCCAATACTCATGGTCGCCAGCCTTGCCTATTCCGGCGAAGTCGATGAGAAACAGAGAACGGCACGTCTTCCGAGATTTGAATTTGCCGAAGTGTCATTACCTAATATTTTTATGTACACGCGCTTGACACATATACGTAAGGATTGGAATAGATACTGGAGAGAATTGCGTGAGATCCATCAATGCCAGAGCCATTTGTGCCTTGCAGTTCAGCACAAAGCGATTTCCTGTAAGTCATCTTCGACGACAGCTCCCCATCCTTGGCCCCACATCAGGGCATCAACGAGAGCGAACCCGATGAGTTGGTAATTGTCGCTTCCAGAAACCTCGCGCAAGACAAGGGGCATCGGAACACCCGCAACGAGGAAGATCACATCCCCAACCTTCGTGTTGGCGGGGCAGTTCCCAGTCGCCAATGGGTGAGGAGCAGTTACAAACACGGACCTGCCCTTCTTGGCCATCTCGTTGCATATGCTCGTGTGAAATTCCATCAACTCAGGTGTGGCCAGCATGGACTCCAAAACATCCCTGACCAAGATGTTATCTCCACTTCGGACTAGACCATCCCAAATAGCCCAGAGATGTTCAAAATTTGAAAAACGGGCTGGTTTCTCTGTCATGTCGACATAGTGAATTCTGCGGAGGCTTGTGTCTACAAAGACACTGCCCCAGCCGGCATTGACCCTTTCAACATTGGCGCGATGCTGGTCCCGAAGTATGATAATGTTGTGAAGGTGGGTCCCGGAGTAGTCCATTACGGTGTCGGTGTGCTCAAACGGTCCTCCACACCAGTCGACGCGATGAATTTTGCGGCCTCGTACTACCAGTCTGTCATCGTCATGGAGCACCCACCAGGGGTCCGAGTCTGGAGTAGTATTGTTGCCTGCCCGTCCAAATAGCTGGGAGGGCTTGAGCCACATCTCTTCACTGTCAAGCTGCCTGTCTGGCACCCAGGAGGGCTTGCCGTCAGCTCGGGGTCCGTTTGCGCAGAGCAGAAGATTCATCGATTTTGTCCAGATCAGGAGCTGAACGAATAACTCCTTTTGTATGTCGCCAAGGTCTCTTGAGTAGTCAGGCGTAGTAAGCGAAAGCCCCAGCTTCTGGAGAATGGCATGCATGCCATACGACTGGTCTTTGGGGTTTGTTGCCTTTCTTGTCCGAATTTCTTGAATGATTGCCTCGACAGAGTTCATCTTGCCCCCCAGTTGCAACTGGTCATTATTTCCAAAACTGACAGCAGGTATGGAGCCGAGCAACAACACCAATATGCCCAGTGCTTGTAGCCAGGCCCATGGGAGGTCCACCTCCGTCTCCCGTAGCCACCTGGCCCAAGACGGCCATTCGTTGATGTAGGGCCCAAGATCTGCCCGAACCAGCTCGAGGAACAATGCTCCTACAAGCCGATACAAAACGAACAGGAGAATTGCAACCAGAAAGAACAAAAAAGTGCCAATCAACATCCAGTACATGCGTAAATAATAGTCGATGACTCTGTTGATGAAGGTAGCATACTCTGGAAGGCCAGCTGCTAGGGATGTCTGTCGAAGCCATGCCGATGGCTGCCGAATGGAGAACCAGATTGACGCCAGCCCTATCCATTTAAACGTGGTGGATTCGGGGATTTTCACGGGAAATTTCGCGCTCGACAGTTCCATGAATAAGAGGCTCCGCGATGACGACCGCCATGGTAGGACTCTAGATCCACAGCAGATGATGGGATCTGACGCTAAAAGAAATTCTTGAAGCGTCCACACTCGGCTTGCCCAGACTCGAGCGAAAAAGTCATTCAAGATATCCTGCGTCATCCAACTATCGGGAAGACTATTAAGCCATTTTCGAGAGAAGTCCTTGAAGAAGTCGCGTGTTACTGAAACAGAGTTACATTGAAAGAATTACAACGGCATAGTGTGCAGATTTTGGCCCAACAATCATACCATATCTTCACAAGTGACCAAGCCCGCATATCTTACAGAGTATCGTGAAAGCGAGGAATAGCAAATTGGCTGGGTTGCAATAAATGGCTGGGTCCAAGCCTGTGGTTGCAGGAAGATACTTCTGGAACCCCGCCTGAGACAGATAGTCGATGGCTTGATCGGACTCAGGGGTGCCTTCTCCCAGCCAGATGTAGACATTCCTTGCCAGAGAGTATATCTCACCCATCAATGGAACTTGGTCTTCTTTCTCTTTGATGTCGCCTTGGTTGATGCATATTGCATCTATTCAAACGGCAATTGCTCCAAATCGCGTTCTGAGATGCATCAATGCTGACCAGCAATTTGATGACACCGGAATGTCGTGATGCCCGATGGTGATCGTTTGCGGTGGACAGTCGAAGGTCCCCCAGACGTACGAGAGGGCATTGAAATCGGGCTTGTCGCTTAGCTTCATAATCCGTAGGTTGCCATGAATGGGACTTTGAGGATCACCGTTCCAAGAACTGTCGATCTCTAGCACTCGAATTGAGCGCGATCCACGTGGAAGCGGCAACGTCGAGTAGAGGTCACCTGGTGGATTCGCCACGCTGTCATCAACAGGCGGTAAAAGCGGCATCAACTCCATCGGAGATGATGGGAAGTATTTGTCGGGACGAAAGGTCAAGTTGGCACTGGGGCAATAAGACGCGCATTGTCTGGTCCTTCACATGAATGAGAGAGGAGAGTGGCTGTGTTGCTGTTGTCCTGCTACCAGGGAAACATGTTTATATCCATGTTTCTCGGGCACCGCCACAATCTGACAGTGAAAATATAAATAAGGCAACCAAAGCCAGGTAGATAATGGTTCGCGATGCCTCATAGGTTGATTATATAATAGAGGCTGTCTCGCTTACCTGCTTCAGATGGTGTTAACAAATCAACAGGCTGTTAAAAAGCACGCACTGATCAGTTAGTGCTATTTTTAGCAGGAAACCATCGCCTTCATTCCTGTTCGGCGATGTGCTGAAGGTTTTGGGGCAGCGAAACCATGTAAATGTCTTTGCTCTGTATCCGTAGTAGAACTGGACTGACAACCGACGAGACATCTGTGAACCGGGGAAAGCATGCGTATTTGGAAGCTTGGACATTGACAGCCTCATCACGGGATGGTTGATACCCGCATCTCATTATGTTTCTCATTCTGGATCAGGTTTCTTTCGTATATCAAGTTCGCTTACTTGCTAGCTGTCCAAGCTAGGTAGACTCAATGGAAGATCTCAAGTCTGACTCGACCTCTTTCATGAATTCGACTTAGCTAGCTATTAACATCGGCTTTGCTCGGTCTTGAGAATCCCTCCTCATTCGTCCGCGGAAACTTTGGAGGTATTGTTCGGCAACTGAGAAGTCACAGAACTTGCTATTCTCTGTCGGGAGCCTTTCGTTGCACTTTATAACTGACTATGAACGCAGATTTTCAGGTTTCCGTAGATGTTTGCAGGCGATCTTATTCAATATCTGCGAGAATTGTTCCGGGAAGCTCTGAACGCAGCGGAACCTTTTGTGGTTTGAATCCGCAGCCTGACAAATTGAGCAAGAACTGCAATGCTTATGTCGTTCAGTTTAGGTATTTTTCTCTCATTTTGCATGGTGTCCTAGAGTGGGCCTCGGTGTATTTCAACCTCGGGAAATGCTCAACTCGGGTTCGGCTCAGATATCCACATCATCCATACAGGGTATGGACGGGGCTAAGCCACAGATCAAATAGCCAATGAGCGCTTGGTTTTCGGATGATAAAAGAACCTCCAGCCGGGCCAAAGGGGTTTGAGAAACTATTCAAGATGAATTCCGAGCTTTTAGAACCACAGATCATGCTAATCCTCCACTCAGCGGAAGAGTAAGAGGAAATCAAGAATCCGTGGACCAGCACTTCATGCGCTCTTCGGTTAAAAGTAGACTACCGGCAGTGATAGGCACTCCGCGTTAATGCGAAGAAAAGCGATGACTGTGGTGAGCGTTGCAAGCTAAGGTCACATCAATCAATCAAATACAAAGATGATGGACGATAATGTTCTCCACCTCAGGGAGTTTGCCTCAAAGTGGATAAGGCAGAATACTCATGAGATGGCCACTAGAGTCAGCAACTTGCGATTCTCTGAAGATAATCCGAGCCTCCAAGTGATGGTTTTGCGTGTTCAATGTAATACGGCCCCACACCATGCCTTGGTCGTAGAGGGCGTTGCTTGGTCGTAGGGGGCGTTTTCGACGGAGTGGCTCAGAGCAGGGGAAGTAAAGTAAATATCCGCAAGTCAAGATCGGTATCTGTGCGACACAGCTCTGGCCAACGAGTCCAAGAGAAGTTGCGATCTTCCGCATTCTGTGCTGGATGTTGTGACTAAGCGGCATCATGACCTTCTTCAGACTAGTACCATCGAGGCTTGGTCTGTCAAAGCATCCACTTCTCAACAAGGTAGCTGAGCTTCTAGTAAATCCTCTGTCAAAGGGAGGCGTCTTTTCAATCAGTTAAAATGGTGATGTGATTTGACTCTGTCACTAACACTGCGTGACTAAGCGGCATCATGAGCTCCTAGACTTCTCGAGGCCAGCGAGCGCCGCACTGCCGAAACTACGTTGCCCGCGTTTTCCTGAAAATCTCCACTTTCCGACGGGCGACCAAGCCTTTGAAAGCCGTTCAAACTAACATGGAAACACAGAGTCCTGGACGAGATTGCTTCGGTAGTTCGGGCATATGATTGTAAAAGCCAAAGCCGGTCACCAGTGGCAGCGGAAGGGTTTCGGACAACTTCGAGGAAGCCGGTTTGCCGGACCATATACTGGACGGAGATGGTTGATGGATTGATCAAGTTCAGAAAGGCAGCTTCGAGCTATAAAGCCCACAGTCCTCTTCCAGAATATCACGTATCTTCCGTCTTACAACACACTCAATTCGATTTCTAGCCACTGCAATCATGAAATCTCTCACTCTTTTCTCATTCACAGCCTACCTCTCAGTCATTGTTGGTGCTGGCCAAGCTGCCGTCAACCCGCTCCTTCAGGCTTCTGAGCCAGATGTAGTCCAAGGCACCATACGCATTCATGGCGACGATGCCTACCCAGTCTTCATGCGCCGCCTACTTCCAACCAACGCACCGCGAGCTCGTTACCCTGGGTTCAAGCAGGAAACCTTGCTCCTCAAGAACGGGACCATTCGCAGGGAGGGGGCAATGCCTCTGAGCTGTGACATCGTGTTCGAGAGGGATGTCCCGGTCACCCTCCGCGACGGCATTACCATCTACACAGATGTTTTTCGTCCGGTCGGAGATCAGCCTGTCCCAGCCATTGTGGCTTGGAGTCCTTACGGAAAACAAATCGGAGGCCAGTGGCTCGACGACCTTGCGAACCGGTCGAATGTTCCCCTTTCCCTTGTTTCCGAGCTGCAAAAGTTTGAGGCCCCTGACCCGGCCTACTGGGTATCCAAGGGATACGCCATATTGAACCCCGACGCCCGCGGAGCTTACGCCTCGGAGGGCAACATCACCTACTGGGGCCGCCAACTCGCCGAAGATGGATACGACTTTATCGAATGGGCCGCAGACCAATCCTGGAGCAATGGGAAGATAGGCATGGCCGGGAACTCATTTCTCGCAATCTCACAGTGGCACATTGCGGCGTCGCAACCCCCACACCTGGCAGCCATTGCCCCCTGGGAGGGCGCTACGGATGTCTTGCGGGCAGCAGCAACATCGTTTGGACTTGGGAACTTAGGCTTCGAAGAGGCCATCATAACTACTTTCTCAGGAAACAACTATGTCGAAGACACCCCCAGGATGATGTTGAACAACAGTTTGGACAACATTTACTGGCGAAATCGGAGCCCCAACTTGAGTAATATCACAGTTCCAGCTTATGTCGTGGCGAGCTACACCAATCTCGCGCACACTCACGGCACCTTTGACGGGTTTCGGCACATCAGCTCCGATAAGAAGTGGCTTCGGATGCACAATACTCATGAGTGGCAGGACTTTTACGTCCAGGAACACACTGAAGAGTTACGTGCCTTTTTCGATCGTTTTCTCAAAGACAGCCCGAACGACTGGGAGCAGACACCACGAGTACGAATTTCTGTTCTTGACCCCGGCTCCAACGACACTGTCGGTCGCGTTGTCGAGGACTGGCCTGTGCCGGATCTGCAGTCTACCACCCTCTTCCTCGGCTCCAACCGGACCCTCAGTCGCCATCCTATTCCCTCTTCCACCTCCGTATCCTACGAAGTCAACGCGAATACCACTGGCGTGCTGTTCTCTTACACAGTCACAGACGTTGTTGAGATCATCGGGTACGTCAAAGTCCGTCTTTGGGTGGAGGCGAAAGGTTCAGATGATCTGGAGCTTGCCATCACGGTCGAGAAGAGGGATGCTCAAGGCAATCCGTTTCCTCGGGTTGGTAGTGCAGAGAGCACCGATCCTGCGGCCCGTGGAAACATTCGCGTTTCCCGCAGAGCACTCGACGAGACTCGGTCGACTCCATCTGAGCCTTACCTGTTGCATGAACGAGAGGACTTGCTGAGTTCTGGCGAAATCGTTCCTGTTGACATCGGTCTATGGCCAACAGCTCTGCGGTTCCATCCGGGCGAGAAAATAGTTCTCACAGTTTCTCCAACTATGCTGACACCATCAACTTTAGACATGGGATTTGGAGTTGGAGGCATTGGAATTCCGGAGGAGAATGGAACTTATGTGCCAGGTACAAGCCCTACTATGCAGCAGCTGGGTGGGAACTCTACCAACCCTCTCTTCGTGGAAGCGCAGAGAACCAGGACCTCCACAACTCGCAACAAGGGGTCTCATGTCCTCCACTTTGGTGGTAAATTTGACAGCCATGTTCTCTTGCCTTTGAACACAACTAGCAGTCACAGCTCTTGAACCCTCGGGCAGGAGCTTCCACACTGGCACTGGTAGGTGCACAGAAGGAGTCGATGGCTGCAATGTGAACAGTGAGAAATGATTGCGGTGCAACAATAAGTAGGCTCTTCAATACAACGTGTGGAATCTTCTCGAGATGAAAACAATAAAATGATTTGAAACCCTTCAAGTATTAATCCCTGAGATATGTAATCTCTACTTTCCCCGGCCATTCCGCCTTGAGATTCTCAGCCAAAAGTCGTGCGTGATCCAAAATCCAGCACTCCAAAGCTTCAACGGCTTCTCAGGTTTAGCAATGGCAAAGTCGTATCTCCGAAGGAGCTATGACGGTCAGCTTGTCAGTAACAGAAAAGTCATCAGAACGGCGTCATGAGACAGCTTACCTCGACGAAAATCTTGTTCAACTCCATGAGCGCGATATTTCTACCCATGCAGTAAAACTTGCCAAATCCAAAGACGAGATCTGTAGTTGCAACCATCATCCTGAACTTCTCGTTGTCATTTGTAGCCTCAATCCACCTTTCTGGCCTGAAAAGATGAGCATCAGGACCAAAGACCTCTCTTGTTCTCCCAATGCTGCAGACGTTCTCTCCTAGCTGCGTTCCTGCCGGCAATTTGTAACCGTGAATGGTGTCGCCTCCTTGCGGCACCTCCTTGCTCACAACGCCGGTTGAGGGTGGGTAGAGACGAAGTCCTTCTCGGATGACTGCCTGAAGATATGGCATGGACTTGGCCTCTGAGTCTCTGACCGGAAAGCTCAGCATTCCAGCAGCAATGCCAGCATCTATCTCTGTACGAAGCGCTGCGAACGCGGAAGGGTTCGATAAAAGCGACAGCAGTATCATGCGGATGGCAGTGGCTGTCGTATCTGATCCAGCTATTCTGAACGTTGTTAGCCTAAGCTTTTGTGACAAATAGACGCAGTTTGGTAAAAGACGTACGTTTCCACATAGACCTCCTGTGTCAACTCTTCTCGAGTGAGACCGGCATTGATAAAGGACTGTATCATGTCTTTCCCTGGTTTCGTATCAGGGGCCAATCTGCCGTCGACAAATGTCTTCGCAAACCTGATGCCATAGGTTAATGCCAATGCTCTTTCTCCATTTTTTACTTTGATTAGATCTCACCCCATAAGTGCCCCGAAGCCGGCCGAATCTGCTGACTTCGGCAGCCCCAGGTTAAGAGGCCAGCTGTGCATGAGCTTGGCCAGCCAGGGTACGTTTCCCATCGTGATCATCACTGGGAAAAACGCGTCCTTTGTAGCAACATATTGATACAGGTCACGATCTTCCTTCAAGAAGCCGTATGTGTGGCCGAAACCAAGCTCACTGATTACATCCAGGGCCAAGTACGTCGACTTGCTGGCCATGTCCATGGGTCTGAACACGTTTGGTGTGGAAATGTACTTAGTGTCGATGAGGTCAATAAATGCGGCAATTTGCCTGTCAATACCAGCTTCGAAACCACCATTTTCAAGGCCGGAATACTGAAAATGTCAGTGGGAGCTGCAGATCAAAGACACGTTTTCGCTGCGCGAGCTGGACTTACACCCGGGCCCATTTTGCTCTTCAAATGCATCCGCTTCTCCTCATCGCGCATCGAAAAAAGGTGATCCTCGCCTGGCGTCGTTCTTCCAACTGCGTACCACTCGCCTTTCGTGTATTTGCTCCGCGCAGCCGCGATTCTTTTCAAGGTATCGGGATCGCTGAACATGACTGTGTTTGGTCCGATTCGGACAAGGGGGCCTATGAAATCTCAGCGCGCATACCAGGCAGATGTTAGAACCCAGCTCTCACCGTATTTCTCGTGAAGTTCCATGTAGTACTCGTGAACGGATCCGTTGAGCGCCGCGCGCGCCATGGAAAAGCCGGTGATGGCGTGCCAGAACGGGCCTGGGACATGTGATAAGCGGTACCAAAGCCAGAACTCCCTCGCGAAGAGGCCGCCGACCGCCAGGACGGCGAAGAGAATCACGAAGCCCATGTTCGAATATTTCTTGGATTCTTGCAGGCCACGGTATGCATGAGATCTCCGCTGGATGATGTCGGTGAAGAACCGTGAAGATGGAGGATAACGAAGAATGATGGGGGTTGAGGTCTCAGCTGCCACCTTTAGCGCGACGCGGCACGTGGTGGTCGATAGCCGCTTTCAGATGTCCAGGTGACATCGGGCGCTTCTGAAATCATTTCTACTCAAAGACGTGTCGCATTTCGCTTAATGTTCCCATTTCGTCATTTCGCCGACTGTTTGATGTCCCCATCGTACGATGCAAAATCTATGGTTCTGGAAAGCAGCTGGGGCTATTCTCTCCCGCTAGGAAAGTCACGTCGGCGCCATGATTACCAAGACCATTGGCTAGGCACGAAGGAAAGCCAAAATCGATAGACAAAAAATATCAAAAAGCCGACTATATATGGTTAAGGTGAATAGGAAAAGCCTCGCTCCGCGATCAGTCTTCTATGGGGAGAAGGATGATAAGTTTGAAGCCAAGTGTCTCTATATCAAGCCGCTTCTTTCTCGGGCTTCTTCCCGTGGATGGCCCAGCTATAAGATGCATCGTAAGCAAGGTACGTTTCCGGATCCGCGGAGGGGATCTTCTTTCGGAAAACTCACATCGAAATGTAGGCATGAATGTTTTTGTCATGGAAATCTTTGCGGTTTTGCACCATCATGAGCAGAACCTCCTCGCGAGTCCACCCGAAAGCTCGAGTAAGGGGTGCCATGCAGATTGCTTCCCACCCCTCGTCCATATTTTCCGCTCCCCACATGCCAAGTTCCTTGTACCGCTTTTCCTTCGGCCAAGGGTTAGTAGGCCACTTCAGCTGCTGCATAATCACATCGGTAAAGCCAGCTTCGATCATCATAGACTTCAGCTCTTTTGGGTCCTGGTAAGCGGCGCCAAGCTTCTGTGCGGCCTCCATGAGAAGCATGAGAGTTTTCATGACGGAGTGGTCAGGCTTCAGGGTACCGTCGTCGCAGTTGAGAAACGGATCGACCTCGATCAGTTCCAAGTATCCACCAGGCTTCAGATTTCTACAATGCGGAAGATGGATCAGCTCTGTCAAGAGGCCCATCAGTGCGAGCTATGAGTAGGGCTGTGGAGGTAGTTTGCGAATAGCGAGCTAGGAAACACGAACAAAGTTTGAGGTAAAACATTCACTTACTCGAAGCACTTTTGTACGTAACCCTTCCAGTCGCTAACGGCCGAGTTCATGAGACGGCTGTGAATGTAATCGAATGGCTGGGAGAAGGTCCAAGGTTCTTCAAGATCGTCGATCTCGAACTTCACGTTAGGAGGGGTACTTTGGGGGTTAGTTCGCGAGAGTTCTGACGGCAATGATATTCATCCAAGAGCGAGGATCTTACTATTCCGGTTGGATGGCTGAAAGATCAATGCCAAGCACCTGTGATTGGTTAGAAATAATTTTCAAACATGTCATCGTCAATCACAGACATCTGCCTCGGGATGCGCGTCGCCGAAATCCATCGCCCATATCCCAGTGCCAGTGCCAACATCAAGAACACGCCCGACCTTGGCTCCTGGTTCGTTTGGTGGAGCAGTTCCAAGCTTGTCGTTGAAAGAAAGAAGGAACATGTGATGCTGTAAATCTAGTAGACAGGTCAACATTGAAACACATCCGTTGGCCATGGAAGAGACGTACCGAGTCTGTCCATCTCTCTGTCATCGTTGGGCAAGTTGTATTCTGTATATTGATGCTCAGTGAACGCCGCCTGGATTTCGCTGTGCTAACTATAGCATGGTGATACCTACTGCCGTCTTTGTACCTGTGATACGTTCTACCATTTTCGCGACGGTAATCCAATATGGAGCTTGAAACACTTGCGGTGGATGAGGCAATGCTAGGCTGGGTATTATAGTCAAGTCAGCTTCGCGACATACTGCACCCCACGATGCCACATCAGACTGACAACTTCTACTTCTGAGTTATCATCCTATCAACTATGATTAGCGACCAAGTGCATCGGGATCCATTACGGCAAGAAGACGGATACTTACCTGCTCGTCAGGTTCGAGGACCAACTCATGGTCAGGGACATTGCTGGCGGTGGCAGTCGGCACAGTGGTTTGCGCAGCCTCTGCGACATTCGGATCCGACATGATGGGTTATATTGCTTTTAGTAGCTGGACCGAGCGATTATTTAGCTAAAGGTTTCTGAGTTTTGCTATGGGTAGATTCCCGATGCTACAGCAGCGACAGACTCTGCCTTAACAAAAAGGTGTAGATGGGAGGAGTAAAATGCAGCTACTTACCCCTCTGTGTAACTAGGTAACGGTTCGCTCGGATCTAATCATGCTTTCTTCGGACACAGCTCCTGAAAAAGGCAAAAGATCCTTTGGTTTGGACGAATTAGAGCGGCCAAATATCCCTCCTCGTATGTTACCAACGCCAACGTACATGGCCGTGGCCATAAAAGGCAAGTGTTTCGTCAAGCCCAGCAACACGGAATACTAAACCGAGAAGACAGGAAAAATGATGGTCCGAAAACACTATGCCTTTACCGCTTCCCAGCCCCGGCATCTGGTTTTGGAGGCATAAGGAAACGACGACGTTACTTCTTGTCGCTATGGAGGGAGATTCGGGGTTGTGTCGTCTGGAGCCTTGCCGCCACAAATGATCTGACATTGGCACCATGGATGGATTTACCGACATTATCGACGCAAAGCTACGTAGAATTCAGATAGCTGCGGTGAATGATCGCAAAGCATCACCGTTGCACTGTACGAGGGCGACTTTTCTTGCAGATGGACGTGATAACAAGTTTATTTCAACTGAAGCCGCTACCCAACTCCATGCTTGGTCACCGTTCATCAACCAATGATTACATTATATTTACTTGCGGCAGAGACGGTCAGTTTGGAGGGTGAGCCAGTCGTTCTGGCGGGCAATGTACCAGTCCTCACTGCCGACAGCAGTGGGGGCGTAGAACACTCCCCAGGGGTCAATCTTCTTCTTGAGCTCAACCAGACGAGCGTAGTTGGATCCGAAGAAGGCCTGGCCAAAGTCGGGCTCCATGACGTCTCCCTCGTTGCCGTAACCACCGCTGCCGGGGGTGATCTTGCGGAGTCTGCCCATCCAGTCCTGGGTGATACGGACGTTGGCAGTCTTGACCTCCTCGGTGGTGGCGGTGTCGGCCCATCCGCCTCCAATGATGGCGAACATGAGGTTCTCACGCCAGGCGGGGTTGGCAGCGCTCTCGGTGGTCTCGGCGGGGGCGGCGGCGTTCATGTTGTACTGAATCAGCGCGGAGCCCTCCTCGATGATGCCCCTCAGGGTGGACATAGTCTCGTTAAGAAGAGCAGCGTCCTCCCAGTTAGCCTTGGGGATGAGACGAGAGGCAGTGCGGATGGTGGCGCTGCCGACACTCTCCATGGGGAAGTGGTTCTTCCAGGTGTCGTAGAAGTTGTCGTGCTCAAAGTACTCAGGCTCGACCTTGAAGCCAAGAGTAGCCCACTCCTCGAAGAGAGGAGCGACCATAGCCTTGAAGTCGTCGAGAGCCATGCCGGGCACGAGCCAGGGGCGCATGCTCCAGAGAAAGGCACCGTTGCCGGCGGGGAAGAGGGTGGAGTAGCCGTAGCTGTGGCTGGCGGAGAAGTCGGGGAAGCGGCGCCAGTAGGCCTCCATGGCGGACCAGAAGACGGTGCTGGAGATGTTCTTCTCGGCGGTGTTGAGGCTCCAGGTGAGTCCAGAGAACTGCTTCTTGGGGTACACGCGGACGGTCATGGAGGTGACGACACCCCAGGTAGAACCACCGCCACCACGGACAGCCCAGAAGAGGTCGCTGTTGTTCTTGTCGTCGGCGGTGACGTGGCGGCCATCGGGAGTGACGATGTCGACGGAGAGGATGTGGTCACTGCCAAGACCAGCGACGGGGCTCATGGGAGAGTGACCACCACCAGCGAGGTAGCCACCGGTGACACCAACGGACTATTGCACGATCAGTAGTGTCACAAACAAATGGAACATGTTCTCAACTTACGCGGCACTCGCCACCGACAGCGGTGTAACCCTCCTTGTTGGCAGCCTCGTACAGCTCAGAGACCTGGATACCAGCACCGAGCTTGAAAGCAGGGCCCTTGTAGCCTCCAGCAGACTCGTAGTTCTTGATGAACTTGAGGCCCTTCAGGTTGTGGGTCCAGATGGACAAGGAACCGGCACCGGTGTTCTTGCCAAGGAAGTCGTGACCAGTGTTGCGGACAACCAGACGGAGGTTGAGGTTGCGAGCAAAGTTGATAGCAAGCTGGATCTGGGCGACGTTGGTGGCCTTGACGGAGTAGAGAGGGAAGCCGCCCAGCTCGCAGGTCTGGTTGTTGGCGGCGTTCTGGGGCTGGCAGGTGGCGCCCTGGTAGATAGGGGACATGACGGAGGTAGGGTCCTCATCGCTTCAAAGAGTTAGTTAGAGGCATTGGCATGATAGTTGCGTGTAGCTACTCACTGAGTATCAGAGTTGGACCAGTTGTCGAGGAGGTACTGGCACTTCTCGGCATCGTAGTGCTCACCCTGGTAGCAGGCAGCACCAAGGGGGACGGTCTTGATGAGAGCACCGCCAGTCAGAAGGTTGAAGACCTTCCAGACGAGCTCAGTGGGGTAGAACAAGTCGCCAGGGAAGGTCTTGCACTTGTTGTTGGGGAGGGCGCGCTTCTCAACGCCCTCAGTGTCAGGGAAGGTAAAGAGCGAAATGTTGCTGAGCTCGAGCTGGGTAAGGTTGGCCAGCACGGAATCAGTCAACTGGACAGTCTCCTCCGGGATCTCAGCCTCGGGGAACTCCTCAGCGGCGGGGGCAACGGTGACCTCGTTGGCCTCTGCGAGCAGGTTAGAAGAGACTTTGAAGAAGAGGACTTATGGGACATTCGCCCCACTTACCAATGGCTTCTCCGTCGACGACAATGTTCTGGGCGCCGACGAAGCTGGCCAGCGGCATGGCCGCAGCGAGCAGCAGAGCTCTTCCGAGAGAAGGCATCTTGACAAGATGGAGGAAGACTTGTCTTCAAAGGAGTGTAAGATCCGCTGAGCTTGGATGCTGGAGGGATGAAGAGAAGAGGGGAAAAGAAAGACATTCATGATCGACATGCTCCTCACCCACGGCTATATACACGCAGAAGATCACCGCCGCGTCGGACCATTCCTCAACTTCCCACCCCTACACACGTGGCTATTTGCAAGCTATTGGTCCTGAGCCGCATGATCCCATCCCGAGCAGCCGGGATCCAAGCTCTTGCCACGAGGGAATATGGACGAATATGCAGCGTATGTCCGCATGCAAAATGAGACTCCATCGCACAGGAGCGCCGCCAAAACTGCACCACCTGAGATGCAGAAACAGGATGCTCATCCCAGAGAGAGTTTTTTTCCTGCTTCTCGACTGCAGATGGGGGGCTTCGCCATAGTCTAGCAGGGGTCCCTCCTATACGAAGCCTTGGCAGGACAGGGTTTGGGCGAAATTAATTACCTTGTAGCCCCCAAAATGCCCCCAGCAACCCGCCGTTTGCGTCGACAAACAGCGGCATTCACGGTACTGGCGGCAATTTGCTGCGGGTGGTTCGCTGAAGAGCCGTGACCGTGCCGCAGGTGTGTGTGCTTTATTTTACGGGGAGCCGACCTTTTTTCAACGTCAGCTTTCGCTAACGAGACATGTCCCTAAGTTGTGTCTTTGACAGCTTGTAGAGGATTAATGCTTTTCGCGGCTTTCACTGGAGGCCTTTGCTGACCGCAACATGAGTAAGGCCTAGAATTGCATCCCGCTCTGCTTCGAAAGCATTGGCTGACTTTTGAGCCGTCGGGGCCAAATGTCCCGCCGGTCCTGCATCATCTCAGGGGCGCTAGATATTCCCTTGCCACTTGCCAAGCCGCTTGTTTAGATACCCAAGTTCAAGACAACTCGGCAACGCAAGGAACCTCTGTGAACCTTGAAAGCCAAGACGGACGATGATCCAGGGTCGTTCTGGAACTGCTTATCGTTCTAGAATGCGGACGCGAAGTCAAAACCCACGGACAATGGCACCAAAAGTCGAAATGAGACCCGATCAGAAACTCGGACGCAAAGGTGAATGTCAATTGGTGAGGAAGGACCTGCATTCCATGAAGTTGAGAGATCTGGAGACTGACTCGTGAGTGCGGACAGGCCGGCGGGCGCGCGAATGTTGATCTTTGACGGAGGATCGGAGCGGAGACCCGGGTCACTCCGTTCGATTGCCTTGAGCTGATCGTCATGTCTAACGAGCTCGTCAGAGTCATGATCTTTGTTCTGCGCTAGTGATATCGAGAATCAGCTTTTCAACACCTAACAAACCGTACTACGCCTTACATGCAATCCAGCTTCCATCTTCAGCCTTTGACAAGCAGAAACCAGGTCTAATTATTTCTAGATTAAAAAAGAGGTTGTTGAAAGCATTCCTCGGTTGATGACCTCGAATACTTTTACTCGTAGCAACGTCTGCGGTCAGAAAACAAGGTTTGCTAGAGGAGCGGATATGGAACCTTTCTCGTTGTAAATTCATACTGGACTCCATAATATCAAATTGTATCAGGTACGAATACGCTCGATGGAGCTGACAATTGAAGCCCGTAGGGTTTGACTTCATCCAATTCAACGATTCACTCGGGTGGCAGATAACACGCCATAGGTAGATTCCATTCACCGCGACAACTAGCTGGAACTCACAGTCCCGCCATGAATATTCCATGAACTTATAAATGCTGCTAGTGATTTGGAGCTCGATGAATTTCACTCTCTCTGAAGGATTCTTCCGAAAGCAACTCCGCATGGTAACAAGATACGCTCAAAATGGCTGGTGACAACGATCAACCTGCTCAGGGGCAGCAGTCTCAGCCTCCAACTACCGCTCAGCCTACAATGCATGCACAAGGATCGGAACAAGTCCAACAGCAAGATCAGGTACAAATGCGTGGCGGTTGCATTGACAAGCAAGGGTTCTGCTGTGGTGTTTGGTGAGCTTCTCACAATAACAATGCTCGTGAAATACTCGAACTAACACAAATGCTAGGCCCGCAGATGGCTGTTACTGCAACGTCATGTAGACCTTCAGAAGTCCGCAGTAGCTAGCTATACAGTGGAAAAAAGTATTTGCAAATAATTCGTCAGTCTATGCTGTGTTTGGGGGCCATCGAGTTTCATTTTGAAATCTCCCTCATGGGCTATTTGCTTTCCTGATAACAGTGGGCCTTGGCATCGGCCGGTCGCAGCTCCATCCAACGCCAAACATCTTGCCTCCAAGACCATGCATGATTGTTGGAAACTCATGAACAATACTGAGCGATCTTTGTTTCCTCCAAGAGAACACCATCACCTCAACCTAAGAACCAACGTCGGTCGCATCCGACGATCTCGTGACGGTGCCTATCAGTGGACCTCGATCTTTCACGATGGCACTGCCCATTCAGAAGGTCACCTTGCTCCCAATAGCCTGGCTCGATGCCGATGCCAAGTTTCTCACAGTGACAGTGAAGGCTGGACCACAGACCGCAGTCCATTCCGTCCCGAATCCAACTTTAACCCCGGTCTGCGCAACCCTTGGATTCACTCACGCTATCTGTTAGTTCGACGTTCAAGTCCACGCAACCCCTTAGCGTCGGTGCCTGCAGGTCTAGAGTGGATTTGAAGGTAGGGTCCAGATACGGACGCATCTTATGCCCGGGCAGTGAATCAAAGCGTCACAAAAGTGCAACTGGATCACTACAACGGCATGCTATTGAGTACAGTGAGCATAGTAATGTAGGGGACGCTCTTCAGTCGCACTTCTGCAACTCTACGTATCTGGAACCCGAGGCTATCGGGAGCGCAAACCCTCACCTTCCCAGAGTGGCGCGATTTTCTCTTCTCCATCTCAGCTAACTTTTCGGCGGTCCGCCGACGACAACGCAAGGAACAGTGAAGTCGATGGAGATGCCGCAAAGTGGACGCCTCCTTCGGGAAGTGATTGACATTCTAGCAGGGAGCAGGCCCAGAAGCGAAGGAATTAGCCAATCTTGACAGGCAATGACAGCGCTCACCGCAGCCAAGGGACCCCGACGCTAAATTGAAGCGAAAAAGCACGCGGCCCCGCTGGGGGACGACGGAGCTTCTGATACACTCTAGCGCGACGAGATCCTGGATCCTGGGGCGGTTTGACAGGGCTTCTTCAGTGGTCTGTCCGCGCAGTTGTTGGGGGTTTGCGGGCACGGTAAGGTGGGATGTGGGCAGAAGCTCGGTGCGATTGGGGGGCCAGGATTGTGGTTAATCTTAACCTTGTTCAGACGAACTGTCCGGAGAAGAGTTCGGCGGCCGGAGCAACAGGTCGTGAAGGGAGAAGACTGAGCTTGTTGCCTGTCGGAGGTAGTGACCCAGCGGCATGATCATCCAGAGCAATGGTAGGTACGAATGGGCATCTCTGAGGTCCCATGTGCATACTCCGTGCGCGACTTGCGCGTTAGCCTGGACGCCGAGAATGAAATAAATGTGCATGGCAAAATAGAAGTTTCCCAATGTTGTTGGCTCGGTAGCGAGTTCGCCGATCTCGCACCCGTGTTCTGTGGGACATTGCCTCGACCACAGGCTGTCTTGAGCACTCGCCAATTGCTGCAAGGATGAAATCGCAAGCACATAGGTACTAGAATCGTACGTATTAAGTTGGTTCAGGTTTTCTGCTCAGCTGGATTCTTGGCTCGATGGACAAGCCATATGGTCTTTGGTTCATGACTAGGGGACAAATGAGGAGGGAACTGATCTCGCAATACAGTTGACCACTCGATCTGCCATTAAGCTCACAAGCCTTTCCGAATACCAGGTAATATTACTTCCCACGAGGGGAGACACTTCCTAGCTGTGGCTACCATAGGAGGTTTTCGTACTTCCGAGTTTCAAATCTGGTTCGTAGCAAAAGAGGTACCTTTTCTTGTGTACTACATGACGTTGCACAAAGGAATTACATGACCATTGCGCAGATCAGGACATCAACGTCAGTTTTCTCATCACCACCACAAAGTTGTTTTTCTTCATCTCCATATATCCGGTCTAAGCTTCTAAAGACCACGAGAGGTTTGAAATCATAAGAGTAGGCCAAAAACGTATGCCGCGATTGTTACCCAGCATGGTCAACATCAGGCGGACAGCGTGAGACTCAGGGATGAGGCTTAGCTTATTTCTCAAGTGATAGACAGTCGGGCCTTGAATTTCATTCATCGACTTGGGCCGCCCAAGGCTCTCGCATGGTCTGATCTGTTATGACCGAATCACTAGGTACTATTGAGTCAAAGAGCAGTGAATGTGTTCGTGTCTGATTCACCACCACGAATGACCGCACACAATGCCCGATATAAATGGGCTTCTCCGAGAGCTATAATTCCATCAACCCGAAGACGCGAGGAATATCATTCAACACAACTACAAACATCATCATGGAAAGATGGCTACCAAACTACGGGCCCATCCCCCCCGCTCCCGAGCCAGCAAGACCACAGCAACCGGTTAACCAAGAACCCCCCCAAGACATTCCGCAAGACCCGCCACGACCACAGCGGCCTGTAGGGGCAGGTCGTATTCCTGACTATGGTCCTGACTTCGCAGACCCAGATGCGCACCCTGAACCATGGCCTGAACCCATCCTTGAGTATGACGACCGTGACATAGAAGAGCTTCCACCAGCACCGGTCAACAACAACGACGGGGCAGCCGAGGAGGAACTCCCCGAAAACCACTGGTCCAGACAAATTGCCCCAGCAGCTATCACGCATGTCACATTCGGCATGTCGGTACCTCCTTCTGACGATGATGTTGCGGAATTTCTGGACGAAGGTTATGAGAACATACCTTACAACTATTTCAAATGGACGCCGCACATCGTGTTCAACGTCAGGTACGGCAACTGCACCTTTGAGCTCTTCGTGTCCTGCTGGACATGGGAAGGCCGGGAATGTGGCAGAACGCAGAGCATCCTCTACCCTTTACAAGAGCTCTTCGTTGAGCACAATGATGCCGTGGTGGGGAATGACGATTTTCGGCAGCACATGGGCGATTTGAGAGAGAGGGTACTTGTCTTCTGTCGGCGGTTCCTCAGCCCTGGGGTTGCTATGTTGCCGAGACAGACTGGGCAGATGCAGCTTGTTGATGTATTCGGGGAATTCTTCGTCAGCGAGTCGGATGTTCGAGGGGTGGGCTTCTGGGTTGATCAGAGACGATTCGAGCCGCATGTGGAGTTGAGGTTCACCGATGATGGTATGAATGTGCGATATTTGAGACATCAAGGACGGGAGAATATGAGAGGCGGAGAGGATGGCCAAAGCAGAGACCGAGGTCAAGAAAACATGGGCGACATAGATGAAAATCGAAGGAGAGATCAAAACCAGGGAAACCTCGGGAACAGAGACAATGACCAGAGGAGAGATCAAGGCGAGCATTGGGCTGGATACGGGCCTGGTCGGCCGTTGTATGATTTCAACGGCTATGGCCACTTTCAACTTTGACAGAAGACACTCGGCAGACAGAGCGCCCATAGAATGGATAAAACTGATTGACAAACTAGCATCCGTAATATCAATGAGTATTGGTGGCCATGAGCCCAAAGAGGTTTCCTAGCTGTCTAGCTGTATTAGCGAGAGACGTTAGTCGGCCGGGCCACGAATCTTGAATACATCAAGAATATCAGCACTTTCAGACCAAAAACTTGGTTCACATGAATTAAATTCATTAGCCGCAACGCCGAAGTCGCTAAGTATGCTATGCTCGACCGCATTACCCATCCAAAGTTTATCACATAAAGCCCCGAACAACACCATGCCTCATCACCCCGATACCAATGCTCCATCAACCATCCCCGCTGTACCCATCTAAAAGACTTCGGAGTCGACCTCGTCCACAATCTGAACCTTGATGCTGCCGTTCCTGTAGTCGGACGCCAGTGTGAGGGCGTCGACGGCCTGCTCGAGAGGGAAGGTGTGCGAGATGAGGCTCTTGAGGTCGAGAATGCCGCTGCTCAGGCACGCGATGCCGGCAGGCCACGTGTCGCGGTACCGGTTAATGAACTCGAGCTTGATCTGCAAGACAAAAATCATCAGTATATCCCACCATTGACCCAGAACCCGGGATAGGCAGAACTCACCTCAGCCAGAGAAAGGTGCATAAACGGCAAGTTGTTCATAATCTCCCTCCCCACGCCGATGACCATGACCATACCGCCGCGGCGCGCCGTGAACGCCGCCGTGCAGATGCTGCTCTCGACGCCGGTGCACTCGAGCACCGTCCGCGGGGCGCTGTACTCGTCATCCCCAAACAGCGCGCGGATCGCCTTGCCATTGCCCTCGTTGCCGAGCGCCGGGTCGACGCGGTAGGTGATGACGCTGGGCACGAGCGTCTTGGCGAAGGCGAGGCGCGAGGGCTCGATGTCGGTGATGACGAGCGGGTGCGCGCCCGAGGCGCGCGCGGCGGCGAGGGTGATGAGGCCGATGGGGCCCGCGCCGCAGACAACGGCGCCGACGCCGAGGGAGAGGCCGGCGGTGCGGATGCCGTGCATTGCGACACTGAGGGGCTCGAGGAGGGCGCCTTCGGCGTAGGAGATATTGTCGGGCAGCCTGGGTTTGTGGGTTAGCGCCGCAGATTCTCCACGATGCTGTCATCAACTCGTGGAACGTGGACGCCTACTTGTGAAGCCACTTGGAGGGATGGCACTTGTAGCGCTGGATGGTTCCGTGGTACGGGTACACGCCGGCGAACTGGACATCTTCGCAGAGGTTGTAACGGCCCTCTGTGCAGAGGAAGCACTCGCCGCACGGCACGCCAGGCTCGATGGCGACGCGGTCGCCGGGCTTGAGGTTCTTGACACCCTCGCCGCAGCGGATGACCACGCCGGCGGCCTCGTGGCCAATGATGCAGTCGCCTTCGAAGACGAGAGTGCCGATCTTGCCCGTCTTCCAGAAGTGGATGTCGGATCTGGGGGACGAGAGGTTGTCAGCGCATTGTCCATCGTGGCTGTAATTTTGGATGTTTCTCGTGGACAAACTCACCCGCAGACACCAGTCGCCTTGACGTGGACCAGGACCTCGCCCTTCTTGGGCGCCAGGACGGGGGCTTCCTCTGCCTTGAGGCGGTGATCGGCCGTGACCACCAGCGAAGGATTCGGCAAGGGCGCCTTCAGAGTCTCGACGGGGGCGGCGTTCTTCTCCATCTCCGTGACGACGACGATGCCGTTCTTGGTGGGCGCGACGCCGTTGACGGGCGCCTCGGATATCGTTGTGCACATCTTCGGACGTGTGGTATGTGGCAGGAAGATCGAGCGAAGGAGAGACGACAAATCCCAAGTTCAAACAAACACAAACGGTGATCCTTTCGTCAAAAGCTACGTTCCGTGTCGCGACAGAGGGAAGAGAAGAAGGCGGTAGACTTTGAAACGGAAAAACACAAGCTGTTAAAGAAGAGCTGTCTCCCAACCGGATAATCTGCTTCGTTTCTATTCGTCGAGGATCTAATGGAAAAAGGAGAAGAAAGCTCAACAGTCCCTTCTAGCTCGCGTCCCGTCCCGCTTCACACCAAACAAAACAATTTCTCGTCGTGTGATCTATGTTCCGGTCGGTAATATTGTCGACAATCGGACGGGACGGTTCCAATTGGGGTTTGCCAGAAGGAAGAGCGGGGAACTGACCGACGCGGGGCGACTAACACTTCCTCTTCGTCTGTTGGTGATGCTTGAGACTTCCCGATGCGGAAATCGTAAGCACCTCACCGGCAGTTCTGGATTTGCTTAGACTCCGGGAAAATGCCGGCTGTTTAAAGCTGATTACCAGGTTCGTGTTGGGGGGACCGGGTTCCGTCCCCCGGCGACCGATGCCCCGCCCCCTCCATCGGCCGAGTTCCGAGAGACATGAGAGGACAGATAGCTTGGGTGGGCGCATTATCTTCATGCATTGCGAAGTCTGTGAAAGCTCTAGCTTGAGCTCGTGTGAAGCTATGATGATGTTAGGGAAGCGTGCTTCATACCTTTGATGTCTGTCGCTTCGCTTCAAGTCAATCAACAGGAAGACTCGCAATTGAGAAAGATGGTTTTTGCATGCGGGTAACTTTTGATTCATTCATCAAGGCCTTTGTTGGCCATTTCTATGGTAACTATTGATCTCAAAGATCATTATCTTAGACGCATCCTCCCACCCGTTTTCCAATCGTTCACATCATTAAGAAACATCCCTTAAGCAAAGATGCGCAGAGGCTTTTGGGGCAGGTAGAAACCAGGGTCGTTGAAGCGCAGGCCAAGGTCAAGGTCAGAGATGGCCTCAAGCTCCGCCGGAGTCAAGTCAAAGCCGTTGACCTCCAGGTTCTGCTGCAGGCGGTTCTGGCTGTTGCTCTTGGGGATGACGGCGATGCCGCGCTGGGTGGCCCATCTCAGGAGAACCTGCGCGGGGGTGGCATTGTGCGCGGCGGCGGCCTTGGTGACGGCGTCGACCTCGAAGAGGCCCTTTGCGCCGATGGCGCGCTTGTTGGAGATCTCGAGGAAGGACTGGGGGCCGAAGGAGGAGTAGGCGGTGACGGCGATGTTGTTCTCCTGGGCCATGGAGATGAGGTCGGGCTGGACGAGGTAGGGGTGGTGCTCGATCTGGAGGGAGGAGATGGGGTGGCGGGCGTAGGACTGGACGTCGTAGAGGGACTGGGCCTGGAAGTTGGAGACGCCGATGGACTTGGCGATGCCCTGGTCGACGAGGGACTCGAGGACCTCCCAGGTCTCGCGGATGGGCACGTTGTCGGTCTCGACGATGGTCTGGGCCTCGTCTTGCCACCAGGCCTGGGTTGCGTTATTAGACTTCTGTCCTCTCGCTTGCATTATTTGAGAATAATGAGGAACTTACGGGGTAGGGGATCTTGGAGGGCTCAATGTACTTCAGAGCGACGGGGAAGTGAATGAGGTAGAGGTCGATGTATCCCAGACCGAGTGTCTCGTTCTGCTTCTTGGCCATCTCGAGAGCGTGCTCCTTGCGGTGGTAGTTGTTCCACAGCTTGGTGGTGATGAAGATGTCCTCACGCTTGACGAGGCCGTCGGCGATGGCGCGGCGGACACCCTCGCCGGTCTCCTTCTCATTCTGATAGTCGTAGGCGCCGTCAAAGAGGCGGTAGCCGGTCTTGATGGCCTGTATGTCGTCAAAGTCAGATAGTCGCCTCGATAAGAGCTCACAGGACAATAGGTCAACTCACGTTGTAGACAGTGTCGGCGCAGGTCTCGCGGGGAACCTTCCACAGGCCAAAACCGACGAGAGGCATCTCGCGGCCGGAAGCGAGGGTGATGGTGTCCTTGCCCATTGTGACTGGAATTTGTGAATGAATTGGGGTATTGATGCTGAAGGAGACAACTGTGAGAAGAGCGAGAGATGTGAAGCAAGAGAAAGGCAAAGCAATCGTGGTCAACAATATTTTCGGCCTGACCCCGATTGTAAATATTTCAGCATCTTTTCAAATGACCCCGCCTCAGGGCACCATCCGTCGCGTCGCAGCCCGAATCTCATTTCACTTGCATCGTCATGGAGGGGCATCTCTGGCGGTGCTTAGGATTTCCGTTTACGGTAATACTAACCGTTCCTTAGCAAAAACGGGCAAGCATCCCCGCGCTTAGTGGCCCCCCTGTTTGACTCGTGTTCGACCGGGTTCCACGAGGGGAATTGAAAAGACCAGACCGCTCACATGAGATGGGGAAATGGGGTCAATTATCCACGGCGAAATGCTGCATACGTGCTTTTGAAAAGACGTGGCTTGCCATGAAGCGTCGGATGACGACCGGCTGGAACGATGCTGCAACTGTTATTCAATGGTCTTTACCCCAACTGAGTGAAAACCAGCTCATTTCTAAAGAGACAAGAAAAGAGCCGCCTATTCAACAGCTCCATCGGCCATTCCTCGCCAACTCCCTGTCAACGCTTGTCTCGAACCGTGATCGCGTGGCACTCCCAACCCCAAGTTTCCAAGTTCTCATCCCCACCACACCACACACCACCATCAACGCCTCGTCGAGCCATCTTCCCTGCACCCGTCGCCTCTCAATACCCCGTACACACATCCGCTTCCTCCATCCGCGTCTCTCCGCGTTCCTCCACTATTTGTTGGGGACGTCGTCTGCCTTCCCAATCCGACAAAATTATCCCTTCCCACAATGGCACACACACACGCACACACACCCAGCGCACAGCACGGTCGTCGCAGGCTGAGTGAGAGATAGTGAGAGACCGAGAGGGATACCGAGAATAATGGCGGACGACACGGAATCAGCATCAGCAACCGCCGCGGCTGGGGGAGCTGGCGGCAGTCAACAGACGAACCCGTCCAAAACCAGACATAAGAGGACGAGGACCGGGTGTCTAAAGTGTCGGATCCGACGGCGTAAATGTGAGTCTATCTTTCTTATCTCGTTTTGCATCTTAGAAATTGTGTTTGAGTTTCGCTGTACTGTTGCTGGAGTCATCATCCCCACAACTCGTGGTGTTTCTTCGCCGGCCCCGGTTACACTCGGTGAAGCATATACAATCATGTTATCGTCCTGACCGATAACTAATCTTTTCCCATGCAGGCGACGAAGGCAAACCACGCTGCCAGCGCTGCATCGATGGCAACTTTGAGTGCCAATACGGCCCTCGACTGACCTTCTTGAACAAGAATGCGTTGACAGTCTCACCGTCGCCGAGGACGGCGACTGAGGCGACGACGCCAAAGTACTCGAGGCTCCAGGTACGTGTACGATGATGAGAATCAGCTGATCCTGTTCTTCATCACGACTCACCAACAACATCACAGTTCGTGAGTCCCGGGGCAGCGAAACAGGGCGCAAAAGACGGCTCTGCCTCTCCTCCACCTCAAAAACCTCACAATGCACCCGCGACGAATAATGCGCCGCCGCCGCCACATCCTCCCCCAGCGCAAACGCCTACCATCGTGACCTTCCAAGCAAATCCTCAACCCTTAGAGCCTCCGACCCCGAAACCGCATCCAATCGAGCCGAACATCTCGCAGAACCACCATCCGCCTCCCCCGCCGCCGCCGACACAATGGCGCGCGCAGAGCATAGGCCACGAGAGCCTATCTTCGCCGGTACGAAATCTCGACATCACAGGCAAGCTGAACGGGACCTCGCCCAACAACGACGCCGCCTACGAGACGGCCCTCAATGTGCTGCTGTCCCTGGGCAGCGAGGGCACGACGACGACCGGCCTGGTCCAGCCCCCCGACCAGGGCTCCGCGTCTTTTGGGATCGGCGCGGACGGCATCGGCGTGAGTCCGAGAGATTTGATGTCTGTCTCGCCGGGTTCAGTTAGGGAACGGAGGGGGTCGAATGTGGTGGTCCCCGCTGCGAAGACCATCTCGCAAGACCGACTGCTTCAGTTATTGCGCCACTTTAGGTACCAGGTCGCGCCTTGGGTAAGTTGAGCCGAGCTTCGAATCATGATGACTGTATGGATTTACTAAGACACTCTTTTAGCTTGACCTCTGCGACATGAGCCAGACCTTCGGACTCTACGTCCCCCGCCTAGCCATCGAGTCCGAGGGCGTCCTCCACGCCCTCCTTGCCGTCGCCGCAACGACAGACTCACGCGCGATGGCGAACGACGCCGAGTACCTGAAGACGCTTGCCGAGGCAGCGCCGTGGAATCAGAACAGTTTGAATAATATTAATGACGGCGACCTGGCACATTTGACATTGTCGACAGCCTGCCGGTTCATCACCGATATCCCCAACGCGTGGCACGAGTTACCCATCGTTATCAACGACAACTTTTGGGCCGTGGCCTTGGCGGAAGCAAGCCAGAAGACAATCGCTATTCTTTCTGTCTTGATCAGACTAGGTACAGCTCATGTTCGACATATCCTCGGTTCCTTCATGCTGACCTCTCCTGGCAGAGCTCGCAGCCGCCCTCGTGACAGGCTCCCCCATCTCCGTCCCCGAACAGCTAAACTACAACCCCATGTCGCAGCAGTGGAACAACTCCTCCGCCGTCGCAGAGACCATCTTCCAGTACACCATCGAACCCCTCCTCCTCTGCGCCAAGGTCGTCAACTTCTGCAGCGGCGGCTTCCCGCCGCAGACCACCACCCCCAATGCCAACGGCGCTACCCCTCTAACCCCGGTCCACCGCTGGACGATGCTCAGCGACGCGCTGGGCCTCTGGTATACCAACCGCGCGCAGGAGTTCCGGCCGATGGTCGAGATCGACGGCGGCGACGAGACCCTCTTCCCCATCATCCTCTTCACCAACGGCGCCGCCGTCTTCGCGAACCAGCTGTACCACACCGCGATGCTGCTGCTCCTGCAGAACAAGCCGCGCACGCTGCAGGCGGCCGCGGGGACGAAGAAGTCGGGCGGCAGCTCGTCGTCGGCGACGTCCCCGCTGTGGCACGCGCAGAGGGTGTGCGGCATCGCGCTGAACAACGACCGCCGCGACAGCTGGGACCTGTGTCTTGTGGCGTCGCTGTACCTCGCGGCGCAGCGGATGACGTACGAGCCGCAGCAGCGGGCAATTCTGGAGTGTTTCGAGCGCGTGAAGGCGCTGGCTGGGTGGAATGTGGACGGGTTTGCGGCCAGGGTGAGGGAGGATTGGGGGTTGGTGTAAACGATACCAGTCCAACGGCGCATTTCCGTAGTTTCGCAAGGCGTAAAATACCTTGCCAGAGACACCTTGAAGCATAATCATCTTGCCATGTCAGCAACCCTGAGCTCTTTGCGAACCTTGTATCCCCACGCGGTCTCGAGGTCGTCGATCCTCCAGCACGTCCCCCATCCGGTGACGGCCTCGATGCTGCGGATGAGCCTCACCAGCAGCGCGTGCTCCGACTTGTGACTGAGCAGCCGGCCGGCCACCCACAGCGGCTGGATCGCATTATTCAGACAGCCCTGGTGCGGGTTCGCCAGGGAGATGCCACAAATACACTTCGCGTGCCATATCGCAGACCCCGTGACGCCGCCGAGCTTGATACTCAGCGGCCGCGGCATTGACCCGAGCAGCAGGGTACACGCCGTGTGATACAGCTGATTCGACGATATCGCCGCCCAGTGGAGGAACAGGATCTGCGGGAACGGGCTGCTCTGGATGCTCTGCACCGGCAGCAGCTCGGGCGGGCGGTCGCGCGTCCAGGCCTGCAGGTCCTCCCAGAGGCGGACCCAGCGGTCGGTCAGCTCGTCGGGGCTGCTGCTGGTGCCGGCGTCGCCGAGCTCGAAGTAGCGCGTCCTGTCGGCGACGAGCTCGCAGACCTTGGCGCAGAGGTAGACGGCGTAGTTGGCGTGCATGTCGGGGGTGCCGCCGGACTGGTGGAAGAGCTCGCGCGCGTCGTTGTGGGAGGCGCCGCTGGGGAGCCATTTGGAGGGCGTGAGGAGGGTGCTTTCGGTGCCGTCGGATATGAGGGCACCGCAGAGATCTGGGCAGTCAGTGAGTAGATGTGAAGAGGAATGTGAAGTGAGATGTTGGGGACATACCCATCCTAGCGTAGCACCAGAACACGGCTTGTAAGAGGCCGCCGCTGAACCCGTGGACATAGAAAGAGTCAAAGAGCGCCGCGCAGCCTTCGAGATGTTTGCGCCAGTCCTGCGCACTCGCGGACATCATCTCCAGGCAGCATAGAATGGTGCAGATGGGGATGATCTTCTGGTCTCGGGACTGGAGCAGGGGCGTCAGGAGCCGGATGGCCTCTTGGTAGAGCTCTAGGCTGTCGAAGGATGTCTGCTTGCCCTCTTTGCGCTCCATCTGGCGTGCCGACAGAGCCAGGACGGCATACAAGAGGGCGGGAGAGCTGCGTGCCAATACCGGGACTTGGATGCCAAAGGCGCGGTCGCTGTCGAACATGTCGAGCTGGTGGATGGTGAGTATACCGAAACAGAATTATGCGGGTTTCTACAATGGACTCACCCATGGCGCGACTTCACCGACGTAGTTTTTGAGATACTCCAACCTCCTTCCCGTACCTAAGATCTGTCCAGCATGCCTCCGCGCTGCCGAATCGTCGCCCAGCATAGTCCCCGGGGCAGCGAAGCCTCCCGCGGCGAACCCGCCATCTGCGGCTTCGGGCGTGCCCTCTCTGGTGGGCGCGGCGGTTTGGGCGGTGTTGAAGATGAGGCATCGCAGTTCCTCCTGGTAGGCGAGGTAACCAGGGTCCGTCACAAACTCATCCAGACGCCATGACTCTGCCGGTGATGTTGACGCCTCGGGGGAGAGATGCTGCGAAGGTGCCGGGTCGCCGAGGCCCCACGTCGACGCAGCTGGAGTCACCGCAGCGGCGCCATAGTGAGAGGGGCCCTGGGAGTGAGAGAGCGAGTGAGAGTGGGTGTGAGACCGCGACTGAGAATGAGAGTGAGAGCCAGTGCTTTCGACGCGGTCGAGGGGCAACGCTGCGGTTGAGTCGGAGTCGTTGATCGTCGCTGGCGAGAGCATCCTGTAATTTTAGAGAGATACAGACTCTCTATGATGAGTCTGAAGCTGGGGCGCGAGACATGCAACAGTGAACACAGCCAAGCTTTCACGTCGTTGTCGTTCAGAGACCAGACAGACAGACCCCTTGGCTCCATTCACGATGAAGGTTTCGGAAGGTCATGCGGGAGGAGAAAAAACAATGGATCTCGGCTCCAGCGTCTCTCTCCGAACGGGCAATGCACCAAGACAGGGAAGGGAGGGCGCATTGAACTGCTGCGGGGAACCCAAGTTAGCGGAAACTGCGGGGGAGCTGGGCGCCGGTCATTGGTGTCTTGTGAGCTGTCTTCACCGCGTTCCGCCGGCCAAATGAGTCCATTGTCCACTGTTTCTCCACTTGGGGGGGAAGTGTTGCGGAGTAAATGGACAAGGGGCAGGGGGTAAGGGGGAAGAAACCAACGGACCTAGCCCGATGTTGATGGTCCCTTACCCGGTGTCAGTCGGAACGCGGCTGCCGAGGTCTGTTGACGTGTGTGGTGCAGGTGAGTCTCGGTGAGCCATCCGGGCTGTCTATCATCATGAAAAGGTCTCGCTGTGTGTTGTGTTGGCTTCATTTTCCTGCTTTGAAATAAGTTGCTTCAGCGAACGAGGAGTCTCACCGAGGGTATTGCAGTAAGGGCGAGGCCATGTTGATCAGCGCTCTCATTGATGGCCGAATAGCCAAGAAATTTGTAAGTGTACAGAGTTCAACAACAACCTTGGCAAAACCATGTTCGATGGAAGAAACGAAGAGTGAGAGGACAACGTCTTTTAGAGCACAACACACACAGGTCGTATTACTCTTCTCTCGGCCTAAACTCCTCCGGCTCAGCGGGGCCGCCCACTCGGCGTTTCGGTGCTGATGTCACCGGTCGCGGGGCTCATCCAACTTTGATTCCAATGAGGAAACCGAAACCACTTGCCGATGAAGCGCAGTGGATCAGATGCGTTACGATCTGACTTTGTCTGGACCCTGAGGATCTCTTTAAGGAGTATTTGATAGCTCCTTGACTCTCGTTCATGGCTCTTCTCTCTCTTTCCGTTCAAATACACGTTCTCGGGCTTCCCTGAATCATGGCTCCTATCACCATCACAGACGCACGGTTTGAACATGCCGCAGGCGGCATTGGTGTCCCATCTCCAACCCCTCGAATCTCCTGGAGAGTGACATCCGACCCTCTCCCAAAGAATTGGAAGCAGACATCCTACGACGTCGAAATCACCCGGAGCGGGAAGCAACCCCAATCGTTTCACGTCGAGAGCAGCTCATCGGTCCTGATACCATGGCCGGATAGCCCCCTAGCTGCAGCAGAAACAGCGATCATCCGCGTCAAGTCCTCCGGCACGTCCGACAACGGACAGCTTAACACAGAATGGTCCGGACCGGCGACGGTCGAGGCTGCCCTTCTGTACCGAGACGACTGGTCCGCCAAGCCCATCACCGCCCCGCCTCGGTCGGAAACGCACCCGGATGAGCGGGGCATCCGGCCTGTCCGGTTCCGCAAGACTTTCACCGCCCCGGAGCTCAACGACGGCCGTGCAAGACTCTACATCACTGCTCTAGGAATATACGAAGCCTACCTCAACGGCAAGAGAATTGGAGATGAGTGGCTTGCCCCCGGATGGACGGCCTACCAACACCGCATCCAGTATCAAGTCTTTGACGTCGGACCCCTTTTGAAACCGGGGCAGCCCAACGTCCTGTCCGTGGAAGTCAGCGAGGGATGGTACGCCGGCCGCGTTCTCTGGGGAGACGGTCTGACGTGTTTCTACGGCGACCGCATCGGCGTGCTCGCTCAACTCGACCTCCTCGACACCGGATCCGAGTTCCGCCTCACTACAGATGAAACTTGGGAGTGCCATTCCTCCCCCATCGTTGGAAGCGATATCTATGACGGCGAGACCTACGACCTCGGCCTCGAAGTCGACGACTGGCACCACGACACATCAAAATGGACTCCCGTCGAGACCCTCCCCTTCCCCAAACCGTCCCTGATCCCATCATCCTCCCCGCCGGTGCGCATCACCGAGACAATCAAACCCATCAAAGTCTTCACAGACCCCTCCGGCAAGGCCCTGGTCGACTTTGGCCAGAACCTCGTCGGTAAACTAGTCCTCCACTCCCTCAAGAAGCCAGACGGCCACCGCCTCACCATCCGCCACGCAGAGGTCCTCGAGAACGGCTACCTCGGCATCCGCCCCCTGCGCAGAGCAAAGCAGACCGACACAATCATCTTCGGCGGCGGGCGCGGGCTGCAGAACTGGTCGCCGCACTTCACGTACCACGGCTTCCGTTACGTCGAGCTGGACGGCTGGGCTGCCAATGAGATCACTCTTGAGTCTGTCTCTGCGGTGGTGATGCATACTGACATGCGGCGGACGGGCTTCTTCTCGTGCTCTGATGAGGAAATCAACGCGCTGCACCGCAACGTCGTGTGGAGTATGCGCGGCAACTTCGTCTCGATCCCTACGGACTGTCCCCAGCGTGACGAGCGTCTGGGGTGGACGGGTGATATCCAGATCTTCAGCCCCACGGCGTCGTTCTTGTATGAATGCGGTGGAATGCTGAGCAACTGGATGAGAGATGTGATCCTTGACCAGAAGGATGCTGGCGGCGTCGTGCCGCTCGTGGTGCCGAATGTCATGAAGGACGGCCCGTTTCCTGCGCTCCCACAGGCTGTGTGGGACGACGTTGTCGTGTTAGTGCCGTGGACTTTATACAAGTGGTTCGGTGACGCTGGCGTTCTTCAAGAAACATATCCGGGCATGAAGGACTACCTGAAGTCCATCAAGCGAGGCGATGACGGACTTTGGGATACCGACCTGTGGCAGCTCGGCGACTGGCTCGACCCGAACGCGCCCCCCGCCGAACCCGGCCTCGCGAGAACTGACGGCACTCTCGTTGCAGACGCCTACCTCGTCCACGTAACCGGCGTCGTCTCCCAAATCGCCCGTATCCTCTCCATCACAGATGACGCAGACAAATTCTCGGCCGAGCACAAGCGCCTCAAGCAGCTCTTCCAGGACAAGTACATCACCAAGGCAGGCTTCGTCGTCGCCGACTCCCAGACGGCCCTAGCCCTCGCCCTGCTCTTCGACCTGCACGAGACCCCCGCCCAGCGTAAGGCCGCCGCGGCGAGACTGGCGCGGCTAGTGCAGTACTCCAAGTTCAGGGTGTCAACGGGCTTCGCAGGTACACCAGTCATCCTGCACGCGCTGTCTGAGACGGGTTACACGCAGCACGCGTACCGCATGTTGCTCGAGAAGGGGTGTCCCTCGTGGATGTACCCGGTCACAAAGGGCGCGACGACGGTGTGGGAGAGGTGGGATAGTATGCTGGAGGATGGCACGATCAACCCCGGCGAGATGACGAGCTTCAACCACTATGCTCTTGGCAGCGTGACGAACTGGATGCATGCTAGCATTGGGGGGTTGTCGCCGCTGGAGCCTGGGTGGACGAAGTTTCTAGTGAGGCCGAGGCCGGGAGGGGGGTTGAAGCATGCGGAGGTTGAGTACCTGAGCCCGAGTGGCCAGGTTCGCGCTAGATGGGAGATAAAGGATGATGGCAGATTGGTATTGGAGGTGACAGTTCCGCCGAATGCCACGGCTGTGGTATCCCTGCCGGATGGGAGTGAGGAAAAGTCGGTTGGGTCGGGTACTTACACGTTTGAAGGCGGGCTCGATGAACAGGCAAAGGGAGCCTGGCCTCCTCAGGCTTTGTTGACGCAGTTCGGATTGCCTTGATAACGCCATATGGATTAGTAGCTAGATAGCTCATGTAATCTCCCTTTGCTGATTCAAGGGAACCATGATTGACAGAACTTCTTCCTCGTACCAGAGCGGCAGCTAGATGTGCCTTCGTAATGATAGTTCACAGATCAGAAAATCTCAGCAAGACAAACTTGACCTTCGACGGAATGTTTCCAAGAGCATGCAATATTTTGACCGATCACTCAGGGGCGAATGTAGCTCTGATGTAATTACCTAGTAATCTGAGAAACCGTTTCTCAAGTGTTGACACTCGCAGTTACCGACATAACTCAGCTGACCGACTTGTTCTAACTGCACGCTTGCATCGTTGCTGAAAGGTGTAGGATTAGCGGTGAGAATCCATTTTACTCTCATTTGCTAGGTATGTACATTCTGCCTTTCGTATTCGAGCCTGCATTACGTTGATTTAATATTGCCACGCTTGGTAGCCAATACAGAAAGATGTGCTCAACACTCAGTGATCTCCGCGTCTGGGGTGTTGCTTCAATTGTGATAATCAGCTCGGGATGTTTTCTGCCTGGGATAAAAATCATCTCAGTTCCTTGTAGCTTGTTCCCCAGTGTGGGAGAAACAGCTAAACTGGACAAATGTGAGAGGATCAAAAGTCAGCTGTGGAGATACTTATCTACGTTTGAATGGCAAAGGCGAATGGAACATGTTATTTTGTGCTTTCAGGTACTTATCGAGCATTGCAGGTGATGTACGTTGAGAAGTATTTCGAATCTCCCTGAAGCACGTTTGGAACTAAGTTTTGCTCGATCGCCTGACCTGACCACCAATTCTCGCATTTGTCCAATGGCACCGCACCCGCATCTATAGGAAATGAAGTTGAGCGGGGTTAACCATTGAGTTTGGGTGGTGTCAGAAGCGACGAACTGCTGAGGAGTTGATCTTTACCCCTCATTCATGCAAGTCGTGTTTTAGTTTACCCTAGGCAACTGCAGCCAAGAGGTGGCCCGTCCAATCCACAGCTATTGACTGAGACTTTGGCCCATTGATTGTAAACATATGCAGTCCGAAGCAAGAACGCTAGGTTATATTTCAGCCAGCCCTCAGAACTCAGCCAGCCTCGACATCAAGCCATGGCAAACATCAACCCAGTATGGAACTCCAAGTTTCACTCCAGCTTTCATTTCGTGAGACATTCATCCACATTGTGATTTCAGATCTTCTTGGTGACCTTGATAGAGGCTATGTGGCAAACCCGTTCCCGCGCTGGTTGATGTCTGTTTACTTCAGCTATAAATCATACACTGCCCATCGTAGAGGAAAGCATAATCAGGTTCAACGACAATCCATCAGTGGATTCACTTGTACGAAACTAAGAACAAACTGCTGAGTAGCCTCGCCTTTATCATGGATTCATGCGAGTCCGTCTGCTTTAGCCGAATCCTTGGTATCAGGGATGCCGACTCCATCACGCCCGAGCAGAGCATCTCTCTGGCTGTCGGAGAGAACCCGCGTAATGGGTCACTAACCATGCCTCCAGGACCCAACGAACCCGGCGGGCCGTTGGGGCTGGCCATGCTATTTGGCAAGTATTGGCTGCGTGGGCGCGAATTGAAAATTGGATTTCAAGGAGGTTCTACATGGCAGAAGGCTAGTTGACTCCAGATGCCTGAGAGCGGGCTGCTGAATTACTGACTGGATACAGGAACAAGTCAGAAAGTACGCTCCTGAGTGGTGCAAGTACGCCAACATCAAGTTCAACTTTGTCGATTCCGGAGACGTGGACATTCTCATTGCGTTCAATCCGAAAGATGGCTCCTGGTCTTACATCGGAACGGACGCTACCAACATCGTTGCCAAAGGACTTCCCACAATGAACCTCGGTTGGATAAACGAGGGCAGTCCAGAGTCTAAACTCCGTTCCGTGATCCTGCACGAGTTTGGTCACGCCTTGGGGGCTGTCCACGAACACGAAAGCCCGTACGCTAAGATCCCATGGAACAAGGAGGTTGTCTATGACGCGCTTCTTCGAAGCAACGGCTGGGACCGCGAGAAGGTTGATCAAAACATGTTCACCATCTATAAACTAGAGGAGAACACACGTGCCACTGAATTTGATGGAGCCAGCATCATGATCTACAGCATTCCTCCCGAATGGACAACGAATGGCAAAGGAGCCAATCGCAACACCCAACTATCTGCTCGAGACAAAGCCTACATCAAGTTCTGCTATCCGTCAGAAGATTTCGATGCCGGACAATTCAATACCATGGAAGTTCGCACATGGGAGAATCCGCAGCCGGTTACCAGCAAGGTCATCTACTACCACCATAGGTACGATTCGGTGCCCCAAATGTCCGTCGGCCTCACGTCCCTCGATATCGGCAACGGCGCCAACATTCGAATCAAGGCCACAGTCAGCGACCAAACATATGAGCATTTCAAGGCCTCTTTGGACACTTGGGCTGGCACCACGCTCTATTCCGCCTCCTTGGCTTACCTAGAGGTTGACCCCGACCGCTTTGACTACCTTCAGACAGGTCTGTACAACACCTCAGAGACTCGCCCTTGGAACCAGCCGCAAGAGAAGCAGTCAAAGCGCATCGAATTTGCTCAGCCATTCGAGGCCCCCCCTAAGGTTGTGACTTGGCTCCAAGCCTTAGACATGGATCGCAGCAAGAACTGGCGCGTCAAGGTGTATGCCACCAATATCGACAGCAGAGGTTTCACCATCCATATCGACACGTGGGCTGACTCCATACTGTACATGGCGGGCGCCACTTGGATGGCTTATCCTGCCCACCAACCCCAAGTTGCCAGTGGCAGATTCAGCACCAACGACATCCGCACCTGGGACAACCCAAGAGCGGAGAATTCGAGCACATTCAAGTTCCCCACGCCCTTCTCGAAGCAACCCAAGGTTTTCATGGCCATTGACGAGCTCGACTATGATTCTCGAAGTAATTTGCGACTGAGATTGAGCACTTCGTCCGTTACCAACACTGACATTACTTGGCATCTTCAGAGTTGGTGGGACTCGAAGATGTATGTCGCCAGTGCGTCCTTCTTTGCTTGGGCTTGAGTTTCGGCGACTCTAAGGTTCATTTTGAGGCGTGGCCACATTCCTAAATTCTGAATCTGTCTTGTTTTCGCATCCAGTAACAAAAGACTGCCGTTATCAAGCGCACCGAAAATGGGTATGAAAACTAGCTAGCATATCAAAATATTGTTATCACACAGGTCCAAGAGGCATTGGATGCTCCGTATGACCCCAACTTGAATGTCAGGCTGCATTGAAACAGTTTGGGCAACCACGATCAATTTATCACTGGCCAATATAGTTTTAAGTTGGTCCATGTATCAACATGTGGTGGTACGTATTGGTCGAAGCCTCGGTAGACTACCTTAAGAAGTAGTCAACCTTTCCCTCATCCAAAACAGAGGTAGCGCCACTTATTCTTCAACAATAGAATACAATCGACACACAATACTGCCGCCGCGTTTCGTAAATAGTTCCCCCTTTGAGCGTCTTGCTGCTCACCGAGGTGTGCCTGGAGTATTCGAAGTTCCTGATCCCTGATAGGCTGTGCTGAGCTATACTGCATGTGAGCCAACATTTGTTTCGTTGATATTCTGGGTTCTCTCCATGTTGACCCTGTCTCCCGGCAGGCCAGGCATAGGCTTGATTTCACAGCTGTCAATGCAATCATCTGGCTCGTAGACTCGAAAATATCGTCTGTAAATATGTCATTATCTTTCATAATGGTCTGTAAGCTTACAGCTGCCGCGCGTTGTATCCCTGCAACGCGACAGCACAGTGCAGCATCATAGTCAAGCCGGATGTTGGTGTTCTCGGAATCAGTAGCAGTTGATCACCGAATTTGCTGCGCGGGAGTCGTCAGTGAAGGGTTATAAACAAAACCTTGGTATCATTTCTGTTTTATTCTATTGATCTTTTCGAATTATTACATAGCTGCAGGCTCCAGACATGGACTGTAGTAATAACAGGCGCGTCCAGCCCCGACGACGGTATGTTCAAAGGCTGGTATCAACCTTTCGTAGTCATTGTGCTCCCGAAAGATTTATCTTCGAACGGTGCCGGGTCAAATGTATCCCGAGATCCTCACTCCGGCCCCGGTGTTCTCGGGCCCCGATCGAAAATGTCAAGTTTCTTGGTCCTCGGCACAAGCCTTCGGAATCGGGGCGGGGCGTCTTTTGTCTCATTCCACTCACCGGGGTTCGATGACGGGATCGATGACAAATGCGGGGGATTCGATGACCAAAGTGCGGAGATCCCCTTCCGCAGAATGATCCAAAATCTCACAATTCTCAGTGATTGAATATTATTCTTTCTGTAAAATAAGCTTATTAATCCTGTTTCTTGGTTTCGTATCTGTCAATCACGGCCGTCTTAGTACCCGTAGACACAGCACGCCCAATGGCCTCAGCAACCTCGTTCCGCCAAATCATCGGCGCCCCGCCCTCAACGGCCACGCCCACCGATAGCACCCTCGTCATCATCGACGCCCAAAACGAGTACGCCGAGGGCAAGCTGGCCGTATCCGACGTCGCGACCTCCCGCAAAGCCATCGCCTCCCTGTTGCAGAAGTACCGCAGCGCCGGCGGCAGCATCGTGCACGTTGTCCACGACACGCCGGCGGGCGCACCCGTCTTCACGCCCGGGACGCGGCTTTCTGAGGAGTTTGAGGAGCTCGCGCCCAAAGATGGAGAGAAGGTCGTGCGCAAGAACTTCCCTGGATCGTTCGCCGGGACGGATTTGCAGGAGCACCTTGAGGGGAAGGGGGAGCAGGGGAAGAAGATTGTGTTGACGGGATACATGGTGAGTTTGATGAGGAGAGTAGTGAGAGACGTGGGGGGCTAATCATTTTTCTAGGCGCATGTATGTGTTTCTACGACGGCGAGACAAGCTGCCCAGCGCGGCTTTGACGTTCTCGTGGCGGAGGATGCGGTTGGTGATCGTGACATTCCCGGGGTTGATGCTGCCCAGCTTACCAAGGTCGCCTTGAGTGAGATTGGAGACGCATTTGGCACCATTGTTCAAAGCAAGGACATTGCGTAATGAAAACTTGCCACAACTAGGTATCCTATAAACCACATGATGAAAAGCACATCCGCCCGAGTTTCTATTCAGCCACATCATGAAACCAGTCACCTGCGCCATGTGCCTTGGCGATCTTGAACACTGGAAATACACGCGTTTTCGAAACACTGTTGATCTTACGAGTCCACTCTGTATCAGTCAGCTGTCTGAGTGACACCAGGTCTACTTCTTCCGACTCAAATTCGTGAACTGCCAGCCACTTTGGGGGTTGCGGTGGGGGCTCATCATTTGTGGACAGGCCTTTCAGCGCGCGGGACTGCGCGTTAGACCGAGCAAGGGCGAGCTTGAACCTCGTTGTTCGGAGATATCCTGGCACACCGGCCAACTGATCAAGATGCTTCATTTGTGTAATATCAGTGACATTGTCCCCATATCTGCATCGACCAAACTCACCTCTTTCCTGTACCAGCTGTCAAACTCATCTTCGGTGAGCTCACCCAGCTCGTACTGAGCTGCAATGATCGTTTTTACGACGCCTTTAGTCTTCAGCTACGCAGAATACACGAGCTAGCATGTGCTGCTTACCTTTGCCCTTCTTGGGATCAAATACCTGGACCAACTTGTAGTACCGCACATCAAAGTCTGCAAGGTCGTAAATGGGGCCGCCGTTCGGAAGCATGTCGCTCGAGACGTTGATGTTGCGGAACTCCTCGGTTTGCGTGAAGCCAATGTCTCTCATCGGGTATATGGCTAGATACGGCCGTTCGACGCTGCCGATGTTGACGTCGAGGAAGCGAAAGGCTGACTGGATACCGCTCGTTGCGAGGATCTCCGCAATATGGTCTTCATCGTACCATTTAAAGAACGACTCCTCGTCAATGAGATCTGGGCGAATAATCTTGGAGTTCACGAAAAGGAGACCGGGGCCTTGGATATTTTCCGACATCTTCGTGATTCTCAAATCCGCCTTCTGGGTCAGTCAAGACAGATTCCTGGAACGATAGTTTCGTGGTTGGGGTTGAGATTGTGAAATATTGGGTAGCGGCATTTTTGGACGCACCAACACAAGGCACGTTTCCGGCTAACGAGTACCAAACTTGACCGCAGATGCGACTTCGGAAATGCAGGTCGCTGTTTGCGGGTATCCTTATCCCCCGGGGATTCCGGGGCGGCCCTACAATTGCGGCCAAGCTCACGGCTTAGTCTCGGAAGGGAGAACATACTTACATCAACATCCAGTACATGCCTGTCAATTCATGACGACGGTTGTTCAATTCACCGCAAACCTGAGATCTACTATCTTACGTCTGCCACCATGCCCCAGTTTGATCGAACCTAGGGAATGGACTGAGTTTCTGTTACCAGAGTCATATGCAGTTCCTGCCTCAGCCAGCCCAGCCAAAAGGTTCATCTCTCCTGAACTTATCAGTTGAGGAGCCGGACCATCAGAATGATCTATTAACAGCACTTGATCAGAGATTCCATGGATTGCGGTGTAAAGACCACTAGATACTTCTCAACATGAGAGGCGCCATCAATGCTACATATCAGACACACGGGTGCCGCTACAAGGACGAAGACACGGGAGAGCACCACGCGTAGCATCCAGTCGACATGGCAGGCATCCGGATCACTAAGTAGGCACTGGCACTCGTGATCCGAACGTATCAGTCAGATCCATCGCCGGGGCAAAAAGATCGATAGTATTTTACTTGATAATTTCTTCATGTCGTTCGTGGGAGAGTCGGCATGCACGGTGAGGGTTTTCCCGAATCGATGCGAAGCGCACCTTCAAAAGATTGTGGACTAATGATCTTAAGATTATGACTAACACTGCGCAAGAGTCTTGAACAGGGCCTTTGATGAAGATCTATGTAGATATCTTTCGGGAACCCAACGATATTCTCATCGGCGAGGCAGGCTAGCATATGAAGAAGCGCCATGAAAAGCGGGCTTAAGAGTTCACTATATTTCTCTTCCGGTCGATTATGGCACGAAAGGCAGTAAAAAGCTTGTGGGCGTCTAGTTTTGGTCTTCGTTAGTGGCAATGAGCTCGCTGCGAACTCTGATTGCATTCTAATCGAAGCAGCCCGGAATTCCTACAGCTTATCAAGTCGCTGTACGATGAGTGCTATGTTTAGGGCGAGTTATAATATAATCCCGGCCCACTTTGGATCATCAGCCTTTTGTCGTGAATAAGGACCTGCAGATGGGATTGGAGTGTTCACTGCTGTAGGTCTAAATGAGTTTGCCGTCTGTGAGAATGCGGTGTCAATAGCACCTCTCAACGAAGTCAGAGTCGCAACTAGACAGCAGCCTCGGCACTGGCCAGACCCTGCCTCTATTTACTATCAACCATCTCAGATCCAAAGCTGAAATCGCCGATTGGGAAGACCCCAAGGTGCGGAGAAAGCGGCACCGCAGCAGCATGGCCACGACGATCGACGCGGGACTTTCAGCCAGAAAGCCCACTAAAAACAGGGACCGCCAGGGGCTGTCATTTCACCAAAAGTCCAAACAGCTGCTGAATGGACGCTCAGGAACCACAGCACCACATCGCTCCAGGGCCACGCAGTCAACCGACTTGGCGTACAGCGAGTTCGTAGCCCAAAGAGGCATCAATGTCGTCACCACTTTGCAGGGCGACGGCGGGCTCTCATGATTTTGAGAGTATTTGGGCAGTGAAATGCTGCTTTGTTGGCTTCGGACCTCGGACACTTGGGTTCTGCGAGGACAAGCATTGGCGTGTTCATCATTACACAGAACAACACCGCCATGGCACGATTCCACGATGGAGGCCTGTCGTGGTCAACTAGTTAAAAGGGAATGATGGGATGAACGGCACTACCATCGCCTGCCCTCCCTTGCTCTTCAGGCTCAACTGAGACGAACACCAGCTCTTTGCGCCGTGATACGTGCCGCCGAAAGTTATTAGACTTGTTCTACTGTAAGAAAACGAGTTGTCAGACTTCCATCATGCGGCCCTCAACCCTGCCCACCCTCCTCTCGTGCGCCGCTGTCGCAACGGCAGCCGCGACGACCAACGGCACCTCCGAGACGACGATCCCCAACGTCGTGCCCGCCGTCTGGGACGGGGAATGCTACTACCCCACGCCGGACTCCGCGTTCGATCTCGAGAGCTATCTCGGCCGCTGGTACCAGGTCGCCGGAACCGTTGCGCCCTTCACGGCCGGGTGCAAGTGCATTTTTGCGCAGTACTCTCTCAACGTGAGTTTCCGCCCCTGAGACTCGGAGGAACTCGTTTAATCTCTCGTACGATGCGATACGAGGATCACCGCTGACCTTTGCCCCCCAGGACAACGGCACCGTGCTGGTAAACAACACCTGCCAGGCCGACACCACCCCGGTCAACATTCTTGGAACCGCCGCGCCCGCCGATCCGTCGTACGGCGCCAAGGGCGTTCTCCGCGTGCAATTCCCCGGCCAACCGGCCCCCAGCTGCGCGGGCCCGAATTACATCGTCCAAGGTGAGTGAACGAGCCCACGTCAGCTGGTTTCTATGTGTAGATTGGCTGACCACGCTGTGCAGACTACACACCCGACTTCGCCGTCGTGCAAGCCTACAACTTCAGCACCTTGTTCGTGCTCAGTCGCGAACAGAACCCCGCCGATGAGCTCCTCGATGTAAGTCGCTCCAACACCACCGCCAACCGTCGCCCACAGAAACACATGCTAACCACCGTCACCCTTCGGCCAGACCTGGATTGCGCGCGCCGGGCAACTCGGCTCCAACCTCGACAACGTTGTCAAGACCGACCAGACCGGTTGCCTGTTCACCTGAGACACGGAGCAAACGACGGCAACGGGGCAGCAATGAGGAAGAATAATCTGGGGTACATGAGGAATCCGTGCCTGGCGCTTGAACATGTCGGGATAATTTGACGTGAGACATGCAAACCCCAGAAAGGCCCAAGCCCGCAGCATGAGCGGCATCTAGACATGTTCTATACCCAATAAAGCATTCTTCCAGTGAACGAGCGCCGAAACAACAATTCAGAAGTTGCCGTGACACTGACGCCGCATCCGAACAGGGCAATCGATGACAGCCGACATGACACTTGACTGTAGAGCTCAGACCTCGTAGCTGAAGCAAGCAATCGAAAGCTCACAGAGCTCTCCCATGTTGATCGGGTTCTAATTGGCCAATGGACATGAGGGGAAAAGCAAGCTCAGAGCTGAGCTCTCTTCCCCATTGCTTTTTTGACTTTTCCCCCTCCTCCAGCTTTCCGCCTAAAATAAGCTTCGTTCTTCTTTTGTCGAAGGGCTGTTGCACCAGTGCGACCCAGCGCAGCCACTTATGCAAGGGGCATCAGTCGTGTTTCTATGACGACACCATTCCACACGAGACACCATGACGAATTGGCCGCGAACGGCGAAAAAAGGGCCCCATGTGTGAACGCATCTGTGGACCGTCTCAAGGACAGGAGGAGGAGGTTGGTGTGTCGGAAAGCGTCAGAGTGACACAAAAGCAGGAGAGGGGAGGAAAAGAAGGCGTGGGCGTCAATTGAGTTTCGTTCAAATAGCTCTTGCGCCCTCCCACCCGCTTCCCCGCAAGGAGCCGGCTTGTTCGTTCCATTACTGACTCCTACTGTGACTCTGCGCCCTGCTGCAAATTGGATCAAAACAACTAATTATCGATATCACCACCGAAACGTTACGTTCATACACACACCGCAAAAATGAAGGGCAAGGAAGAGGTCATCTCCGAGTTCAACGAGTACGTCAACATGACGGCCGAGGAGCTGGAGTCGTGGCTCAAGTCAGGCGACTCGAACAGCGCTGGCTGGCCCAAGGACGACGCGGAGGGCGACGGGGAGACAGTCGGACATGACAGCGGGCGCAATATTGTGGAGATCCTGAAGGCCAACCCGGACAAGAAGGAGGAAGAGTACACGGACGACCAGGTTGAGCACATGCGCAAGGTCGTTGCGTACTGGTGAGTGCGACGTGACGGTGTTGTTGTTGGTGTAGTCGATTGCTAACAGTAGATTCAGCAAGCGCCACCTGGCCCAAGAGGCGAAGGGCAACAGCGAAAAGTCACCCGAGGAGGTGAAGAAGACCAAGTCGTACGCGTCACTAAAGAACTGGGGCCACGACTTCCTCAAGGCTCAAGGCAAGGAGGGCAGCGAGCAGAACGGCAAGTCTGCGAAGAACAAGAACGGTGACGGGGAGAAGGCCGAGTCCAACGGGTCCAAGAAGGACGAATCCAATGGATCCAAGAAGGAGAAGAATGGTAGCAAGAAAGAAGATGATGAGGAAGAAGAGGAGGAGGAGGCTGAGAAGGCCAACGAGGGCAAGGAGGAGGAAGAGGAGGGCGTTGATGATGAGAAGACTGGCGACAAGCGCAAGAAGTCCGATGAGGAGAACGGATCCAACAAGAAGCGACAGACCCGCCAAGGCGAGGGGAAGGCCACCAAGAAAGCCGAGGGCGGAGAGGATGAGAAGGAGGAGGAAGAGGCCGAGGATGACGGCGACGAGGAGATGGAGGATGACGAGGAGGAGGGAGATAACAAGGAGAACGGCAGCAGCAAGAAGACCAAGAAGGGGCCTAAGAAGGGCGACAAGGTCAGCTGGCAATGGGGCAATGGTAACCCGGAGGGCAAAGTCCTCGACGTCAAGGAGGAGAAGTAAGTCGCAGATCACTGTGAGTGCTGGAAGGTGATGGCTAGCTAACATGGCATGATCAGGACTACTATCGAGACGAAAAACGGAAACGAGGTGTCGCGTGACGGTAATCCCGACGACCCGGCCGTGGTGTTGGATACTGGAAAGTCAAAGGCGATCAAGTCGAACCATGAGTTGAACTGAGCGAGGCGTTCGTCGAGGAAGTCGGTGGAATTGTACACTAGTGTGACATGATATGTTCGCGGCTTACGTTGATGGCGTGAGAGATGGATTGATACGAAAATAATCATTGCGACTTAATTCAAATTTGGTAACATACTCTCTTGATTGTGAATACGCGGCTACTATACAACTGCAAAGACACTTTTGCTTTTCCTCTACAATTCATCAGAAGCTCCGTCGAGAACAGAACCACCAGCCTTGACATCAGTCTTCTGATACTTGGTCACCGGATCCTTCTGCGCCTCCTTCACCTCATTCCAGAACTTCTCGCCATTCTCCTTATCACCTTTGAATAGGTGGTCAATCACAAGCTTCTTGGGCGTCTCGCCCATCCACTGGAAGAGGGAGAAATCGCGGAACTCATCCGCCCTAAAGATCTCGAGCATCTCAATCGGCTCGTCGCCGATATTCTCGACAAAATGCCCCATGTTCTTCGGCACGATGCCCACGTCGCCGGGGACGTAGTCGAACGTGCGCGCGGTGCCCTCGGCCGCGAAGATGGTGACGCGCGCGCGGCCCTTGATGAAGAAGGACCACTCGTCGGCGTTGGGGTGCCAGTGCATCTCGCGCAGCGCGCCCGGCTGGATCGTGAGGTGCGCGGCGGCGACCGTCTTGGAGATGGGGAAGTTCTTGGAGTCGGTGATACGCACCTCGCCGCCTGAGGTGATTACGGGGTCCTGCGCGAGCATGGAGTGCACGAAGTTGTACTTTGACTTTTTGGCGTGCTTGCCGGTCGGTCGCTCGTCTTCGATGGACCCGGGCAGGGTGCCTTGGAAGATGTACTTCTCGCCCTCGGGGATGTGCTCGAAGATCTCGGGGTCGAGGTGGAAGTTTTCGGCGATGACGGATTTGGGGGTGTGGGCTGTGAAGTGCGTGTTAGTAGGGCTTCACTGACGCTTGTGGTTCTCATTGCTCTTCGTGATGTTTGGCGATCAATACCATTCCAGGGCGATCTTTAGATGTACAATCCGCTTGTAGCGGGTAAGGGTAGATGAAAGATAGGGAAGAAACACTCACCAAGCCAGTCAGAGAGAATAAAGGTAGACTCCTCAGAGAACCTGCCGTCGTCAAAGATGAGGAGGAACTCGGTGCCGTTGGGGCTCAATCCCTGCAGCGAGTGAGGAACACCACTCGGGAAATACCACAGATCGCCTTTGCCGACGTCTGCGATGAAGTTGCCGCCCTCGTAGTCGAGCGCCGTCACGCGGACCTCGCCGTCCAGGACATACGCCCACTCGGCCTCCTTGTGCCAGTGCAACTCGCGGATAACGCCCTCGCCGAGGCGCATGTTCACGCCGGCGAGCTCGACGCTGGTCGACAGCTCGCGGACGGTTGTCTGGCGCGTCCAGCCGCCCTCCTGTTCCAGTGTAATTGTGTCAGTTGCGCATGGTTCCCAGTAACCCAGCTGAAGCCCATCAAGAGCCAATTGACAGTGTCGCAACTCACCTCGATCCTAATGTGCGAATCCGCAAAGCTCCAGCGCATGTTGGGCATGTTCCCGTGGTCCGTCGACGGCGGGCGCACGAGGTCCGGGTTCTGGCGCGAGCGCTCCTTGTTCCACGGCCCCAGGACCGACGAGCCCAGCCCGTTACGGTAGGGCAGCGGGTCGAGCCCGTCGCCGACCGAGTCGACGGCACCGTCGTTGGGGTCCCGGAAGCCCGGGGTGTACGGGTTCTTCGCGTTCGACTCGTCGGCGAAGGCGCTCTTCTTGCGGTAGCTCGCGGGGATCTCCATGCCCCGGAGCAGGCGCTCGCGCGGGCTGTCAAAGTGCGGCATCGCCGTCGCGACGGACGCCCAGAGGAGCAGCAGCTTGGCTGCCGTGCGTTGGGTGAGCTGCATGGCTGGGCGCTGATGCTGATGGGGTTGACGGGGTGTGAGGGGGGGCTTGATGTGACGCTTGATCGCTGCCAAGAAAGAGCTTCAAGGCAGGGAAACCGGCGCGATGGAGAAGCTGTCAAGCTTTGGAGGAGACAGAAGAGGAAAGAGAGAGTGCGAATACAGGAAGGGTTCGCGCAATTGAGCTTGTGATCATGGGAAGAGAGGCAGATTTTATACCTCCTCTGATCTCGTCATCCCTCCTCTCCTCCTGAAATCATGTCATGTCATGCCAGTCCAGGAACCTTGCCATGACCTCTTCCTCGGCCTTACCCATTGTCGCAGGCCGTGGAAAGATGTGGTACGTAAACACAGAGCTTACAAAGGGCAAGGTAGAGCTCGTAGTCATCGGCGCATCACCTCGGCTGCCCATCGCTGCAGGTCGACACACACACACACTCTCTGGTCTGTCTCCCACGTACCATGCATATCCGTCTGCTACACCACACACACCAATCCAATTCATCCATCGCACATGCCGAACCCCCGAGCTTCCAATCCGGAGCTCCCCCGCAGCTACAGCAGCATGGCAAGGTAGTAGCTTCGAGGCACACTGCGACGTGCTCTTACACCTCTAGCTTGACTAGACTCACTCTGTTTACAAGAGGCCGTAACCTGGCGGAGCTGAGCCGCCATCCCCGCCAGAGAGTGAAACGCGGCATAGGGCGAGCGCTCATCGTGCGGGGATGAACCACGACGAACCACTCAGCTCGTCTTTCTTTAGTGACAAGCCGTGCCAGGGGGGAGAATGACGGGAGCGAGAGGGGTGAAGGGGACATCAGTTGCCGATGCACTCTAATCGGATTAGCCCCAGCGCTTCTCAATGCCTGCTTGCCCTCTTCTCACTGCTTCTCACTTGCGTCTCACTGGAATATCCGTGCAAGACTGTTGGAGCGAATCCACTCGAGGGGCACTCTGCAGCGGTCATGACGCAGGTTCCTGCGGATTGAGCTTAACTCCAAGGACCACATCCCGCTGCAATTGGACGGGGAATATGTCGGAGATCCTGGAGAAGAAGCTGGCCCGGCCAGGCCCTAGGATCAAAGGTTTCACTGCAGCAAGCCTTTTTGCACATCTCATCCAATCTCAGTTAACGGTACCTCGAGCTCTTCTCCAATGAATGATTTCCCCCTCTTGGTTTCCTATCTTTAGTGCCCACTGACCTTTCACCCCTCGTCAAGCAGACACAACACAAAAACACCAAGGGACACCAGCGTCGTCTCAAGGGCGGGGTGAGCTCTTGGCTTTTCTTCGGCATTGCTTTCCGCACCTTTTCCTTCTCGGCATCCTCCCTGGCCCATATAAACCAGGCTGGAAAACCTGGAAACATTTCGCGAGCGACCCTGCGATCTCTAATCTCAGTGTGGACCGCGCGGCAGACCGGCACTGGCACATTGCGCGTCCCGTCTTGTCCGTTTGTAACATCCGACCTTATTTTATTTATAACGCCAACACTTCATCACCCGGTCAGTGCTTTACAGTGGGTAACGGCCCCCCTAATTAGGTCATAGCTCGCCCAGTGACGATATCTGTCTGTTAACATCGTGCGTCTTCTTTGCAGACAACCCGGCTTCTTTTGCTTTTCCCGATTCTACACTAGTCAGTCATTGGACTGTTCGACCCGAGAGACGCGAGAGCTTTCACACAAGTCTTCCGCATCCAAGATGAGCTCCAACGGGAACTACGGCTCCGTCACCAACTCGGTGCCGGTGGTCAACGGCGACTCGCACGCCCATGCCGATGAGGAGCAGCCTCTGCTGGGCGGCGGCGGCAGCAGCAGGAAGCCAACAAAGTCCCTCCGCAAGAAGTTGACCACCGACGTGCAGCGCGACTGGGCCGACCTCGTCCTCTTGGCGTGCTACATCATCACCGGCCTTCTCGACAGCTCTTCCATCTCCATCTGGGGCTCTTTCGTCTCAATGCAAACAGGTACATCCTCTTTACTCATGTTTACCCAACGGCCCCCACAGCAACAGACAAGAAAAAACTGTTTCTTGTTTCGCCCCAAAGCGTTGGCGACTGACACAAATACCCAGGAAACACCGTCTACATCGGCCTCGGCCTCGCCGCCCCCACCGAATCCACCCGCTGGATCAAGTCCGCCACCTCGCTCGGCTCCTTCTGCCTGGGCTCCTTCGTCTTCAGCCGCTTCCACCGCTTCTTCTCCCCGAAGCGCCGCTGGGTGCTCTGCGCGTCCTTCATCCTGCAGACGCTGCTGTGCACCGCCGCGGCCCTCATCCTGACCTTCGGCCCCGCGGCCGGCAAGGACGAGATCGCGTGGAACGTGCTGGTCCCCATCGCGCTCATCGCCTTCCAGAGCTGCGGCCAGGCCGTCACGAGCCGCGCGCTCAAGTACAACGCCCTCACCAGCGTCGTGCTGACGAGCATCTACTGCGACCTGTTCTCCGACGCCGAGCTGTTCTCGGTGCGCAACGCGGAGCGTAACCGCAGGGTCGGCGCGCCGGTGTTGCTGCTCATCGGGGCCATTTGCGGAGGGTTGTTCGCGCATAGTTCATTTGGTATCGCAGGCGCGCTGTGGACTGCGGCGGTGATGAAGTTCTTTATTGTCTTGTCTTGGTTCTTCTGGCCTAGCGATCCTGCCGATGAAGAATGATTTCAGTGCGGGCAATTGTTGTAGAAAAGCTAGAGTCAACACGACTTTTGTAGACAGATTTGGTGTTACCTGTTGTGTCACAGAAACCAAGCCCTACCCAGAAGAAAATTGACTAGATAGAAGGTTGTACACATCGTTTGCGGACCCCGTTCCAAACGCCTCGAAGATCAAGTTATCATCCATCAAGTTGAGTCCGTCGCCAAAGTAAGAGCTGTCCCCAGGCTGGTGAGGTGTTTGACCCAACCCGCCAGCTCCCCACGTCGCTGGGGTATTTAGGTGCGCACCCATCAGACCGCCCGCATCTACCGCAGGTCGCGAGAATGCGTCAACTCCTCTACTCGCACTTGGGCTGACTTCATAGCCGACTCCATATTGATGTCCTCCAAAGCTGCCCATCATACCAACGCCTGCTGGCCCATCCATCTGCCCGCGTGCTGCTCCCACATTCTCAGAGTTCTGCCGCCGTTGCCTCGACTCCTCCATCTTCTCCAGCATCTTTTCCAAGCCCGTCGCAATATGCTTCAAAACATGGCGATCCGACGTGACGGCGCTCTTCAGCACCCCAATCATCCTGCCCAAAAGCCTCGCAACATACTCCTCTTCCACCTTCAGACCCATGACAGAGTTCCACCGCGTCGCCACCTTCATCAAGAACACGCTCGCAAACGCAATCATCGTGTGCACATACAGTGGCGTTCCGACCAGCGCGCGGCGCATGTCGTCCTCCTCTAGGACGAACGTGATGATACTCACGGCGGCAGAGACAGCCAGATTCGCAAACTCTTTGCGTTCCGTGGAGAGGAACTGGTCTTGCGACGAACCTGCGAGGGAGATGCCGCGGACGGCCAGCGAGTTGATTTGGAGTTTGGCAAAGTACGAGTAGAGGATGATGCCCAGCGGGGGAAAGCTGCCGATGCAGAAGTTTCGCGTCTGGCGCGCGTGCCAACGCATCCGCCACTGGTCGATTTCCAGGTTGAACATGCGCAGGGCTTCAAAGTCCGACTCGACCAGCATGGCGGTGGAGGGGTCGTTGCTGGAAGACTGGTCGGCTACGTTTGGTCTGCTTTGTGAGACGCTGTCGGTACCGCTTGTGAGTCCGATGACCGGGTCTCTGGCGGACCCGAGCCTGCCCCTGATCTCGTTGAGGGCCGGCAGCTTTCTTTCTGCGAAGCGGTCATAGACCCGCGTAAGGATTTGCATGAGGTTGACCTGGCTTAGGATTCTCGCGTCCAAGGCGTTCGAGAACGGACTGGCTAGGAAAAGCTCGTGTTCTCGAATCTGGATGCTCTCGGCAATCATGGGCGGGCGTCCGTAGGCGATGCTGAAGTGGTGGTCGCATACATATAGCATGTACCACAGCCTAGCTCGCAGGAAATGCTCTTTGTTTCCGTCCAAGGCTGCTGTGAAGGACTGATGGATGTTCAACTCCGTAGCGATACGGATGGCATGTCCGGACAGCTTCCATGACACTTCGGACATCCAGAATGTGGCGATGCAGAGGCCGCGCACGTCATCTATGGAGTGGTATCGGGAGAACATGGAAGAGGATATGAGGGATAGAAATTCCTTGTAGCATATATCGAATGTTGCTGCCGCTGCGGAGGTCGGGATGTGGAGAGCAGTCACGGCTAGAATTGTTGCGGTCAGAAGTTCGGAGGACCGTCGAACTGAGATGAAGGATGGGTGCGTTTGTTCGAGACCGACCCATAGATAGTGGTTTAACGAGGTATGGAAGCTAGCTTGGTTGTCAGCTACCTCGTTTGTTGCTTGCGGCTAAAAGACTTACATCTCGTAAAGCTCTTCAGCTTCCGACTCAGCGATGACCCCTCTGGAAATGAAATCGTTGAGCTGTCCTTGGCCTTCTGGGAGCGGCCTAGTCATTTTCGACTTGTTGCTACGGATATTCCGAAGCCGGGTCACCTCGTACAGACTGCCCATTGGATCCTCAACAGTTACCGATCCATTGCTTGGGTCACCATGAGATACCGGGTCTGGCGAGTTCTCTCGCGTCATGGCCATGTGCGTGTTATCCTCTCTACAGGATATGCCAGCGGGACTTGTCATATTTCCCGGTGTTCCGGACGGAGGACCGCTATGTTGAGCAACGGATTGGTGAGACGGAACAGATGGAGGATCTTCATGGGACAGAGGCGCTGGGAGATCCTCATACCGGCCCTGTGCTTGAAGCTGTCGACGGGAGCCGTTTGCTGCGGACTCAGCTTGGAGCCTAGCCGTCTCTGCTAGAACCGCGTCCAGTTTGTTGTTCATCTGCTCGATCTCCGAGCGCATCGAGTCTATCTTCCTTTTGCAGTTAACACATTGTCAGCGGTCCGAGAAGGAACCCATCCAATGACTTTCGCACGTACTCGTACGCTTCAAGCGCTCTTGTCACATCATCCTCGGTGTCAACATCAGCATCGTAAGATCTTTTAATGATACAGCTGACGTTACGGCGAAGACAATGCCGGCATTTTCTGTCTCCTGGAAATACCTCGCATCTCATCTTGAGCTTCTTACACTCCAAGCCTAAACGAGTCGAAGCGTTGTCAATCCCTATTCCTCAGATCCATCATCCCAACCTCGCAATTGAACTTACAAGCTCTCGACTTCCTACCAGGACCACCGACCCGACCATCCTTGGCGCCGTTCGTCGATGCTATTGCCGGAGGAGTACCGGCCTCATGCGGTGCTTCTCCCCGCGATGAGTCTGGTGATGGCATGTTGGCTTCCTATTCGTTATGCTCTTGGGTTGATTGCACACGCCTTTGTCGGACATCACGGGCTTCATCCGATGGATGGATGGCTGGTTTCTCGTCCAGGTCTGCAGCGTCAGGTCTTCGGGGAACCCCCGAGGGTAGGAAGACTACTGCCGGGCTACAGGGCGGGGGGAGTGGGGATCACCAACACACCGTCATGTATGATTCGGCAGAGAGAAACGCGGGGTTAGCGTCCATGGATCTTGGCTGCAGAGGGGTGTGTGTGCCGGTCTTAAGTCCGCCTGGGTTCATTCACGCTGCATCTCATGATTGGACTAGTCCAGATTGATAATATCATTGTCGGAACATTTTTCATCGTGGATGGCCCGATTCTTTGCAGGGCATGATCAGATTCATCAATGATATCGGTGTCCTAGATTTGATATTTCCACGTCGCTCGCGATCTGCTCTGCCGTCCTCCTGCATGATCCGTGTCACTCCGTTCCTCAATGTGGGTACTGAGGTCCTTGCCGTCCACGCCAGCTTGCTCAAGAGTCACATCGTCTATCAAGTTGTCCATCTGCTTGTTACACCTCCGCAAGCATATCGTCAAGATGAGTGTGCTGACAACGATGATAGCCGTCATGGCGAGATTAACTGACCATGCCACGATATAACGCGGCCCTGCACTTGATGGATACAGGTAAGGCGTCCACACGAGAGCCAGATTACCGATGGAGTTGTTGACTGCCAAGGCGATTGCTCTCTTCTTCTGTGGGCGGGCGGCAATATTCGCCATCCATGCATTGGAAACCTGGAAGCAGCCATAGGTTCCAGGCAACATGAGGAACAATGCAAAGTACCGCGCTCCAATATTGGTGGTTGCGATAGTGATGATGATGCCCACTGCGGCGGCCATGGAGGGGTACATAATATGAGGCGATCGCTTCGAAGTACGGTCCGAATACCACGTGTTGAACAGACAAAACAAAACCGTTGCCAGATACGGAGGGGAAGTCAGTAGTAGGGTATTCACAGTGTTGTAGCCAAAGTTCTGAACCAGAGTAGGCAAAAAATTGGTGAGAGAGGCCACGGCTTGAAGACAGGTTTGCCCAATGACGCAGAGCCAGATGCGGTAGTCTTTGACTGTCAACTTGAAGGCTGCCCCGGTGCTGATCTCTTCCTCTTCTTCTCCAGCGTCTTCGATAATTCGCATGATACCGAGCGCTCTTTCTTCGGGAGAAAGCCACTTTGTCGTGCTAGGCCAGTCAGGAATTACGAATGCGGTGATGGCAGCAAATACGACCGTGGCAATTCCTTCGATGATGAAGAGCCAACGCCACGATTCGAGGCGATTGTTTGCAAAAGCAGCGGCGATGCCGGCGGCGAAAAGACCTCCAAAGGCGCCCGAAATCATCGCGGCGGAGTAGAAGATTCCTAGCCGCAAGCCAAGCTCTTTTCGGGTGTACCATCCACTGAATAAGAAAGCACAACCAACGAAGAAGGGTGCCTATGCAATATGATTAGTTCATGTACCTCGTGCCAAGGTGCGAGTATGAAACGAACCTCAGTAACACCCAGAAAGAACCTGTTGACAGCCAAACCGGTGAAATTGTGGACTGCCCCTGACAGGCCACTCACGATACCCCATGCTGCCATGCACCCAGAGAGATACCAGCTGGGCCGAACTTTGGTAAGGATCATATTGCTGGGCACTGAATAGGGTTAGTGTTGCCAAAAGATGATCCGAGGGGTGTTCATACCTTGCATGGAGATGTATCCGACAAAGGTCACCGAGAGAACAATGTTGTACTGATAACCAGACATGTTCAGGTCCTTCTCGAGGCCCTGAACTCTGGCGTGGGCTAAGGCAAGACATCGAGTTAGCATTGCATCGGATGTTTCCGTCTTCGCAATCTTGACGAAGCAGAGCACAGATACATAGTGTGAGAGGCACTTACGAACAGCATTCCTGTCGATGTAGTTCGTGATGTACACAATGATCTGGAAGGAGATAGTCAGTATTCTTGCCCAAGTTATCAAGCCAACGTCTCGATTTCACTAACCAAAATCGGCAGTAATCTCCAATCGATCTTTCGGACAAACTTCTTCTCCCTCTCAGACCTCTCCTCGGGGGACCAGGACGCGACTATTGCTGCGTAGTCCACAGGAGATGACCCGGTGTTGACCACATTTTCTTTCTTCGACATATTTCAGGCGACTGGAAGGAAGTGGTTCAAAGTACGCAAATTTGCAGGCTCAAAAATGGCATCTAAGTGCCTGAGAGAAACGAGTGGCGGTATTGACGGAAACTGAGTTGTCAATGTTCAGAATTGTGGCAAGCATTTGATACGTAGAGGTGCACGAGCTTAAGTACTATTCTTGTAACCAATTGATCTATCTTATGAATGGCAGCAATCCTTCAATCACATTCGTAAGGTACGGGCAGATGGCCGGGCGATCTTGGCACTCGGAACCCCAGCCTTGGGCAGTCAGAAGGGCAGTAGGAATCACGCTTACATTGGAATATCTGGGGGTGGATGGTCCGGGGAAAGCTTTGCCGAATGATTTCAAAGGCCGATTCCCCGAATGCTAAACACATACTATGCAGTAATGACCTCACGGGAGATGATGCGCACGGAGCGATGCCTGGTGAAGCAAACATTGATCAGACGACTTCACAGCTAGGTTGGCCCGGAAAAAGAAAAGCATAGTACGTTGCACACAGCACAATCTTGCCTCCAGTTGGACGTTGGTTGTGGGGTACTGCGACCACACCCGCTGTGGAGTGGAGGTGTCGGGAAATCGGCGAAGTGCCGGTGGTCAACATCCAACCAGACTCATACGGTAGTGGGGATACTACGCATCGTGGATACCTCACAATAAGTTACAGAAATGTATGCATGAGGAGAGCGAACGAATCTACATGATAAATATGGTCAGGGTCCCAATTCAACAGGCGGTTGTAGAACTACTGATCGACGTGGGCTCCTTTTCTACTCGTTCAAGATCAAACGCCAGCTCTTCACCCCAGATTATCATTATTTTTCTTCAATAATCAAGACATCATCGACATCATGACAAGCCTTTCAACAAAACTCGCCGACCTCGAAAAGGCTGGAAAGCCAGTTCAGGTCGGCATCATTGGCGCTGGCAAGTTCGGGTCCATGTACATCTCTCAGTCCCACCGCACGCCTGGAGTTCACTTGGCTGCCATTGCGGATCTTTCTTCTGACCGAGCTCTTGCTTCTCTGAAGCGCACTGGCTATCCCGAGGGCAAGTTTGACGCGACCGCTTCGCTGAGCATTTCCGAAGCTATTGCTGCAGGAAAAACAGCCATTACGACAGACTCAGCAACACTGATTGCCACCCCGGAAATTGACGTCGTGCTAGAAGTCACCGGAAACCCTGCAGCAGGCATCCGTCACGCTCTCCTCTGCTGTGAGCACAAGAAGCACATCGTCATGATCAACGTTGAAGCCGATGTTCTGGCTGGGCCTTTGCTGGCACGGAAGGCGAGGGAGGCTGGCATCATCTACTCAATGGCATACGGAGACCAGCCGGCACTCATTGCTGAGATGGTGGACTGGGCCAAGACGGCTGGCTTCGAAGTCGTGTGCGCAGGCAAGGGAACCAAGCATTTGCCCGACTACCACTACTCCACGCCGGATACTGTGTGGAACCATTACGGATTCACCAAAAAGCAGCTTGCCGGGGGCGACTTCAACCCGCAAATGTTCAACAGTTTCCTTGATGGGACTAAGAGTGCTTTGGAGATGGCTGCCGTCGCCAACGGTTGTGACCTAAGCCCTCCTTCAGATGGGCTGAGGTTCCCTCCCTGTGGCGTGTGGGACCTCCCTACGGTGCTGAAGCCCACCAGCGAAGGAGGCCAACTCGAGAAGAATGGCACCGTGGAAGCTGTGTCTTGCATGGAAAAGGACGGTCGATGGGTGTTCAACGATCTGAGATGGGGTGTTTACGTGATTATCAAAGGTGCGTGCTCCTTGCTCAAATGAGATCCCTCAAGGTTTGGTACTAATATTATTCGACTGATAGCACCTGGAGAATACCAGAGGGAATGCTTCAAGCAATATGGCCTGAAGACAGACCCTTCTGGCTGGTATGCCGCTCAGTACAAGCCCTACCATCTTATTGGTCTGGAACTTGGCGTCTCAGTCGCGACAATAATGGTTCGCGGCGAACCAACCGGCCAGACTAAGACGTGGGCGGGAGATGTTGTTGCCACAGCGAAGCGTGATCTCAAGGCAGGCGAGAAATTGGATGGCGAAGGTGGCTTCACTGTGTACGGAAAGCTTACCACTGCCGAGAACTCTATGGCCATTGAGGGCTTGCCTATTGGCTTGGCCCATGGTTTTGTTCTCAAGCGCGATGTGAAGAAGGACCAGGGACTGAGTTGGCAGGACGTCGAGTACAGCGAAAAGGCACAGGCTGTGGCCTTCAGGAAAGAGATGGAGGCCGTCTTCAAGAAGGAGTTCTTGGCTGGCAAAGCCAACGGTGTGAATGGAACACACTAGACTCACGAAGGGAGCTGTTGATAATAGAGTCCAAGAAATCAGAAATGTTATATAAGCACCAATTCTACACCGCCCCCCGCCCCCGAGATAATAAATTCTATGTGCATCTCTCTTGTGTTGAAGAGACCTAAAAGATGTTTGTCCCAAAGCTCACGACTTAAACTCTATAAATACTGATATAAGAAATCCAAAAGCAGACGTTAAGAGGGATACACCGGAAAACCCCAAGGAGTACTCTTCTGCAGCAGCTGATGATCCAATCCTTGGTCCCCGCCATTCATGTAAAGAAATTTGGTTAAGGGCACCGTGGCATAAAAAGAGAAAGTCGTGTGAGCAGGCACGAAGGCGACATCTCCCTGCAGCAAGCTCAGACTTTCGAACCCATCCACGGATAGAGACAGTTGACCCTCTTGTACCTCCAGGGCAAAATGATGAGGTAGTGTGACCGTCGTCGGGGCTTGATTATCGAGCGTCGGGGAGAGTACTATGGTGCCCATGGTGAAGTTTCCATCGGTCTGCGTAGGTGTGACCAAAGGCTGTATGACTTTATATCCGTTCTCAGAGTTGAGGTATGCTGAACCGTAGTTGTTGGCAACAAAGTATGGCTCGGTTGGATCACTTGGTAAGCTGTTTGGTCCGTCATGCCACGGCAACCCGGCATCACCCGCAGTACCGTTGATCAAATCTCTCCTAGGCGTGAATGCTTCTGCTGAGGCGGCAATCAAGTCCATGGATCGAAGCTGTTCGTACACCTCAGGCGTGAGGACTCCAAACGGGTCAGGGTCCTTCTCAATCGGAACGTATGGCGATCCAACTTCGGATTCGTATTCGCCGAGACTGAGCTTTGCAAAGAGATCCTCGAATCCAGCAGGATGAAAGATGTGATTCAATTGGCTGTCCGGATCGATAAGTTGAAAAGTGTGTATAGTGCCTGGAGGCGCATTTCCATAGTCGCCCACAGACGCAACTCGGGCCTCATGATCAGCACCGGTGATATTCTTTTGTGCCCAGAGCTCCACGCGGCCTCGGGTGCAATAAAAGTGCTCGTGAGTCTTCTCATGAGTGTGGGGTCTGGCGGCTGTCCAGCCTGACGTCTTGCCACTGTGCTGGACCATGGAGAATGCACCTCCAGATGAGTTCGCAGTGATTGCGAACCGAATGATGTCTGAGCCAGTCAGTTTGACAGCCCGACCTTTGAATCTGGGTAGAACATATGGCCGAGGATAGTCGGGAGCAACATCGACCAAGAGGGTATTTTCTTGGTGGCGGGGAATATGCAGCGCTGATGCAACCACTGCTAAGCAGGCGAAGGTTTCCAATGTAAATATTCTCATGTTTACTGAATGTACAAGTATGCTTGGCTTGGGTAAAGAAAAGCAACTGCCACAGCGTCTCGCGCGACCCTTTTAATAGGATCGTCTGATCCTCTGTCTTCTAGAGCTGGCAGACACAGCCATCACCCACAAGCTGGGGCCTTGCCGTGCCGTTCGTGTTCGTCAGCCATCATTTATGTCGAATACTTCAGGGAGGTCTAGGTAACTTTCAATGACTTGATGGGGCTTTTGGTAGATTTGTGGAGATACTCGTCTGCCTTGAAACCTTGGTTCAAGCCAGTTTTGCCAGTCAGAACTGAATCCAGACATGAGTTGCGAGCTGAAAACACCAACGTGATCGGGCAAATCTTATTCCAAAGGTCGGGAACTGAGCCACCGGCTAGCCCCCAACGTAAGCAGCTGTGGATACGCAATCCTGCAATGTTGTTCGCCCTGGCATGTTCGAAAGCGGGAAAATGAATAGTGATATCCCTTTTCTTGATCCGGATCGCGGAAGAAAATGCTTGGAGGAAGCACTTAGGCTATCTACATGGAAAGAAATGCATTGTTGACGGTGGCATTTCTCATCGACGTTGATTTTACCTGAGCCGGTACTTGTGGAACGGACCCTTCTTCATTCTTACGTCAGACACGTGATGTTACTGAGAGAGGCGACATGCTGGTCATTTGACTAGCATTAACCATTTGCATTGCCTCGAAGGAATGCCGAGGTTCCTTTTGGCCTCCAGGCGTAGCTCGGGCGAATGTCCAATTCCGTTCATGCGCAGTCATCTATATAGCCCCCAATCTCAGGCAGCCTTATGGACCCTGCATGTTACCCACCATACCAAGGCAGAAGCCCTCTTGGCACTTTTGATGGTAGAATGCTACAAGATCCTTCGGCATTGTCTTGTATTACTAACAGATAGTGTGATTTTTCCCGCCTTAACTGACAGGCTCGCAAATGCCCCTGCTACGCTAGCATCCATGGATGGGTATCTTGGCGGGAAGGTCAGCCTAAGATCATGGTCATTGATGCATGGAAAGTCCGGAATATCAGTCAATACGTTGAATTATTTCAACATATCTCGATTCGAAAAGACGTTGAGGATGAGCGCCATGATGAATAGAAGTGAGACGGCTTGTTCAGGGGGGGTGGGGAGTGCTAACGGCGCATTTGGAGACTTGAAGTTCACTATATTTCGTTGCAGGCGGCGTCGTATCATGTAATGTTCCGGCGTTCAGCAAATTTATACATGCAGTAGTGGAGATTGATCGTGCAGAGGGCGGCTACTGGGTGCACCTGTGTTTGCATACCATCAATGGGACGGTGCCAATTACACTTCGTCGATAGCATGGGGGTAATTCATAATTTCAAGAGTCACAAATGAAACGGGACTAGGAAGTCTATACCTAGTAATTTGGAGCGTCCATCACATCCGTTGCTTTAAGAAGGCACTGTCGTTGCCCATCAACGGGCAGACGATCTAAACACAACATTATGGTAAGATATTTACTTCCGATGCCTGATTAACAACGACAGCTACAGTTTACCTGCCGTAAGATGTATAGTTGGAATGAATCTGAGCACCAAAGACTCACCTGGAACGAAGTACGGGCTGTGACGCAAACGTTGATGACAAGCCACCGGCCACGCCAACATCAAGGCTATGATTAGCCATTCTTTGAAGCCAGAACCGCAATTCTGGCTCATATGTGCCACTATGTTCATGGCAGTCCGATAATGTTTGGAATGGAAAGAGTCATGTCGTTCGCTCTATATGCGAATCATTCGGACTCGGGAGGCGAAGACAGTTCGGGGTGACCGCTTATGCACTTCTATAGAAACGCAACCCATAAAACGCCTCAGATCCTTAAGCGAGGTAGCAAAGGTTTTACTTGACAGCAAAAAGAACGAATAACCGAGCTCATGTTTCCCTACAGCCCTAAGGAGCGATGTAAACTCAACCCAGCGAGGCATTCGGATTGGCATCAGCTCATGGCTGCCCCTGGCTTTTTGAAGCTCTCCCCGCAAAGTTCTGAGGCAGAACGTCCCTCCGTGGAGCCAATGGTTCGGTACGCTGCCAATATGTCAATTGGACTGCCTCGTCAAAACAACGCCTGTGAACATTTAAGCTTGTTGCGTGACACTAGGTATTTGAGAAACACCTTCTCTCGCAATCACAAGAGCATTCTTGAACAACTATAATCACATCTCTTTTCTTCCCTTCGGAATCTGAGACTTTCTGTTTGATTATTGTCATCTGGCATAACAGTATTTGCTGCTCCGTCAAAATGCACTTCTCCACCTTGACCGTCTTTTTCCTGACTGTTCTGTTTGGCCAGACTCTTGCCTGTGGGTAACATCTTTATAAGACACACTCATTTTGTACATCTACTAATATTGCATTTGTAGCTCCAGTCAGAGGTGGTAAGGCAGCCCGGGTCGCTGGCGGTGCCGCTGCCGGAGGTGCGGCCAGAGGCGCAGCTGGGGCTACCACCAGTGCGGCGACCGGTGCCAGCATGGAGGGTCAACCCTGCACCGGCAGAGTTGACCAGAGAGATCGTCAGGGAACTTGCGATGCCAACGGTCGATGCGGCATCAACACTCCACCAAATATTTTCGATTCTGTTGCCAGTGATGACTGCGAATAAGGCGCGGTCTATAAGATATCGCAGGATGGCAAAGTTCGGTGTCTAACTAACAATATAGCCACTAAGAACGAAGAAACGAAAGTTTAGGCAGACAAAAGACCTCGTATCCATATGAATCAAAAATAAGATTTTTTGCGGGCTTCAGGTAAAGATTGGTTAATCTTTGGGTATGGAAGCGTTATATGTCAATCAATTGCTGACTTTCTAGCACAGAGTTCCGGGTCCGGCCGGCCGGACACGTATCTGCCCCGTATTGCCGGGTTCCGGCGCCGGAGACAATTCATAGGCGACTTTAACGCTCCGTAATTTTCAGTCCAATCAAACAGATGGGCATTGACCAGAGTGCACAGCATTCAAATTGCCAACAAACAGTCGCCGATGGTGTCAGTGGGATGCCGGAGCTGATAAGGCGCATCTTATGTGCATTGCGCCGAGCTTAGCAATCGGTCGGCCGAATTCGAGCGGCACGGGGACCCTTGCGGAATATAAATTCCGCCCCAAGGGCGATCCATCGACGGCCAAAGGTGCTGCAGGTCGACACAGCGCGAACGAACCCTAGTTGAATCAGTTGTACATGATCGTAGATCTTCTGAAACGATTGACTTCGGGTCTGCATGAACCCATCCGCTGCATAGTGGCCCATGCTGGAGGCGCAACACGTCAGGTCGCATTGCGTTCTGACTGGTGTAAACTCGTGCGATGTAGTGGTAACACGCCAACAATGGATCACCATCCCCGTCACAGCCATCGCCGCTGTATTACCATAAACCAGCCGTCTCGGCCACATTGTTCCTCCGCATTATCTCAGATTATTTTCTTGCCCCGCTAATGATTTGAGGAAACGGAGCTGTCAACGTTATCACGAGATTTCATCAACCGTCTAGGAGAAGTAACAGCCGTGACTATAAATCACGAACCGAAACTCAAAATGACGAAGAGAAGACCATCAAAACCCTGCAATCAAGTCAAAATGGCACCTAAAACTGTCTTTGTCACTGGCGCGAACGGCTACATCGGCAACGCTGTAGCGCGCGCATTCGTTGCCGCCGGATGGAAGACCTACGGACTCGTCCGATCTCTGTCGGCCGCAACAGCTCTCGCCCAAGAGGAGATCATCCCAATCGTCGGCGCGATCGACGACCTATCCGCACACGCGGAGATCCAGGCTCACCTTCCGGCCACCGTCGATGCGATCGTATCGGCAACCGAGAACCCTTTAGACTACATGCCGCATTACAACAACACGATCAAGCTTCTTCGAACTCTTGGCGCCGCAAGCTCTGCCGCAGGAACTAGACCCATCGTGATCTTCAGCTCCGGCTGCAAGGACTACGGCATCGGGCCCCACTACCACGGCGCCCCGAACCTCGCCCCGCACACGGAGGACTCTCCGATCAACACAGTGCCTTTCCTCATTAACCGTGCGACGCATGCGAGGAAGATCTTTGACCACAGCGATGTCTTCGCTCCGGTCTTAGTCAGACCTACGAACGTCTACGGCCGAAGCTCAAGCTTCTACAAGGCCTTCTTCGATGTTGCGGCCAAGGCCGCCGCTGATGGCAAGCCCCTCTTGCTGCCCACTCCACCGAACACGATTGTTCATGCCCTCCATGTCGACGATTGCGGAGATGCATACGTCGCCATAGCTTCCCACGTCAACAGATCCGAAGTCGAAGGCCAGGTCTTCAACATCTCTGCCCAAAAGTACGAGACTGTCGACGAGGTGTCGCAAGCTCTGGTCAAGGAGTACAACATCACAAGAGGGCTGAAGTATGTCGACCCTTCTGAGCTGAAGGATGACGAAAACCCCTGGCCAAATGGAATTATCAACTTCCCGCAGTGGACAGATTCTACAAAACTTACGAACCTTACTGGCTGGAAGCACCATCGGCCGTTGTTTTCCGAAGGGCTGCACGTGTACCGTGTTGCGTTTGAGGCGGCGAAGGCAAGTGGCCATGAAGGTGTGAAGAGGACGAGTGGGTATCTGGAGGCTTTGACGAAGCAGGGCTTTGTGAGCCAGAACGGAGGCAAATAGAGTTTCCTCTGTGCATCCGCGTTAAGGGCTGCAAAGTTGTGTAGATTGAATAGACTTGTCCCTAAAGCTGCGAAAGATGTAGCCGCGTGCCAACCATCCCGAGGGTCATAGAGGTGTCAAATACATAGATGACTGATCACACCAGTCATACGTTTTGGGACCGGTCGATCCACAATTCCAATTTCGCGATCTAGGTTTTCCTCCCAATGTTAGGCGTCTTTTTCTTTCTTCCATGCTTCAGTACTGACCTCGGCACCCCTAACAAACGAATCTAATCACTCAATCATCTGAGCTGACACCGCAGATCAACAGAAGCCAAAACACACATTGCAACAACTCCTTTTCACGAGCAAGATGGCGACTCTGGTTCGTCTTCCAGTAGAGCTGACGAATATGGTGGCAGCCTATTTGACGTCCGCGAAAGACTTCCTTTCTTGGATCTCAGTAGATCCCGAGATTTTACAGAAACTCCTGGAAAATAAGTCAGCGGTTTTCGAGTCTTTCGTGGACCGCGATCTCCTCCCTCCGGCTCTGGCCGTTTTACGTCTCCGCGAAATCCACCAGCAGTCCTCCGAGCTACCGAGCATTCAAGATCTCGTCATATCCGCCTTCAAGTTGAAAGCCGCCGCCGAGGAAAGCACTCCTGATTTGGTGTGGCCCACGGACAAAGCTTCAGCGTTAGCCTTGCTAGAACTCATGGACGAGGTAGAATGCATTGTTACGGCAATGCAGAACTATCGCTACAGAGATGACTCGTTCTGGCCCGAGACTCCGTGGCTCCACGAGCACCCCGAGCACTCGAAGCGACCCGAGGGTCTGGATTTCACGTTGTATGACGAGCGGACGACGAGATTACTCCAGCACGATAGTTTCTGGGACAAGAAAGACGAGCACAGCATGTTCGTCCAGAAGAAGCTTGTTCTACTCTTCGAGATCTACGTCCTGTGTTTCTGTTACGGCAGGGAATTCCCTGATCATACGTCCGATCAAACACCGTTCGAGATTTTATCAATGACAACTGATGACACATCAACGCAAATTGACATTCGTGCCGTCGATTTCGGCGAGCAAATAGATAAGCTTGCTTCTTGTCTCAGCCGCACATGCGACAGTATTATTGACTCAGCTTTGCGCCAGGTTTTGAACATACGGCAGGTTGATGCCCAGCCTTTCTGGGGTTCACACGTGGTTCTGCAAGAAGGAGTGCAAACTCTAAAAGAAGCCCTTGGAACACAGAAGGCCATGTTTCATTCAGCACGCTGGAGCTATTATCGAAAATTTGTGACTTGGACGCGGACGGGTATTGAGTCCATGACTGGGACTGAAGCTCGCCGACTTCTAAGACCGTCACAGGTTGGTTTGATACCCACGGGAAAAGGCCGGGTTCCAATCTATCGAATTGCCTGCATGGATACGGGTGAATTCATCGTCAACGATGGATATGATGGCGTCACTGTGGTCGCATATCTCGAAACCTTACAAGAGCAACAAAACTGGGATCGTATGGACGGTATTTACAACGCCTGGAAGCTTTTATCGGGCGGTATCGGTAGACTGGCTCCTTTGCTGCGTCTTGACGAGGGTGAAAGACAAACAGAGATAATAGGAGCACTCTCCCGAGCCAATTCTAAATGCAGGTCTGCAATAGAGACAATTACGAGCCCGCTTCAATGGTTTCAAGGCAGCTTGAAGACATGGATCAAAGACTACTACCCAGGCTCGCACATTGGGGTCCAACCGTGGGTTGTTGCATGGTAACATACCTTTTCGAGGATTGGCTTGTTGAATATCTACATGAATTTGCTCCAGCTAATGAATAATACTGTCATGGCGTTAGTAGAGTTACATGCAGCTTGACTTTCTGGAGAGCAGGTCTCCATTATGAAAAGAAGAAGATTACTTGAAAGCAATAACTTTCAATTGAACTCTTAATGAAGAACATCTCATCACTCCCTTATTGCTTGATAACTCGGACTGTGCAAGTTGCTGCTGCAGAGCGATCTAGCCCCCGTTACCAAAACTAAGGATACCCTGCTATTTGATATGCTGTCATGCAATATTAAAAGCTGGTCATGATTATATGCCATGAAATCTGTCGCAAGATGTAGTCTGACTAATTGGGAAGCACCCCCAGTTCCACCCTGATGTCTTCGGCAGAAACGGAAAAAAGCCAGGGCTAAACTTTGTCTCCCTTTACCCTGTCGTGTCCCTTCAGAACTTGGCCCCAGTCCCATGTAGTTCAAGTTTGTCTTTCACCTCATTCCTCCAATTCACGTGGAGCAAGAAAAACACCTCCTGGCGCAAAATGTCGACGACATGGTTCTTTCCGACAGAGCTACATCTGATGATTATATCACATTTAGAAGACCCAAAGGACCTCTACTCATGGATATCGGCAAAACCTCAAGTTATTAGACACATCATCGATTACAAATCGACAGTCTTCGGAAAATACATCGACTGCCATCTGCTCCCAGAATTGCTGACCGTGGTGCGCCTCCGACAAATGCATCAGCGACATCCCACAAGGCCAAGCACCAACCAAATTGTCAAGTCAGCTTGCGACTGGTTGACCGGCATCGGGCCACGTAACCCGGAGTCGCTCTGGCCTGAAGACTTTGATTCCATCCTCACATTATTGAAGATTATTGAAGAGGCCAACACCGTGCTCTCAGGGCTGTGGGTGCACGAGTATGAAAACACGGAACGATATTTCTTTTTGCCATGGCAATACCTGCCATCCTCCCGCTGGAGTCGAGGCGATTGGTTCACGAATTCTCATGAACAGGAAGATCTGTTTTTCAAGCAAGGCGCGGTGCTTTGTTTCGAGATCTATGTTCAGTCCCTGTACATAGGCAGAGCCCCCGATGAGAGTGCCTCAGAGCTTGCCCTATGCAGAGACTTGGATACAGCTTTGGCCACGTGGGAAACAGAGGATGGTCTCTATCCTGTTTGGCTTTGTTTCAATAACATCGCCAAGTTCTTCTACCGCAGATATGACGAGTACTTGTGGCTATGTTTGCGGGAGGTAATTGACGTAGAGGAGCTGGGAAAGAAATTATCTGCGAAGTCGAAAATTGTGTTACGAGATCAGGCGCAAAGTCTTAAAGACGCGATCCAAACGCAAGATGTGGTTTACCATTCGGCGAAGTTGTCATGGACACGACTGTCCGTAAGGCAAATGCCAAAGGATTTGGAAGCGATACCCAGCCAGAAGCTTGGTTCCTTTGAACGGCGAAGGCAAATCAGCATCGAGTCAGCTCTCGTTTGTTACAGGAAGTCTGGAGGCACATATGTGCCAATTTATCGATTTGCTTGCAATAAAGGACCAGAATTTAGCCGGGAGTTCCTCTTCCAAAGAGACGAACGTGGGCTTACCATAGTAGCTCCCTTGCGCACGGCTAGAGAGAAAGAAGGATGGGATTCTGTTGACGAGACTTTCAATGCTTGGCGATGGATTTCGGGGGGTGTAGGCCCTATGGCGCAGTTGTTGCACATGACTGACGCCGAAAAATATCGAATAATGTCCGAGAGTTTCGTGCGTGCCGATGCCATCTCAAGGTCTGGCATAGAATGTATGCAAAGAACGCGTCTGCAGAATAGATCGTTCTTAAGGAGTTGGATGATCAAGTTTTATTCGGGTTATCGCCCTTTTCAGCGGGGATTTTGATGTTTGGATTTGCCAGTATCTTAACATATCCATGCATTCGTTAAGACTTTTGAACTCAACTTTGACTGTTCTCCAGTAGCGCCGGCCATCTGCTCATATTATAACTAGTATTACTTGTACATCTGTTGCATATTATCGGTACCATTCTGCGTGGCAGCTGACGCTTGAACCTGACTTGGCGAGCGATCCAGCGTCGCTTTTAGCCTCAGTGGATTTCTCACGATCTATAGTTTGTAGGAGGAACGACCCGCAGCCCTGTGTTTACTCGTGGTTGGGATTTTCCACGCATGACTCATGAGAGGCTGAAAGGAGTTTGTGCGGGACGGCGGCACAGTCGCACATCAGCGGATCGGCCCGTCCGTAAAGTGATGTGAAAGAATGCTCGGTCTCAAGCGGGTTACTTCTCTCCACCGTCCTCCCCTAGCCAAGATTTACCCAACAAGCCACCCGCAAGATATAAGTCGAATTTCCATCGCCGCAGAGCACAATGCTACATTTTCTCGTTTAGTTCATTCGCTTGCTCACACGCTCGTTCATGTGTTTGGTGGTTTTGGCTCCGTTGAACACGATGAGGCCTTGGCAATTTGCTTCAGAGTTGGACCCTGTAAACCTTACTGGGATACTATCCTTTTCTTGCGGAGTTCAACAGGAGTCCATGCTTTCATTCACCGACAGCCCCTCTAATGACCAAAACGGCTGGCTCCGACAACATTCATTTGGTTAATGTCCCCTCACCAGCACTAGAATGGTATGGGCAGCTTGAGCCTGGATCAACTTCTATTTCTTCGCAGCATGGGCTGCGGCCCCTAACCTGCACTCAACAATAATGGTCAGCTCTGGTATGGTAGATGATAGGTGTTAGGCGCAAGTCCCTCATCAAGAGCTGACAACAAGACAGTGCCCAGCCATGTTGAAGTCGACCGAGTGCGGGAGATGTAACTGCGACCACGGCGGTGACAGCCTCGTCTACGTTCGAGATTGGCTCAACCACGATCGAAGTGGCATCATGTCATGAACATGCTAAGGAAACGACAGGCCAAGGGAAGTGGCAACACTCATCGTTACTCCTAAGCTGACATCGTAGTGTGAGTCCAGTGTTGTGGATCCGACGACGTCGAAGATGGCATGCTACAGCTATTTGGCTTCTCACCACCCACCTCACTTGCAATCATTTCAAGTGGGACACGATAGGCGCCGGCGACATTTCCCTGAATTCATCCACGTCAGGGACGATCACGCTACCTTCCTCTTCAGCGATGGCGAGCCGGACAAGCTGTTCATCGAACGAACTCTCGTTGGCTGGCGGCCAATCATGCACGGTATCTAGCAGGCTTCTCCGACGTCAATCAGGAACAGATTGAGGTATTTTCCATGAATGCCAAGTTCTGACGCCGAGTGAATGTTGCGGACCATGAGGGTCAGTAGATGCCAAAAAGACGACTAAGACTGTAACGAAGGCGACAACGCGACATCTGAAATTGTGCCAATCACGACGCGAAAACTCTCAAGAACCTTTGGGCGCTAGGATTTCTGTGCATCAGGCCTCGTAAAGTATCTTCATTCAATACCGCAACATTTGGACGCACCAATTTCAACATATTTTGTTGAAATGTTATCATGATGCAGCTCCGTCCATAGGGCTCTGAAACTGACTGAACCGACCACGATATCCTCAATAACTCGCTTGCTTGCTAGCCATCAAGGTTCAGGTTTCTAGGCAACAGTCGCCTGATCAGAACAGTAGTATCCTCCCATCAAGCAAGTTGCTTGTCAGACGCCAAGAGATAGTAGGGTTACAATGACGGACAGGTTGGCGCCCAGCCAGCCTATCACGAGTTGACGCCAAGAACGACGGACCCGCCCTTTTCTCCGAGTTCCTATTAAACGAGGCTCTCAACTGATTTCAACAGCAATTTAGTGTAGAATGCTTGTTATTGATTGGCGCTCTCCGCACCTTGGCAACGATCGCGTCATGATCGGATAAGAGGTGGAGAAATGAAATACCGAGGAACCTCATCCTTCATACCACGGTTCTCGACCTTCTACATGGGGCTCGCACATCACGGCCTGCCTCTGCCTTCCTAATGCGCTCGGTCTGCCAACGACTATGCTACCTTCCTGAAAAGAGGACCGACCGAGCCCGTAGCGAATAATCACTGCCTTGCCCCTCGGCGGTTGTGCAGCTTAGTGTTCCTGGCCAAGTAAACAGGCATGCATACCACTACCGGCCGCTGTGAAGTACGAGTTACATAAGAATATTACCGACAGCAGGAGGATTGCAACATTCTCCGCAAAGCTGGCAACTCATGACCAGTGGCTGAGGTCTACATAAGATTTCCTGCTAGCGCCGGCTGCCGGCCACCCGACCTAATCTTGCAGGTCGAGGGCGGCGATCGTCCGGTCCTTGCACCAGAAATGGCTAGAAATGGCACCGGCCGGCATGTTACCGCTCGCCTGCCAGATTCGAAGATACAGCCGGCTCGAAGCCGATGCTCTGGACTTGACTTTGCATATTGCCAAAGCCAACGGAGGAGCCCGCGAAAAGCGCGAGTTCTTGGCCGCGTTTTGCCAGCTAAGAGATGCAGCATCTTATCGATGAAATGCTGCAATCTGGTCCATATCTTCTAGCCTACTCCTTCCTATTCGGCTGTAAGCCATCGCATCGCGGGGTAAACAGTCTTCAGAGGTGCCTTTTAGGGACTTTCCGATTAATACTACTGTGACATCGCGGGGCGGATGCTTTCCAGGTGCCTTTTGAGGAAGGCCCTGTTGACACTACGGAAGCCCACGGTAACACCACATGTCGGTTGTCTTCTCAAGTGCCTGTTGAGGAAGGCCCTGGTGATATCATGGGAATCTGCAGTAACATCGCAGAACGGATTGAGGCGTATTGGGAAGGAGGCATCTGACGATGGCTGGGGCGAAGTAGGCCTCTGTTTTGGCCAGCGGCAACAAGACCATGATTCTCGTCACGATATCATGATCAAGATGTGTATAAATAAGGATGGATTTCTCCTCCAGTCTGACATTTCCTTTCTTCAGCAGCAGCAGCATCGGACTCATCTGACTTACTGTCTCCTCCTCACAACATCAAGACCTCTTTCACCCACTCGTTGTCTACAGCAAGTCAGCAGCCATGGAGCTCACTAAGTTCCTCTCTTTCCTCGCGGTCGTCCTCCCCGTCGCCTACGGTGCTCCCACCGAGGCCGCGACCAGCCTCCACCCCAAGATCCTCGCTGCCATGAAGCGCGACTTCGGTCTGGACGCCAGAGATGCCAACGCTCGTGTTGCCTTCGAGCAGCGCTCCACCGATGTCATTGAGTCCATCAAGAACTCCGCTGGTGCCAAGTTCGCCGGTGCCTGGATCTCCGAGGACGGCACCACCGTCAACGTTGCCGTCACCGACGAGGCCCTGACCTCCGAGATCACCAATGCTGGCGCCGTCCCCACTGTTGTTGCCAATGACCTCACCAAGCTCGAGTCCGCCAAGGCCGCCCTCGACGGCATTGACATCGCCGAGCCCGCTGCCCGCCGCGACGCCAACTCTGCCGACTCCGGCATTGCCTCCTACTACGTCGACGTTGCCGCCAACAAGCTCGTCCTTGAGGCTCTTGAGGGCAGCACCGCCCACGCCGAGGAGCTCGCTGCCAAGGTCGGCCTTGCCGCCGGCGAGTTCGAGGTCCGCACCGTCTCCACGATGCCCTCTACCTTCGCCACCGTCTACGGTGGTGACGCCTACCTCATCAACCGCTCTGCTCGTTGCTCCATCGGTTTCTCCGTCACCACCGGTTTCGTCTCCGCTGGTCACTGCGGTAGCGTCGGTGCCACTGCTACCACCAGCTCCGGTGCCTCCCTCGGAACCTTCTCCGGCTCCGTCTTCCCCGGCTCCGCCGACATGTCCTACATCCGCACTGTCTCCGGCACCACCCTCACCGGCTACATTGACGGCTACGGACGTGGCAACCTCCCCGTCTCCGGCAGCACTGCTGCTGCTGTTGGTGCCTCCATCTGCCGCTCCGGCTCCACCACCGGTGTCTTCTGCGGCACTGTCGGCGCTCTTGGCGCTACCGTCAACTACGCCGAGGGCCGTGTCACTGGTCTCACCCGTACCAGTGTCTGCGCCGAGCCCGGTGACTCTGGCGGTTCTTTCTACTCTGGCGCCCAGGCCCAGGGTGTCACCTCTGGAGGCTCAGGCGACTGCTCTTCCGGCGGAACCACCTACTTCCAGCCGGTCAACGAGATTCTCTCCACCTACGGCCTCACCCTCGTCAGGGCTTAATTGGCTTTTCGCCACGGCCGTCGCTACCATCTGAGCTGAAGTTAATCTTTGAAGAGCTTTTGGCGAAGCACGACTAGCAGACATACCCACGGTCAATGAAGGATGTTTTTTATGTATGAAGAGTATGACTTATCTTATTCTTATGGAACGATATTTTGATCAGATAACGTAAATAAACTTGATCTATGTATACCTTGTCTCTCCTGTGATGCCTCTGTTGTGAACGAAGACTCACCGAGCTCCATATCAATGCTGGCTTTTATGAGAGTCGGATCCTCACCAAAAACATGACTCAGAATGATTTGTGAAACAAATCAGTCTCTATGTAAGTATCCGTTGAAAAGAATTGAACTCTTCAAATCTTGGGTTGTACTTGTTAAGGTATCCAGTCTATTGTAACTATTACTTAGCTATGTAATGATTGATTCTATTCTTAATCTCAGTATTGTCACCATGCCTGTGTTATTCTGGTCGTTGGTGTTGATGTTGTTGCTATTGTTACTAAGTTAAACATGTCTGTCTCAACGGAGCAAAGGGCGTTTGGTCTTCATTCGTGTATTTGGCTCACTTTTGAAATCCGACTATGGAATGAAAATTGAACGATCTCCCCCACATAAAGCCAAGTCCAAGTGAGCATGAATTATGAAGAACGTGGTTCGTCAGACATCAGCATTTGTGGCTGTATTATTATGAAATCAATCCAGCATGAGTCTCCATAATCAGAGAAAAGAAATTTTTGACTTCAGATATCGTCTCTTTTGCGCTCAACCTCTTCCGCAGCAGCGGTTGCGTCAAATGCGACAACGGGGCCAGCATCCCTGTCGTCCCTGTCGTCCCTGTCTCTATCCCTCTCCCCGCCTCTATCGTGGTTTTTTGTCGTCCTTTTTATCGTCTATACTCACTACCCTCCCAGATAGCAAAACTCTGCTGAGATGGAGACCAGTGATTGATAATCGCATTAGATGATGAAAAGCTGCGCTATCAGACGTTACAGCACCTGTTTAAAAGTACTATACGATAAACATGTTGCATTGGAACCATTTGCCTTGATAGTCGAGCTTTGTTTTGGACTGGAAAGTTGTGCAGCTGCCGAAGTTCGGGTCCCGCCAGAGGCATCCTGCACATTGGAGACTCGGTTTGTCAGCCAGAGATAAGAGTGAAAACATGTTACAGCCAGGTCCGGACGAAACCCCCAGTAAATATTGGAAGTGGATTCTTGGCCCATCTACCTGAGGGCAGTCATCGCATCTTTGTAGCATCCTACAACGGATAGCTCAGTTCCCGAGAACCAGTGCCCCAATGTTTTGTCTTGATTGCGAAATGGGCACACGTTCATCGGACCAGTGGAAAACTTAAGATGGGATAAGATGTGGCATTGGTAGCAGGAACAGTATGGAGAAGGTTATGCTAGATTTGTAGGACCGAACAAAACACATGGAGGACTCCACCACACCAAGTCGGATTATCTGACGCAATGCGCTTCAAGGACTGAGTGGCTTCTCGCATGTGGCAAGAGAATCGAAGTGAGGCAAATAGTGAGTGAAAGACATACGTCACAATATTGGTTGATTGCGGGCCGGAATATTTTTTCACGTTAGAAAACCTCAACACATGGATCACAGGACGTCCTTTTTACAAGCTAGTTATTTTATGCAGAAAATCACAGATTTCCTTCATGCGCGTGCTTTTCTAGAGTATGAAGATATTTGGAACAAATGTGCGGAACATCAACCTTCGATGCCGCCTAAGATGCGCCTCTCGCTCACTGAATTGATGATGTTGATAGTGATTCGCGATCTACGGAATCAACTCGATTGGCAGACAAGAACGGACCCATAGGGCAGAAGTGGAGCAAATACCGGCGCCGGTTTTTTCGGCCGCCGGGGAAAATATGGGCGCGCCCCTGGCCTCCGTGACAAGGAGATTGCTTGTTACGAATGTGTTCCTGTTGGTTACAGCACCTGTCTACAGTCTTGAAGATGCTCCACTCGGACGAAAATCCATCGGACTTGAACAGGTCATGCCGGCCGGCAATGTTGGCCTCGCTGTAGTTGGTTATCGGTAGTGAATGAAGCAAAGTGCGCGTCTAGCTTACAAACCTTCTCAACCAAAGCGCGGTCGTGGTAGAGTTTCTTTTCGGGGCGGCGGCATCATGCGTTGAAGCTCGGCTTAATGGGTTGTGCCTGGCGCTAGTTGTCGCAGGGTGCTCCTCACCATCTCACAGAGCGACAGGAACAGACAGATAAAGGCCGAGCGGAAAACCCGAGATTTTACCAAGAGCCATGGGTTGCTTGGCAAGTCAAGCTGTGGGGCAGAAGCGACACGCAGAAACGGTCCAGGAGCGAGAAGACTGTTGGTTTTGAATCGACAAGAGCACAGCCTCTGTCGCAAGTGCAAGAGGCGGACGTAATGGCGTCGTGGCATACCAAGACTGCCAACAAGAAGTGCGAGCTGGTTGATACGCGGAGGCTGGCGATCTTTCAGAGAGATCTTCCTGGGACCCGTCGATGTTTTTCAACTTTTGGCGAGGCCCCCAACTTTTGGCGAGGACAGCGGAGCATTTATTGTGGTCGAACGCGCCCGCGCGCTACGGAACGTTACCGAAGCATGGATTCATTGTCCTCTTTCGTCTCAATCCTGGGCAGTCGTTTCAGCCGTCAACCCAATAAGACTGACTAAGCGGACAGTTCAAGCCTCTTGGCGCCCTGCCGAACGCAGGTGCCGACTGCACAGTCCGAACGAGAGCGCTGTCAAGGCCTGTCATCATGTCATGACATTGCTACTGACAAGCCGTCGCAGTCTCGGTGGTGGATACCCTCCCTCCAGAACAGCCCAAAACCATGTGCTCCTTGGTATTTCTTGGGCTTCTTGGGGGAAGGGGCCCGTCACATAAGCCGAAAAAGACCACCTGAAGGCGACTTGAAACGCCAGAAGCGCGCGAGAGTTCTCCTCGTCGGGATCCGTCCGCCCACTTCGGCCCCACTGACATCTCAACTCGGAAACGCAGACTTACGCCATCCCATGATCCTCGGTGGAGAGAAGGGACGGCGACGATCCAATCGACATGATCTCCCGCTAGATCGCCACCCACCCTGCGAGGTTCCGACTGCCCGACGAGGAATCGTCCAGTAGAGCCTCAAACCATCACGGAACATCATCAGACATCTTGGCAGCACGAGCCTCAATGACGCCGAGCCTGAACCATCTGGCGCGAGGGAGGGTTGAGGAGGAGTTCGTCTTTCGTTGTCTTGACTCTGCAGTGCGTCTGCGAGGAGACACCGGAGAACCTCCACTCGGGCATCCCCCTGTGTCGGCATTGGATTTCATCAGTCATTAGTCAACCCGGGAAAAGGCTTCTTGAGTCTTGGCTTTCGCGCTTTTTTCGGATGCAAATATGTGCCCTCCGCCGCAGCTAATATAATTCAAAATTTAGAGTTACTTGAATCTGGGTCTTGACCATCCTGTGTCTCCATCTTCACTCCTTTCTCTTCATCCCGTCCCTCCTAGTGAGGACAAGCCGTGAGATTTTCTTTCTTGATCGGCATTTACTGTCATTTACCCTTTTTTTAATCAGCCAGGCGCGAGTCACTGCTGAGCAGTGTTCACTTCAGTCATTCCTTCGGATTTTCCCTTCGATTCTTATTCGATCCGCGATCGGCTTCAATATGAGGGTTCTTTCAGCCTGGGCCTTGATGGCAGCGGCCACCGTCAGCGCGATGCCGCAGCCGCTGAACAAGAGAGATTCTTTCCCGCCTGATGGAACTGTGGTGGGAGGTGTTCCTCACCGGCCCTTCAGAAGTAAGAGACACAGGATGTGATGCGAAGGACGAAATCTGACAACTTCAAACAGTCAGGCGACAAGCGGCACCGGCTGCACCGGCTACTCCTCAAGGCAATCAACTCATCCCGGTGGTGGTCGGCGGAGCGCAGGATACTTTCGTGCCGAACTTGATCACGGCGCAGGTCGGCGATGTCGTACAGTTCCAGTTCAGCAATGGCAACCACACGGTCACGCAGAGCGCGGAGGGTGCAGCATGCCAGCCGCTGCAGGATTCGGTGCCTACAGCCATCCACAGCGGACACATTCCTTTCAAGGACGGCCAGGCGATGGTTGGAACGTTCAACATGCCGATTACGAGTACGGCTACGATGTTCATGTACTGCGCCACGGGGCCTCACTGTCAAGAGGGCCAGGTGCTGGTCATCAACCCGTGAGTATCGCTCATCTCGAATTAGTATCACATGAAAGCTAACCATGAATTAGCACAAACGCGCAACAAGTCGTTCAGTACTCGAAGCTCGCAGCAGCCGCCAAGGCTAACGTCGACGGAAAGACAGTTGTCGGCGGAGCTGTTGGTCAAATCCCTCTCGCAAACGCCGCCTTTGTCCCGGCACCGGCACAGGGTGCTGGCGGTGGCGGCGGCGGCCCCCCTCCCGCTGCTGCTCCGGCCGCGCCTCCTGCCGAAGCTCCCGCTGCCGCCCCTGCTGCCCCCGCTGCTCCTGCCGAACCCGCCGCTCCTGCTGCACCTGCCGCTCCCGCTGAGCCCGCAGCAGCAGCAGCGCCTCCCATTGCCGGTGCCCTAGTGGCGTGAAGATGACGAGTTAAGGATAAGAGGAAGGGGGTTTTGAGCTCGGGAAGCTCTCTCAGTGCGTACACACGTTGAGATGGTTGTATGATTCTATTTTGTGAAAAGAAACAGGACGCAGCTAGGATGATTTTCCGTAGCTGAATGAAGACTAATCTACCTGTATGTAATAACCTTTTATGTATACTGTACGATGTTATCGGTGTCGCTGCGTTATACTGTAGAACAATACCAAGAAGCTTGACCAACGATTGAAGACAAGCATGACAGGATTCGAAAGAATGAGATGTCACGGCAACGGAGAAACTATAGATGGGTATGTTTCCAGTTGGCAGAGAAGAACACGATGCGCTGCAAATGACTCATCTCGACAAGATTGACGAGTGAGTGTTATTTTATCAATCCATGTTCAGGTTGGGCGGTTACATTTTGAGCGGGTGAACGAGTGCAAATATGATTTCACTAGATCTCTGCCATGGGAAACAAGACCAAACTAAGCGCTCACAGTGGAAATGACGCAAAACGATGGGTGAGAACCAGAGCGGAATACCAAGCCCATTGACCTCTGAAGGCGGATTTCTCGGCCCCCGGCATTCGAATTGCACGTGCATTGAAGGGAGTGGTAAACATGCGCCCCGCAGGCCGCGGCACCCGATCCACAACCCGGCATCGGGCTTGAAGTGGGGCCGACCACGGCGCCTCTCATCCCGCTTCTACGGTGCAGGATGCCGGCGTACGGAAGATTGGTTTGCCAAGACTTGTGTACGCAGTGCTTCTTGGCGTTGAACTATCTGCTATGAACGACGTGCTTACACTTATCAGCGGCGTATCTTGGCGCCTTGTTCTAGAGGCTCGCTGGCGGATGTGTTCCGCGCATCAGCAAGGCGCCAGCGGAACACAGTTTCGTCCCATCATGAAGGAAGTCCGCGGACTCCATGACATAGACCTATGGCTTTGAGCAACGAGGTAGAATGTTGAAATGCACCACCAACGTGACGCTTCTGAGAAACACTATTTAATGTTGGCGGCTTCGTTGGTAAAATCATTGCAGTTCGAGAAGCAAAGCCATCGCAATTCACAGGGTCTTTAATCACACAGTTTACATCTGCAATCACCCAAAAAGTCGCCAAAAATGTCTCTTGCACCTATTGAGCCTGTTGATGTCGACGTCGTCATCGTGGGTGCAGGTCTCAGCGGCCTTCGTGCCGCCGTTGACATTCACAAGAGCGGTCTATCGTACGTGGTTTTGGAGGCCATGGACCGCGTCGGCGGCAAGACTCTGTCAGTTGCAGCTTCTCCTCAGGGCGGCGTTGTCGATGTTGGCGCTGCGTGGATCAACGATACCAGCCAGGTCGAGATGTACCGCTTGGCTAAGGAGTTTGGCTTCGAGCTCATCGAACAAACTGCCACTGGGTTGAGCCTGTACCAAGACAGCAATCAGAAGACGATCTCATTTCCTTACTCTGGCATGCCATTTCCAGTAAGTCGCAGATGTCTCTGATATTTCGCAAAAACGTGCTATTGCATCGAGATGATATTTGCACACGGCTGACCTGAATCCTATAGCTGGACGACAAGCAACAAGCGCAGCTAGATGAGGCCTTTGGGCAGATGGCTGTTCTCGTGGACCGTTCTGATCCAGAGATGCCGTGGCTGGGACCCGATGCCAAGAGGATTGACTCTCTCACACTCGCGGAGCTGGGAGAAAAGGAGATTGGAGGCGGCATTGGTTCGGTTGTCTTGAACATTCTGTCCCGAGCTTGCCTTGGTCTTGAAAGCAGCGAAGTTGGTGCTCTGCCTGCCATCGACTACATCAAAGCTGGAACGGGACTGGAGAACATCTCTTCAGACCTCAAAGACGGTGCTCAGTACTTGCGAAACCGCCAAGGTAAGTCATACGAGTGTATTTCGGGAAGTTTTGTGCGAGCTAATGTTGGTTTTAGGAAATCAGACATTCTCAACCCGGCTTGCCGAAAGTCTCAACGCCGGGGCAGTCAAGCTCTCAATGCCGGTATCTAAGATTACTCAATCGGATGAAGGCTGCATGGTCTCAACCAGCCCCGGCCCAGCGTACAGGTGCAACAAGGTCCTTCTATCTGTCCCGTCAACTCTCTACCCGTTGATCGAGTTCACGCCAAGCCTCCCCGCCACGAAAGAGGCACTGAGCAAGTCCAAGTTAGGATACTACTCGAAGACTATCTTGGTTTTCGAGAAGCCTTGGTGGCGAGGTGCGGGGTTTTCAGGCTCCATTGCCTGCGAGACTGGACCAATCGTTTTCAGCAGAGATACTTGCGTACCCAATGACAAGCAGTACAGCATCACCTGCTTTCACGTTGCTGAGCCTGGTAGGCAGTGGTCTAAGTTGCGGGCGAAAGACCGGCGGGAGGCTGTTCTCAAGCAATTCCGGGCTATGTTCAGTACAGTGGTTGACGATGTCCCTGAGCCAATCAACATCATAGAGAAGGAATGGACAAAGGATCCATGGGCGAGAGGAGCTCCTTCTCCAGTCATGGGCCCAGAAGTCTTGACAAGTGGCGCCGGAAAGGCTGTTCGCGAGCCCGTAGGCCATATCCATTTTATCGGAACCGAGACATCTCTGGTCTGGAAAGGGTACATGGAAGGGGCGGTGCAAGCTGGTATCAGGGGCGCAAAGGAAGTCATCGCGGACTTGGCGGAATGAATGTGATGAGACCAGGAGAGTGTGGTGGGGGCGAGTACGTGTTACAGAACGCAAAAAATGCTGAATGGACGTTGCACGTTGAAATTGAGGGCCGCAATTAAACAATAGAAAATATTTAAAAGTCTATAAGTCTGCTGTTTGGAAGGGTATCCGCATATTTACATATTCAAACGAGCTCGCCACGGTTATCTTCCCCTAAAGTAGGTGAAGTCATCAACAGACGACTCCTACTGCTCCAAGCTAGCATCGTGAGGGAACAAGCTGAGCTTCGAGAAGTCGAACTTGCCCTGCCTCTTGACCCAAGCACCGGCTCCGGCACGCTTCCTGAACATCATCTTGGGCAGAATCTGGTTCAAGCAAACATCGACCTTCATGCAGGTGCCGCCCAAGCAGCAGCTCTGCTTGATGCAAACCTCACCACCCGAGCAGTCGTTTGTGGTGTTGCAGGAGGGCTGGCAGTCATTGGGGACAGCGCAGACGTCCCTTCCCTCAACGGTCCTGAAGCAGACGCATCCCTTCTCGCCAGCCTTGTCAAGAGAGCAGGTGGGGATGGTCTTGTCACCGCAGGTCCAAGGGTTGCTGCAGCCGAGGGCGGGGCGGGTGGCGTTGACGAAGGGACCAACAGTGGTGGTTGCGACAACAGAGATGGTGGAGGTGATGATCGGGATAGGGGCCGTTGTCGTTACGCCGGTGGCACCAAAGCAAGAGCAAGCGCTGCGGTATGCGGCGTCGTTCTTGCAAGCCGTTGCGTAGGCGGGAATGTTCTTGGTGGTGGAGGCCGGGGTATCAACGGCACGGTCGAAGATTGTCCGTGTAGCGTTCAGCGTGATGGTTTCGAGGCTTGTCTCGGTGACGAACGTGGTGCTGTCATTGTTAGTCGAAACTCTGCACCGCTTGACGTGACATGCGAAAAGAAACTTACGATGGCTGGGGAGTCTCAGTGACGGCAAGGTATGAGCTACATTCCGCCATACGAAGGACCATCGTAGCAGTTCCGAAACGCGTCGCTCTAACGGCGCGAAGACAGTTGTCGGCATTGCAAAACTTGTTCTCGACAACTGCGGCAGAGGCTGCGACCGCGAGGGAGGCAATGGCCAGGAACTTCATCTTGATAGAAGTGAGTGTGTTGATTGAACGAATGTGATAAATTTAAAGAATGAAGCAGGGTGATCAGATGATGTCCCTTGATTGAGAGAATGGAGGTGAAGATGGAGTTGTTGCCCTGTCTGTCTGGAAGGTTTCCAGGAATTTGGACACTACGCTGGCTTTATTATATCCATGATGAAAATCTCAGAGCTTATCATTTCCTTGCCTCCTAGAAAACAAAGTGTGATGCAAGGGACCGAGTAGCGCCTCGGCAACCACGAGGAAAAGCAAACACCGCATGGCCCCGCCGTCTTACCTTGAGCACATGCATACCGCCGCCACGGAACCGCACATCGTGAACATGGGTGAACGGAAAACAATCCGGTGGAAGAAGAAAAAAGCATCAGTGCCCCTGCAGTGGCAACCCGCCAAAAATTGGGATATGCAGCCCAAAGTTCGAGGTAGAAGGTTTGCCTGGCACCAAGCCGGCAGGTCGCTGACTTGGATGGTCTGGCCCCACGGAAACTCACATTAGATCACGAAAACGTGGTCGTGAACCCTGGCTGTTGTTGTTCGTGTCCTCAAGGATAGCGCTGCGCACCGATGGCACGGCGCCGGCTGAAGCCTCCCGCTAATGAGCGACTTGGCTCATTTGGATAGGGGCTCGGCAGGTTCCATGATCGTGCGCCCAGAATAGGCGCGTCCGTGGGCGATAAGCTTACTTTTCCCACGCGTTCCCGCGCAACCGCATTTTGGTCCACCGTCGGCTAGCCTTGGCGGCCTGCACTCGTTTTCGACGCGACCGGGACTAGAAGAATCGCGGTTGAAGTTTCCTAACTGTTGGGAAGTGTCTCAACAACGTCACCGGCTTCAGAGATGCTGGCTGGCCTGACGGTGTCCGGTGAACGTAGTGTTGTCGTAGGTGGCTGAAAAACTTTTCCCGCTGAGTGTCAAATGCCAAGAACCCATGATCGTCGAAAAGGATGCAATCGAATTTTAATCCGGAGCTATGGCAAAGAGCCGTGATAAGACCGGTTTCGCATTGAATCTCCACTCGTATTGTGCGCGAGTGTCGCCTAATTATACGCCAATGGAATGACGACGGCAGTCAGCAAGGTGAAGTTCTGTAGCCTAGTATGTCACATGGCGACAGTTATTGGTCGTTATTGGAGGCTACAAGTCATGTATGTATTTTGAGGTTTAATTAACACGGCAGCCGGGCGCACCAGAAGCACAACATCAAATTCAACGTTCTTTATTCATCCTCTAATGTCTTACTAGACAGCAGTTGAAACGAGACATTCCTTGTGCTACGCAGCTTCATGAATCGTTTAGAAGCTGGGATCGTCACAGCCACCAAGCTCAAAGTTAATGAAAGATAGAGGGCATCCAGAGTCGACAGAGTCCTTGCATGCCTGGCTCTTGCACTTGGTGTTCTTAAAGTTCTCTCGTGCGTTATTTTGTTGCTGCAGTCACATCTTAGCACTCGGCTTCGCTTTAAGGTTGAGTCTGCATCATACCGGAGCAGCAGCTGCAAGCGAGGCCATAGCAGCGAGGGTGACGATGATAGAAGTGATGGAAAGCTGCATCTTTGCTGAGGCTTGGTAATGTAGATTACTGAAGATAAAATAGTTGACCGGCAACAGATGAGAATAGAAGTTGAGTGAATGAGGTAAGAAGACTGGATGATTGACAATTGTCGGCATCAATCGAGGTGGCAGCAAGGAGGTAATATAGAGTTTTGGACCTCCTCACTGTGTGTGAAAATACCTGGCGTTGAGGGAATAGGGAATGTCTACTGCTGAGTGGCGTGGAGATATGAGTGGGAGCCATGAGACGTCTCAGCTGTCCCCAGCTTTGAGGAGTATGATCGACATTAGTGGGCTTCAAAGGTATCAAGTGGTTAATAATATGCTTAACTACCCGCATGGGCCAGCGTCACACTGGTAAGCGACTGATGCTCCCCTCCAGACTTTCTGCATTGGCAGATCAGTTTCTGCTGATCAGCGCATCAATCGGTTTCGTTTTCTGCGCGAATTGAATTGATCACTTGGAATCCACGGGGTTTACATCAAGGCGTTCGTCGCTGACTTCTCACCAATATGGACCAATGATGCGATAAACGAAGGGACATATGATTAATGTCATTGAAGGTTTCCGTCCCACTTTTGAACTTGCTTTTCCCCAACTGTTTGGGCACTCTTGCTCACTTTTTCAGATGACAGGCGGTGAACCAAATGTTTAATGCACCGCAGACAGCTGAATATAGGGCTGATCGGTATAGCCGGATGGTCAAGTTTCAGACTGCCACCGTGTTGGATGGGGTGGCATCGCTTATTTGCACCCAAGCTGGGCGTCGAATCATGGCAACCCCTGCGAGGATCCGAGAATAGCAGGTGGCAGTTACAACCTCAAACACAGCTTAAGGAGCGTCAGGTGTCCAACGTGTGAAGGTTGAAACGTGATGTAATATCCACGTTGTTCAACCACCCACAGGTTGTGACATTTCGCTTCCCGTCTTACAGCTGACGGATTGATGAATGTTTTTCACAGCAGGTGCAGCGACGTGACAACAAAAAGGTCAACTCTGATAAGTATCCTTTTGTTTGATAGGGATTCCGATCCAGGAAGATTCTTCAAATCGAAAAGACAAAAGCAAATTAAATGTTTCGGCGTTGCCCGTCTGAATGACTAGGCTCCACACGCAGAGCTTTCGGCATTTACTGCAGAGAACGCAGCCCATTCAAAATATGACGTCCTGAAGCGAAGAGAATGAGGACTTTGACGTCGACATGGACATTACCGAGTACCTATTTTAGCATACATGGGCGCACTGGGCCTGATGCCAGAACAGACCGTCGCTTAAAGCGCGGCTACGGCAACACGATAGCGTTACCTATTTCAGCCATCACGGCGCAGTCTCTCAGACTAGCGTTCTGCCCCTATCGGCCTGGCTTTAGACTAAGATCGAGTTTAGTCCAGATTTGGAATTCCCAAAGCGGTCTCCTTCGTCATTAAAAGTTTGGGGGTTTAGAAGACAGCTAGCACGAGGTTAGAAAAGGCTTAAGGCCGTCTGTTTAAGAGCAGATGCGAAATGCCGATTGTCCTTGATGATTCTATTCCAACTGTACCAATGACGATGAGAATATTTTTGACATTGTAAGGGTGGAGCTTTTGCACCTAATGACCCTTGTGAAACCCGACCGACTCAAAGAACGTAGCGAAAGTGAGCCAATTTGAAGTCTGTCAAGTCCATGAATTTGGACCGCTCAAGCTCCAGGGCAGCCGTCTCCTCAGACAACTCGACTCCTGATGCTGCCGCCAAACGATCCCTTCGTTTGTTCTCCCGAATATTCACGAAACGGAGAACCACCAGCACCAACGCTGCACAGCCGTACATAATGGCCACCATCATCTTACCTCGCTTGTAGAGGGGAGCGTCGTCCGCCCGGAAGGTTTGTGGACCAATCCAATTGCCAGCTGCATACGCAATAATTTGCAGACTGTTGACAGTGACCTTCTTGGTGTACCCTAGAGTGTTATTCGAGATGGCAACCATGACCAACCCCCAGGACGACCCAGAAACGCTAATCATCCAATAGCCCAGGAGAAGTGCTCCCTTTGAGGACAATGGAATCGTGATCATCATGATGCCTCCGATTAGAGGATACATAATTGCGATGAATGCAAATAAGGTTCGGTCCATATACTTGTCGGAAAGCCAAGTGAACAAGAGTTTTCCACCGATATCGAAGAGTCCAGATGGGGCGCCCAACAGGAGTGAGAGTCGGGCGTTGAATCCGAAGGAGTTGACAATAGTTGAACCAAAAGTCGTGATTCCGCCATTGGGTATGTTCATCAGGAATGAAAACAAGGCATAAAGATAGGTTCTTGGGTCGCGAAAGGCTTCCCAGAACTGGTCCCACTTCCATACTCGATTACCAATGCCTTGGAAGTTGTCGCGGATTCTTTCGATTGCGATCAGACGCTGTCGATCATCTAGGAACTTAGCGTTGGCTTGATTATCGGGTAAATACCAAAGGTTGAAAGCTCCAGTGAGAACCGTGATCAGACCGAGTACGAGGAACAGAATCTTCCACGGCGCGATTGACGATTCTTCAACGGCCGATAGTCCATAGCCTATCAGAGCCATGATGATCAGGGAGAACCCGTTGCATGACAGCCAGTATCCGACTCGTCGGGCTTGTTCGCCCTGCTTGTACCACATCGATGTGATCAAAACGAAGGCCGGAGTGACCGTAGCTTCGAATGCTCCGAGGAAGAATCGCGTGGCCAGTAAGCCAGCGTAATTATGGGTAGCGGCATGGCATGTCAAGGCGACGCCCCAAGCCAATATGTTTGCTGATACATACTTGCCCACGGGAAGGCGGCGAAAGAGGTACGTCGTGGGAAACCTTCAAGATAGATGCAGCAATTAGCACAAGTATCCATCACTGAGCGGGTCAAGATAGAGAGAAGGGGTAGAACATCATACTCCCAAGCAAGATAACCTGCATAGAAAATACTCGAGATCCAGGAGAACTCGTTTCCCTTGAGGTTAGTGTCTTCGCGAATCCCCATGAGAGAAGCATAATTGAGCGTCGTCTTGTCGGCGAATTGAATCATGTACACCCAACACATGAGTGGCAGCATGTTCATGTCGATCTTTCGCAGGGTTTGGCGTTCTTCCTCCGGTGTGAACTCGATCACAACGCCGCCAGTGAGTTTCAAAGCTGGATCAACATCCCTGTCGTCCATCAGCTTCACTTGACCGATGTCAATGCCAGGAGCTTCGCTATCGCTTTTGACGGGCAAGACATCTGCGTCCGTCTTGGGCGCCATATTGACTCGAGTATCACTGAGACGTGGCTAGTCTTTTGAAACAATCGTGAGAAAGAGGACTATCGATGGTCAAGAAAGGTGAGGAATGGACGGAATGCGGTCTGTTGTCAAGCTGCTGTCCCTGCTTGAGAACTCCAAGAGAACTGCGAGGCACTGGGAGCTTTATTATCAATACATCCTCTAGTATATGTGTTGCTGGCATATCGGCTGATTTAAACCGCTGGAGTTCGGTGTGCGATAAGCTGTGCAGCCGGGAATATCTGCATTCTGGGTACTTTTGATGTTGATGAGATACGGGCTGCCAACTTATCAGTGAAGCGGCAATCGTTTTCCCACCTGGCCTATCAAAGAACACCGAATCCGAATCCGAGTACTCGTATAAGATTCTGTCTCTACTAATGTATGCGGCTATCTTAACGAGCACTCCGCCTCCACCCCCACGGACACGTCCGTCTCCTCCCCCGGACGACTCCGCCGCCGCCTCCGCCTCCGCCTCCACCCCCGCATTCCTCCCAGATGGTATCTGATTGTTGTTCAACCTTCGGCATCTATGAATGTTGGCCGAATGATAGCTGTCTTATAAGATCAATCAAAGCTGAGTAGAGAATCTGGAAATCCACAATGTGCACCATTACTTCAATCGAGCACCAGTCTTATCTTATCAACTCCAATGACCATCATGCCTACATCCAATGAGTCTGCAGCCATTCCCAATTGGAACGCCCCTGAGCCCACCAAAGAGAACTGTAAGTTGTTGTTGATGGCTGATGGTAGCCCGGTCGAAGCCCCATTTCGGCGTCAAATTATTCGTCCCAACTCGCTAGCCACCGTTATCTTACAGCATCTTTCCTTGAATCCGGCTAGGTCTACGTAGAACCAGCTAACTGGTACAGTGGACTATGTAGAGCTTATCGATCTCGACCTCAGCAAGTTCGAACATGTAGAGACCAGGAAGGAGCTAGCCAAGGACTTGCTCCAGGCCGTCACCCAGCATGGATTCTTCACCATTTCGAACCATGGCATTTCCACTGAGCTCTGGGATCACCAGATGGATGTCGCGAATGCGGTGATGACCCTGAGCAATGAAGACAAGAGGCCTTACGAAGGTGCGCCTACCCCCCAAAGACCAGCTTCATTCATCCTGGCAACGCTAATAAAGGACAAAGGCACTCCCGAGGAAGATCAGAAAGGCATCTACGTCGGTTTCAAGCCCTCTGGAGAACTCGGCACCAAAGGTGGCTTCCACAAAGAGGTACAAGTTTTCCGTTCCTATAAAGCTTGAATCGAGAGTTTTTCAAAACTGATCTCATCCCAGGTCGACCATTACAACATGCTTCTTCACGACTTCGAAACTCGGTCACATCCGCAAATCATCTCCCCCTTCAAGGAAGAGATCCGGCATCTGATGCAAACTCTGAATGATGACATTCATCGCAAACTACTTATTCTCGTGGCCATGGTGTTAGAGGTTCCTGAGCAACTTGTGCTCGACATGCATCGACCGGGTGGCTCGACGACGAATTACTTCCGATATGTTAGCTATTCCCCCGACAACTAATTCACATAAGGCCCCTTCTGATGTTGTATCATGTTAGATGAGCTACTCGCCACGCAACGATGCCGACCGAGAAAAGTCCCGCGACCTGTTCTTGCCAGGCCATGCTGACTGGAGTACCTTTTCCATCTTGTTCTCGCAGCCCATCTCTGCTCTTCAAATCTTGGATAATCAAAATCGGTGGCAATGGGTCCGAGTAAGTCATTCGGGATTTTGAACGAGTATCCACTGAAGCTAATTGATAACAACGCAGTACATCCCGCACAACCTCATCGTCAACGTCGGTGAAGCGCTTGAATTCCTCACCGGCCGTCTCTTCAAAGCAACCATCCACCGAGTCGTGACGCCGCCTGTGGACCAGCGGCAAAAGCTGCGCATCGGGATTCTCTTCTTCACCCGGCCCAACGACGACAAACTCCTGGTGCCCATCGCAGAGTCGCCGTACCTGCAGAAACTTGGCTTGGACACGAGCCAGGAGACTGAGGTGTTCAAGACGAACGAGTACCTACAGGCAAAGAAACGCGGGTACAAGAAGAAGGAGCTGGAGTACGACTTCGATCGGCCGAAGGATGCGACGAAGCATGTGGACCCTTTTAGTGATTATGATCCATTGGACTTGAAGAAGCACAGACTAGATGACGTCGTCGTCCAACAGGTTGTCAGTATGTAATTATCGCTTGGGTCAGTTAGAAGAAGCCATCATGAAAAAGGGCACACATGGTGCTGGCACGATGGTAATTGGAAATTAACAGATGAAGATTGCGCCAACTCGCTCCGGCCCTACAGTGATTCCTGATTGACGTTTGGGCATGGATTAAGTTCTTATGGGGAAGTAGAATCTTGATGGGCTGGACTGCATTCCGCTTTGATATCGCATGCGTCATCTACAGGGCTTTTGAGAGAAGGATAAGCCTCTTTGCATTGCAAATTTCAGGCCTTATCAAAGACAGGCTCTGCAGCAGGCACTGTGTCAGGAAGCCACTGTCATTTTCCAAAGCCCGAAGGGTATTCGCTCATCCACGATGAACGAGAAGGGTTACCAAACCCCACACGTTGACCGTCCGGGTGTCTTGTCTGACGCATCAGACTTGAGTATGGCTTAGGTCAATGACTCGTCATCATTACACAAAACAATCTTGGCGAACTTGTGGCTTGAGTTCAAAGACGAGAGAAGTTCATATACGGGTTTGTCCAAGCTTGTACCGTTGTATGGGCGCTGGCTACTGGAACGCAAAGGTGCGTACGCTTTCTTTGAATCTTATCTGCAAAGTTATAGTGAAATTCCTTTGTGACTTATCTTCGTAATTCTCAACTTCCATCTGCAGTTATGCAAATATAGACAGATGAAATAGGTAGGACCTTGAGAATGGCTGTCATTATTTGACATTGAAGGCTGGACTGTTAGAAAGGGTGGCGCGTTGAGTCACGGTCCAGAAAGTCAAATCCAAATGCAGCATGTAGCAGAGCGTCGGAGACCGATTCGCGAAAATGATAAAAGGGGCAAAATATTTCAGTACTAGCATCTTAGTTTGATCCAATCCCACATACTACCGCACACATCGAAATTTGAAGCATCTTCTTTTACGACTCTCTACATCACCTTCTTTTCTCTTGACTTTAACGTCATCAAAGTCCACAATACCCTATCGCGATGGCAGTTTGGGACGATCTACCAGACGAGCTAAGGCTCCAGATCCTGGGCTATTTGACCCACGACAAGGGAAACCGCGCACCTTACGGGAGTACCTGCCGACAGTGGCAAGTGGTCATGGAACCATTCATCTTTGAGGAAGTGACGTTTCACGTCACAAATGCCAGTATTTTGTCGGGGAGCCATACCCCTGAGAAATTGGCCACAATTCTTAGCGGGCCTCGGCTCAAGTTTTTAAAGAAGCTGCGCCTCATTATTGCCATTGATATGGTTACATTTACGAGCATCTACGATGTGCAAATGCAACGGAGAAAGCTTGGAACAGGCCTAGTGGATGTAATTGATGGGTTCATGGATGTACTCCGAGACTGGGGCCACGAAGCCTCATTTGACTTGGAGGTCAACGACGTTATAACCTGCGGACATCACCTTATCGAATACGGCAGCGATCTGTGGCTGAGAGAATTTGCAGCCGGTCGAGTGTGTCCGCGCGCTCCGACGCCTTTCGAACTTTGGCCCCGACATTGATTGTGAAATTGCCGAATGTGAGGGTTCGGATCTGCTCAACTTACTCCTACGGACGATGTCATCAAACATGAAAGAGCTGTCGGTTGGCTGTGAACGATATGCATGTCAGAGCATGACAGCATTCGGACGTATACTGCCAGTCAGGCCATTTCCGCCGGGCCTCACCCGTCTCATCATTCGCAACGTCGCACCTCCTCGCGACTGGAATGACGATCTAGCGTGGTCCGTTCTGTCAAATCGGCTCGAAGAACTCCATGTCGACTATGCAGTATGGGAATGGGGCGAGATTCCGCTCCGAACATTGTGCGAAGGTCAACAGGGTAGTGCGCCACTCACCTGGCCCAATATGCGACATCTGACCTGAGGTCGAGTGCCATTGGCAGAAAGTCCGAACGAGATACTCCAGCTTGTCGCCAAAACTGCGGAGAGAATGCCTCGGCTTGAGTCGTTGGGTCTATGGGGAGACTCATATCCAGGACCTCACATGCACCGTCGCCCGCCGTTGGCCGCCCATTTTCAATACTCCGCGAGCAAAGGCTCTGCTACTGCGCTTTATGAGAGTACCGGGGAGTCACAGCCTAACCAAGACACCCGTAACGCCTGGGAGAGGGTAGCTACAATGAAAGGCCATGACAGTCTTGACTTCGAACTCAGGTGGCTAAGCCACTTTGATTACATGGAAACATTTCCGAGTGCTGCGGCGGAGGAGTTTCTTTCCCATCACGTCCAGATGAACGACCCGAGTAGCGATAAACCCGACATCGTATACTATTATCCAGATCATATACTGCTGGCTCGGCCATATTTGTCGCGGCCGACCGGATTGAAAAGGAAGTATGTGAGACCCTGTGTGAGTGACGATGAGGCAACCTTTGGTGTTGGTGGTTGGAGCGATATTTGGATCAAATATCTGAGAAAAGGAGCACCTGACGACGACGAACACAATGAGCGATTTCGACATTAGTCCATACGACGATGGGTTTCTGATGAATATAACTATTTAGTTGCAATGCTGTATAGGATGCAATTGATTTGATAACCGTTGGGCTAGGATTTACGCCATCTCCTCATGTTTGAGCTTTTCTTGTCTAAATGCCTTTCTCAGCTCGCATTTACCAACGCTTTTCCCACCAGCTTTACATTCACTGCACACCTTGCCATGTTTAACAAGCAGAATGTGCAGCCCATACTTGTCCTCGTCCGGAATCCTCACGTCCAAGTGCGCATGCGTCTCATCCCTCGACGCGCTCTTCGGCCGCCATCCCAAGAGACCCGTGATTCTCCACACATGAGTGTCGACAGCAAACGACTCCCGCTGGAGGCAGAAAAGCAGCACGCAGCTCGCCGTCTTGGGGCCGACGCCCTGGAAGCTGATGAGCTCCTGCATGGCGTCCTCGTTGCTGGCGCTGAAGAGGTGGTCGAGCGAGTACTTGCCGTACTTCTCCTTGACCTGGTTGAGGATGCTGATGATGACCTTGCTCTTGACGGCGCTGAGGCCGCCGCACTTGATGGCCTCCTGCAGCTTGGGGATGCCGCCCTCGACGATCTTGTCCCACTCGTCGCTGCCGCCGTAGACGTCGTCCATGCTGCGCTTAGCGCGTGTGGAGTTGGTGTCGCTGGTGTTCTGGCTGAGGATGGTCCGGACGAGGGCGTCGAGGACGGAGGGGGAGTCTCCACACCCGGCCCGGGTTGTGGAGGCCTTGACCTCCTTGGGGCGCTCCCGTTTCCCGTGAAGGTCCGCGAGGATGTGGTGGGCCAGCCGGCACTCGTCCGGGGTCGGGTGTGGGAAATCCGGGAAGGGAGATTTATCGGCATACTGTGAGTATGCCTTGAGTTTCTTTGACTGCAGGTCGTTGGGCGACTTGGCGGCTTTCAGCTTCTGCTCTGGGCTTTCAGACTTGACGTCTTCCTTCTTGAGAGGCGTCGTTGGCGGGACATCAGATAGCGATTGGGGCATATCTTCTTCCTTCTTTACTTTCTTGGACGGAGTCGCATTTGCCGACTTTGGTGATGCACGCTTTCTCTTAGAAGCTGGTGTTGATTGCTGTGCTGTGGACTCGGATTTCTCGGCTGGGTTTGCGGCTGCAGCCAGGCGCGTGCTGGACCGTGTTGCTCTCGCCATTCTTACTATACCGGCACGGATCATGTAACAAACAACTTGGATGGGCAAATCAGGTCTCAATGGCGGCGTCGCGAGTGAATACAAAGCTGCATGGATATTCAGGGGCAAACATCAAGAGTCGAGGAAAACCCAGCTTCAGCCTCAGTGCAGCGACAGTGGTGATGTCAATGATTGGACCCGCTAAGAGGATCCACTATTCTATGCCTAAGCGAGATCTAATGGCCTGTGCTCTTAGAGCTTGGACCATGCCAGTTCAGAAGCACGAGAAGGAAGTACGCAGGAAGAAATGCACCTTCTCAATCTCAAGCAGGAGCACCCTGGAAACACGTGAAGATGGCATCGCTGCTTCCTTATTTCCCTCGTTCAGAGACAGAAAGAGCATCCCGTCTTGACGAAGCAGGAGTGATCAGCCCAGACGCTGCACCTCCTTCCTCCTGCAATTTTGGATGATAAGGGGAAAGAACGAGAGAGCGTGCGTCGCCCCTCCCTGGGGAAAGTGGGAAGGCACAGCAAAGCAAACATTTGTCACGCCCCTGGCTGCAAAACCAATGTTTGCTTTTTCCTCTGCACCTTGGCGCGTCGACTTTCTCTGCCGATTTCCATCAACACGAACATTTTGACATGAAAAATGCACTTCAGCTGCATGCTTCCAAGCCTCCAGACAGCCACTCGCATCTCGCTAGATGGACCCCGCCGCCCCTAACTACATACCTACACAATTGCAGCCGGCCTTCGACGCGGGAATGCCGCCGTCTCCGCCAGCGACGGGCTCGGAAAGATCCCCCGTTCGGCCATCTTCCTCATCGACAATTCATCGCACCTCCAACAGCGCCGAGACTCGTTCCCCACATCTCTGCATACAGCACCGCGCCCACGTGCAGATCCCCCCGTTCAAATGGCTGTCCATTCAGTTTATCGGCCGTAAGGTACGGGAGCTGCGGCAGGGATCACAGAAATCCTCTCGATCCCTTCCTGAACCGGGCAAGATGAGCATTGCCGCAATTGCCTGCTCTCTACGGGGTAAATATCGATGAAGCACATTGGCGCAGAACTGCAACGGTCCTGATGGAGAATACTGTCTCTGCACCCATAGACCAACGGACACCGTCACCCCTGCTCAGAGTAACACTCGGTGAGACTCCAGCGCTGGCCGCTTGACGCAACACGGGAGCACTGAGGAGGGAGAAGTTGTCACACGGCACCAGCAAGCTGCGATGTTATCCGCCAGAGAACGAACATAGCTTCTGAAGCGTATTCGCGGGCTCCTCTTCCTGGGTGCACAAGTCAATTCAGCATCACCACCAGGAATTCAGATCCAGTATCCCGGACGCCGTCTTCCGCCTTGAACTTTCCCGCGAGAGACAAAGCTCATAAGCCACGAGGAGAGCCTGGGCGACCCTATTTGCTTGGCGCAAAGCTTCTCTACCACGTCGCATCGCTGGCAGATTAGCACAGCATTCCTCAATCGCGTTGTACTTGTCTCCTCAGACTCCAACCTTGGTACGCAATCGAATGCGAATGTCTCACCTGCGAAGCTGTTAAGGACCGCCTTTGTGCCCTCCAGGTCAGGGTAGCTTTCCTGGGTTCGTGCAGATGGTTCTATTTTCAAACGGCCACTTCTGCATGTCGCAGGCGAACACTGTAGCCTTTCTCTCGGCCGACATATCGACGTGTAGCATCTCGACCAAGTCATCCGATGATCATTGGTCAATCTCCAGGGTCCCTGATGGGAGTTTGCCAGCCACAACCTCACTTTGGCTAATACAGCCTCTTGGCGCTCGTGCAGTGCAACCCCAAATTGTCTTGGGGATATGCGGATTCCACCAAGGGGCATCGCCAAGATCTGGAAGCGGGTTAGCATGTCCAGGCCGGAGATGTTGAGCTACATTTGATGGCGCAAACCCTATGCCATCATCTTGGGTCAAAATGCTTTCGTTTCCTCGCCCGCCGTTCTAGACGCCTACTTCTTCAATCAAGCACACCCCCTCAGTATCGCCAAGCGACTTTCCACGCAACTACCATCTCCGGTCTTTGTCGACAAACCCCCAGCATCACCGATTTTCGCCTTGTTCTTTGTCCCATCGAGAGAAATGCCATGGCGGTCCCAAACAGCATGGGCGACAAGTCCGTGAACGCCGGCCGGTTCGAGACCGTACACAGCATAGCCAGCACCTCGGAGCCGGAGACGAACCAGTACGGCCACCTCACGCTGTGGCAGTCCATCAAGAAGTGGCGTCGCGTCGTCTTTTACTGCGTAGGCATGACATCTGCCATCCTGCTGTATGGCTACGACTATGTCATCGTTGGCACCGTATCAGCCATGCCCAGCTTCCAGTACGGCTCCTCTCCCATGGCTACTCACTGCACACGACGGCTAACGAGAATCTTGAAGGCGGGACTTTGGCCAAAGGCTCGACGGCAAGATGATTCTTCCGTCTCTATGGCTTGGTCTCTGGAACTTCGTCAGCCCGGGCTGCTCCATGATTGGGGCCTTGGTTGGTGGTATCTTTCAAGACAAGTTCGGTCGCCGCCCGTCACTTGCAGTCGGCTCATTTCTGTCGGCAGTCGGCGTTGCCATTTGTTTCGTTTCCAACTTGTCTCCCGACATTAATGAACGGCGCATTATCTTCCTTGCGGGCAAGGGATTCCAGGGTGGAGCCATTGGCATGGTAATGGGAACTTCGTCGACCTACATGTCCGAGATTCTCCCACCGAACCTGCGAGGGCCGCTTCTTGCCTTCTTTCCCATCTTTACTTTGCTCGGGCAATTGATTGGGGCAGCAGTCATTTTTGCATGCCTCAACCTGGCTAACGGGTACACCATTTGCTTCGCATCGCAATGGCCGTTCTCGGTCATCCCCCTGTTGATGGCTTTCATTATCCCAGAGAGCCCGACCTACCTCATTCGCAGAAATCTGGATGAAAAGGCCTACAAGGCTCAGAAGAGGTTGGACACACCGGGAATGGACCCAGAGAAGACATTGGACGCCATCCGTCAGAACATCGAGCATGAACGCCGGCAGACCAATGCAACATATGTCGACTCGTTCCGCGGGGTGAACCTTCGACGGACCCTGATCATCATGTTTGCCAACTCTCTGCCGAACATCTTCGGCTTGACCCTGCTATCGAAGTCCAGTTACTTCGTGCAAGTGGTTGGCATGAAGGCCAACCTGAGCGTGATCGTCCTTATTCTAGGGCTCGTTTGCGGCTTGATCGCGAACATCGCCAGTGTTTGGGTCCTCTCAAAGGTGGGACGCAGACGCCTCATCTTAAGCACGCTGTCTCTCTTGACAGTCGTATGGACCGCCATGGGCATCTCCGGCTGTTGGTCGGGCCCTGTAACCGTTTGGTAAGTCCTCCCAGGAAAGGTGTGGGGGTTTGAATACATAGACTGACCACGTGCCCTAGGTACACTTCTATCTCGTTGATAGTGGTTGTTATTGTTGCCGGGCTAGGTGTCTGGCCTGCTTCGCATGTTGTCGGTGCCGAGACCTCAGCGCTACATCTGCGTTCCAAAGCCCAAGGTATCGGCTGGTTCACGGCCGGCGCGAATAATTCCATCTTCGGGTTCGTGCTGCCGTATATTTTCAACCCCGACAAAGGCAACCTAAAGGCCAAGACCGGTTTCGTGTACGCGGGCCTGTGTGCCCTCGGGCTTGTCATTTCCTTCCTCTGCATTCCGGAGATGAAGGGACGAACACCAGCAGAGATTGATCGCATGTTTGAGTCGCGGCTACCGGCAAGGCAGTTCCGACACTGGACCAACTCAACGGCGGAAATGGATGACGGCGTTTCTAGAGCTGGCAGCTCTGGTGTGTAAATTTTGGATTGTTTCTTCACACACCAAGCATGCAGAATCCTACGTTTCTTCTGTCACGCAAAATCGATTTCGAGCTGCGCCTCAAGCGCACCTATTGACACTCGCCTCGCTCTGTGCTGAAACCACCTGCATGCAGCGCCTTGGCGGTCTTCATCTGATATTGCTGTCGCCAAGCTTCTGTAACCGTCGCACATCGACCTTCAAACAAGTCTCCGTCCGTGAACGTCAACTGTTGTTCATCATCTTTTGTGTGTTCTTGTCGGGAACCCATCGTCGACATTCTCTTCGTCGAATGATTATGCTGATCATTCGGCACGTGTTTGGAAGCACTTCCAGCCGCTGATGAAAGTGCATTCCTTTAGGAGTATTCTGACGTGTTATAGGGCATTTCGGCTTCCTGCAGCGTCATCGGCTTATATGTAGTGGCTCTGGCAGCGCCGAGCCTGCAATGATGTCCGCGCGCCGAAGATGGGATCGACATCGTACGTGTGGTCGCGAAGTCTAAAGTCCCGCCGGCCAACGGGCGCGCCGACTTTCCGCCTGTCGCGGCAAGACGTCTGCAAGATCCTCTTGCTCGAGCAGTGTCGGTGGCTGTGTACTGTTTCCGATGGTCATGACGTGAGACGACGTGGTCGGGCATCACCTGTCAGCCATGCCATGCACGCGCTACCCAAAAGAATGAGTTCTGGTCCCTGGTCAGCAGAAAGAATTGGCTACCACGTCAAATACGCACGCTGACACTTTCGGTATAACCCATTGTTGGATAATCGTATTGACAACCACTCTTGGCGGTGAGTGGCCCCTCACGATCGAGAAATGCCAAAGTCCCAGCATATCGCAGGCAACAGCATTTTCTCTCCAGTCATTCGACCACGTCTGGACGCGCGCGTCTGTTTCGTTAGCTGTGACCCGTAGCCTCGGGCGGAAACAAAACGAAGCTGCCATCGGAGCTCGTGTACCGGGGAGCCCCTCCGTACTGGGTTTGTCCCAAGACTGTCTGTTCGAGATCCCGGCCCGATCGTCTGATATCTTGAGACACCAAAAACAGTAATCCAACCGGCTTTTCAGCAAGATGGAAGCAAACTCAAAGCCACCGCCGCCACTCAAGCTGCACAAATGAGGCACGCACGGGTCCCGAGAGTCGGGTTCGGGTACGACGCTACATTACCGGACTAGTTCCTTGGAGGGTCGGAAGCGAGCGGCTAGGACCCAGTCGAAGGGTTCCTGGTCCAAGCCACCCGTCGAGCTGGATTGACATGAGTTTGGATGGGCAGCACACCACCCAAGTCAACGCTGAGCCTCATGACATTAACATGCTTTCGTCAGATTGTCAGCACCCAAAGGAGCAGCCACAAGGTTCTGGCACGCCATGACTGGGACTGAAGTGCCTCCCAACGGCGATTGTTCCTCGGAAAATCAGCTTAATTTTGTCGAAGCCTCACGAGCCGTCCATTCACGTTCGATCACGTCGACGCTGAGTAGCCCATGTCCGAGTCCCACTCCAACATATCAGGTACTCGGCACCCCACCAGCCAGAACCGTCGGTACAAATCCAGGCAGATGCGGTTTTCCTCCGCCAAAACGAGTTTCAGCCCTGCTTTCCCCATGTGGCGTCGGCGGGCGTTATCTCGCACTGATCAACCCTGCGATGGCCAATGAAACAGGCGGGAAGCTAGTGTGGAAGCCAACGAAGCGCATGCCGAGCCGCACGCAAATGGGCGAACCCCCAGACAAGGATTTAGGGGGTGGCCAGCTGTTGTTTTGCTCTGAAGAGCTTAGCTCGTTTCTGGTTTCCGGCTGTCAGGTCCCTCTTGGGACCGAATTGTGATACTCTCTGGGGCTCATCATTGATGCGACCTGCAAGATTGGTGTAAGCCGTTATGTACCTCAGCTACCTTGCGCTAGTGTCCTGGCTTCCTCGTCGCAGAGGCCAGCGCACGGAGACCCTGTTCGATGAGACGGTTGCCACGTCTGGCCCCCATCAAGCACCGACTGGGTATGAGTGTCCCAGGAGATACTAAAGAAGGGCGGGCACCTGCAGCTCTGTGGCCATCTCGTCCTCACCTCGTCAATCTTTCAAACCTTTTCTCCCAAGTTGTGCGGTCCAGTCCCGGGCAGCAACTGTCAAGATGGAGTACAGAGAGCGCAATAACCACGACAGTCTCGTCTCGACGTCGACGTACGCGTCGACTGCGTATGACCCGGCTTCTTACACGGCCATCAAGGATGGGGAGACGAAGGAGCATGAGCAGCGGGCAACGGATCCCATGCTGGTGGATGAGACTGTCACCATCCAGCCATGGAAGGCATCGAAGCACCAGATGATTATCATCATCACCTTGTCTATCATGTCATTCGTCATTGCCTTGGACGCCAACGTGATTGTCACGTCTCTGAGTGTAAGTCGTGATCTGAACGAACTGTCTTTGGCAATATGCTGATCGAATCATGATAGTCCATCATCCAAGATATTGGTGGAACATCAACACAAGCTTTCTGGATTGGAACTTCCTACCTGATCTCTTGTGCTGTTGCCATGCCATTCTTGGCATCTCTCAGCGATATCTTCGGTCGACCCATCATTCTCATCGGCAGTCTCATCCTCTTCACACTGGGCACAATTCTGTGCTGTGTTGCGAGTGACATTGGACTGCTTCTCGTTGGTCGTGTTATTCAGGGTGTCGGTGCTGGCGGCATGTACGTCCTCAGTCTCGTTGTCTTCACCGACATCGTGCCTCTGCGCCACCGACCTAAGCTCTATGGCATCATGTGAGTAGCTTCGCCCTGAAGATCCCAGAGACCAACTGACTCTTTTCCAGCCAAATGGCTTGGGCTGTTGGCTCTCTCGTCGGCCCCATCATTGGCGGTGCCATTGCAGAGCATACTACGTGGAGATGGATCTTCTACATCAACTTCCCCATCTGCGGCTACTCTCTCATCGCAGTACCCATTCTCCTGACTCTGAAGCCACCCACTGCTACCTTCTCTCAGAAGCTGAAGCGGGTCGACTGGCTCGGTGGCTTCTTGTTCATCGGGTCTATGGTCACTTTCCTCATCGGTCTCTCTTGGGGAGGTAACGATTTCCCATGGAGGAGTGTCCAGACTCTTGTGCCCCTGTTCATTGGCGCCGGTGGTCTGGTCGTCGCACTGGTCTACGAGCACAAGTTTGCGAAGCTGCCGTTTTTGCGGAAGATTCTCTTCACGGACAGGAGTGCTATCGTGGTCTACATCCTTGGTGCCCTCCAAGGCTTCATCGTAAGTCGCCCAATCACCGCCTGCGCTAGCTCCGTACTAACAGCCCCTAGCTCTATGGCCAGCTGTACTACATCCCCTTTTATTTCCTCTCTGTCCCTGAGTACAGCCCTACCATGGCCGGTGTGGCAATGCTCCCGGTCACCCTTCTGCTTCTCCCTGGATCCATCATCTCTGGCATTCTTGTCTCTCGCTACAACGCCTACCGCTGGTCCATCTGGATCGGCTGGGCTCTGCTCGCTCTTGCATCTGGACTTCTCATCTACTGGGGCGTTGGCACATCTGTTGCTGTACATGTCATCACCCTGGTCATTGGCGGTGTCGGCCACGGCTTCATCCTCAACGCCCAGACGTTTGTCACTGGTGCCATCGTGGACCCCCAGAACTCGGGCCACGCCGCGAGCATGTACCTGTTCCTCCGCATGCTGGGCTGCGCCATCGGCGTCAACGTGGGCTCGACCACGTTCCAGAACGTCATGGCGCTTAAGCTCCGCCGCCAGGGCATTGCCGAGGACATTGCCCGCCGCGCCGAGGAGTACCTTCTCGTCGTCAAGACTCTGCCCGACGGCACCTTCAAGGATGCCGTCCTCGAGTCGTACGCCTACGGCTTCAAGGGCGTGCACGGCGTCTACGTCGCGCTGGCTGTCATCGCCTTCTTCCTGAGCTTTCTGATCCGTCACTACGATCTCAACAGGATCCACGAGACGGAGCACAGGCTGCAGCAGAACCGCGTCTCGCGCATGTTCGAGACTCACCAGCACCGCACCCGCGGTGAGCCTATCCCCACGTCTGACGAGAGCTCTTAGGCCTCGCGACATATGTCAAGGGAAGTTTGCTAGAACTTTGCCCGGGAGAGAAGCATTTAAGGTGTAGGATGAGCTGGACGGGGATGGAGGATCACAACGGGACTTAAACGACGAATATCTCAAGGCACTAAGCATGGAGTTTGTGGGTCATAGAATATGGTCATGGGTGATGTGGCGGAATGGCCGGCTTTATGAATGTCTCTTTTTCTATTTGGCAATGCATCATTCCTTAGAACCTTGCCTTGCGTGGACCAGTAGGCAGAATGAATCTGAATAACGTCTTGAAATTGTTTTACATCTGGTCTCTCACCCTAGTGAACTCTCGTTCTCACAAGACATTGCATCAACATTTGCGCTGAACCCCAAAAGCTTCTGCGAGAATTGAAAGGTGATGAGACGTGGCATTTCTAAGCCACGGAAGGTCTTGATGACTTGATGAGGTTGGAAAGATGACGATCTAGGACAGATTGACATCTTGAACCACGTGTGTTTCTCTCATCGGGTTTGTTAGTCACGACGCACGTCTCGGCGAAGCCTCTTCATCCTGCTTAGGTGCAACGGCGATGGATTGCCGCAAGGTTGCGAGCCAAATGAGCCCACAGGAAGGAAGTGCGCGGCTCTGTGACAGTCATCTTTTTACGATGAGAATCGCATGTTTTATACCTGAAGTTTGAAGATTGAGTTCGCTGTGCTTTTTGATCCTGTGGTGAGATCTTGGAGATGATGATGTGGCTGGCGGCGCTGCGGTTCGAGTGGTGGGTTCGGTTGGTTGCCGGATTGGGTAGGTCGCCGAGTTATCTCCGGGGTTGAGTCCTCAGGGTCTGGCAGACTCAAGTCCTCAAGCATGAGAAACGGAAACATGAACACAGACTTAGAATCGTGTGTGGTCACCATCACATAATAGACACGAACGAGGAGGGTTTGTTTCAATCATGCCACTAATACACGCGGCATTGCTTTCCATATCTGAGTTACGCGACGGGCTGAGTTCGCGACGACGCTACTCCACTCCGAGCCTCGGAGCCCGCCTCCTTATCTCTGGCTGATATCCCCCGGTCGCTTCCCCCCTCCATCCAGTCAACCTCCGAGACTCCTGTCAACAAACCAACCGAAGCAACGAAGCGACATCAGACGCGTGTAAGTTGATTGCTCGTATTTGAAATGGATCCAGAGTCGCGCGCGTCCCCTAGACGGCTCTCATTGACGGGGCGGATAGGCGGGAGCCGCGATGCCGCCAAGACCATCTCGGCGTAAGTCTCCGAACACACGCACACCCCGCTCGGGGGCCTCCTCCGCGCCGGCGACCGCCAACGGGGTTGACTGCATACCGACATGTAGTCTCCGCTGGACTATTCCGGACGCCGAGTGAACTGGCGAATGCTAATGGGTGAGTCGGTGGCAGGTGCTTGACGTGTCGGCGGAAGAAGGTCAAGTGCTCCGGCGACAAACCGTGCACGTACTGCAGCCGGCGAGGGTTGGAGTGCTGCTTCCCGGAGCCTGGGAAGAAGCGGGTCTACTCTGTCACGTAAGTTGTGGACAGACCATCGTGTTTGGTTGGATTCTAGTTTCTAACACTGGAGCAGGAGGATCCAGGATTTGCAGGAGAGGCTGGCGCGGTATGAGAGCCAGGGACTCGGCTTCTCTGTCATCGAGGGTGGGTGACGTCGATTAGCCATCGTCTACGGGATGACTTACAACAGTGATAGGCAGAGACGATGAGACGAGGATAGCCGTGGACCCGCCGGTGCAGTCTCCGAAGCGTCCACGGACAAGTGCGACTGTACATACGCCGACGGATAATGCGACGCAGGTCAACGCCGCGTCGACGTTGCTGGGCCTAGCACTAGATCAACTGACTTCTCCCCCATCTACCAACACCATCTCCCGCGGACCGGCGAGTAACGTCGTCGAGTCTTCGCCGGGCTCAAGTAAGACACCCCCATACCTGAAGAAGCCATACTCTCTCACACTCCCACCAGCCATCCCCGCCGACTCGACCCTAAGCTCCAGCCACAACTTCGGCTCCCGCCTGCAGAACCTCCTCGAACACCCTCGCCTCAGCGGCAGGGAACCCACACCCCAACCGCGCCCTCACGCACCGTCCTCGCAGCCCCGTACAACCAAACCCCACGATGACGGCCCCGCGCTGCCCTCCGAGGACGAGGGCCGCAAGCTCTTCGAGAGCATGTCCTTCTTCATCGGGTACACGCAGCACCACATCGACACACGCGAGTTCTCGGACCGGCTGGCCTTCTTCTACGCCAACCTCGGCGACCCCTCGCAGACGCAGACGCCGTGGTATTTAGAAATGGTGCTTGTGTTTGCGATCGGGAAGCTGTTCTCGGGCGCGTTCGACGGCGACGACGAGGAGGTGGGACTGCCGGGCGAGGGCATGTTCAGGTACGTGCAGGGGCGGCTGCCGAGTCTGAGCGAGCTGTTTGGGCTGGGGAAGCTGGGCGTGGAGATTCATGCGCTGGCGGCGGTGTATTTGCAGAATGCGAATCGGAAGGAGGAGGCGTATCTTTATGTGAGTGGTTTGTTAGCAGGCAGGGGATGCGGTGATTGGTACTGATGAGAAGGGCAGATTAGCTCGGCGCTGAGGCTTGCGACGACGCATGGGTATCATAGGAACTCGGGGACGAAGCATTTGTTGCAGTCGGAGAAAGTGCATCTGAACCGCCTTTGGTGGACGGTGTACATGCAGGAAAGGTATGCTCTGTTTGTCTCGTAGAGATGAGGCACGACTGCTTATTTTCACGCAGACGACTTGCTGCCGCCACAGGGAATCCATCCGGCATCTCAGACGACGTCATCGAGATTGACATGCCCATCGACTCTCCCGGTTTCCCGCCAGCCCTGCCCCTGAGAACCAACATCAAAATTGCAAGGGTCACAGGCAGGATTCTCTCGAGTGAGTTCTACTTGATAAACTGACCATTCCATCACTGCCTGCTAACACTACACGCAGCAATCTACGGACCTGGTAACCACCCCGAAGATTCATTCGTGCCAAGCGTACAGGAAATCGTGCAGTCCCTCTACTGGATTGCCAAAGAGATCCCCGGCGACTTCTCCAGCAAGCTGTTCGATATTCCGTCCATGGAAGGCGACGTCTCGCTGCGCACGTCGGCGTATCTGCACATGATGCTCTACCAGGCGATCCTGTTGACCATCCGCCCCGTCATGTTACACGTCTCAAAACTAATCTTCGACGACGACAACGGCGGCGGGTTGAACTTGGGCTCGTCGCCGCTTGGAAGGTTGAGCCGTACCTGCTCAGAGGCGGCGCGGAGGTTGCTGGAAGTCTTGCTGGCGTTGCGCAAGGGCAATATGCTAAGTAAGTTGGCCTTCATACTACCAAATCTCCGATACCTAACGTGTTCTGAATGCAGCAATCTTCGGCTTCTTCGACCTCGACGCCATCTTCTCCGCCGCCTTCATCATGATCCTCACCCTCATAATCGACTCCACCTCCGACGACTCCCAGAAACTCGCCCCCAGCCCGGGCCTCCCCGACGCCCTCGAGATCCTCGACTACCTCGTCGCCCGCGGCAACGACTTCGCGTCCCAGCGCGCGCGCGAGGTGCGCCGCATGCGCGACCACCTGTCCACCTTCCTCGACATCCCAAAGAACAGCCCGAGCGAGGCGCGGAACAGACCGCCCACCGTCGCTGGGGATGCGAGCATCGTCGTGTCGATGGATGACGACGGCGGTGGTCAGGATGCAGAGGCGCGGCGGCATGCGTTCCCGGGCTCCACGCCAAAGGAGGGTGGTGTGGTGACGCCGTCGGGCCGGACGAGTCAGCTTGGCTCGCGGAGTTTGCTGGACTCGAGTTTGTGGAATGATATATCGTACCTGTGGATGCAGCCGGCTGCGGGCGAGGATGCGCAGGTGCCGGAGCAGGCGGCGGGGATGGCGGAGTTGATGCCGGAGGATGCGTATAATTGCTACTCTATTTATCATAATCAGGATCTTACGCTTACGGGGCAGGATTTGGGAGATTTCGGGGAGTTGGAGAGGCATATCCTTGGGTTCGGTGGTTGAAGAGAATGACTCATAATAAGTTGATGAAGAGACCGACTATTTTTCATGTGGTAAAGCAATTACCTTTCCTGTGAGAGTATACTCCACCTCATTGTTGTCGATGCCGTCGTCGTCGCCGCTACTATTAGTCTTGCGACTTCTACTACCATTTTCAATAGGAATGATTAACCGCACAGGAGACATAGCTGCACACACACACAGGAAAAATAGGCGGTCTCTCAATAAAGAGACCCAACCATTCGTGGTATGAGCAAAAGACTCCGCAACACCGCAACACACTCTGCAACCAGTCAAAAAGAGGAGATATCGACAATTACAACGCAAATAAAGGCAAAAAATAATGCGTCCTAGGGGAGTCGAACCCCTGTCCCAAGCTCTCTCGATTTCTCGAATGGAAGGCTTGGATGATAACCGCTACACTAAGAACGCCTGTGTCTCCGCTTGTCTTCGCACCCCGCAGAGGTTGTCAAGGCCACGATGGTGGGGGCGAGTCAACGCGAACTCCCGCGGCCCACTTCGGGGCTCATTTGCCTTTTGCAGTTAACAAAGGTCGAGCTTAATGAACTTAGACGACATACCTAGTACTCTGTCCCACCGCGCCGCAACATCTACCGAACCCATACGGCGGTATTAACCCACCCACGGGACCGGACCGAAAAGGCCGTGAGGAGAGCAGCACCTTAATAGATGTTGTGTATGACACGGACCGACGGGGGGCCGGAGCCCGACTAGATTCCGACCCCGGTTCGTCATGACCCCATTCCCCATCTTGAGACGCTCGTCCGAATAAGTGCGTCCATGATCGGGCGAGACCCCGCAAAATCCTTTGCCGGAGAGCGAATCCTCTTTGGGAGAAGCGTACGGTTGTCGAATCACGGTGCTCCATCTGACTACACATAACACACTCAATTGCCATAGAAGTAGCTCCGTCATAAGCGAAGTGTAATTCATCCGCCCTTCCACTGGCTGAGAATGTCAGATTTAGGGCGAGGCAGGGGGTCTTTTACACTCAGATCCTGGACGACTTTTGGTGATGTCGCTTTTTAACTCCGACAGCTGCCTGAGGATAAGATGGGGAAATTACTGGGTATAAATGACGATGAATATCTTTGGCTGTGGGATAGTTGGTCATTGACGACCACAACTATTAAAGTGATTGCAATCGAGAGACCTAATCATGGCTACCGCAACGATAACGTAAGTAGTTTGTTTCTACCTGCAGATCTACTTGGAAACATCCCCTCATAAATATCATCAGGTCAACCCAGACGAACAACGGAACGCTCGAGCTTCACGGAGGAGCACCGTCCAAGCTGCCAAAAACGCTTCCCGCGGACTTCATCGAGCGCTTCCCAAAGATCTCGCGGGAGCAAGCCGGCCACCTGCGCCACTTCCACAACCTCGCCACTCAGAAAGATGGCGAGTGGAAGCACATGGGCAGCCAGGAACCCGGGCAAGAATGGCTCGATGCCTACCGGTACCAGCTGGCAACCATGGCCTACGCCGCCGGCGCGGCCCATTATCACCACTTGCCTGCGTTGAGATCGACCTTCAAGTCCTTGCTTGAGAGCCTCATTCACAAGATGCTGCTGCGGGATGTTTGGGGATACTGGTTCTTGACGAGTCACAGCGGGATCATGGTCGATCCGGACATCAAGGAGCTTAGGAAGCCTTGGGCTGATCCGGTTGTTCGCGAGAACATCATGGTAACCTCGAAATCGACTTGCAGGTTGTCTATTGACGCATGCTGATTAGAAGGCTTAGTATTCGGGACATCTCCTTCTCATGGTCTCGCTCCACGAGATGCTCTTCCGCGAGGGAAGGTTCGACGACGAGGGCTCGATCGCGTTCAACTGGAACCCCATCTTCTGGGGCATGGGGCCGGAGAGATTCTGCTACACGAGAAAGACGCTGCAGGAGGCCATACTGCGGGAGATGGAGCGGGAGAACTGGTTGGGGGTGTGCTGTGAGCCGAATAGCATATTCGTCGTCTGCAACCAATTTCCAGTGAGCGAGCGAGAGAAATATCCAAAAGCTGGATGACAAGTGACTGATACATGTGTCTAGCTGATTGCACTGAGATACAATGATGTCCGGGACAAGATCGACCTTTCTCCGGGTGTGTTGGAAAAGTACCAAGCCGCATGGAAAGCCAAAGGCATGATCTCAGATGACGGTCTCATCGTCGACTGGTACTCGCCCAAGCAGAATCGAACAAAGCCCCCGTCCGACATTGCCTTCACCTCTTGGTAAGTCGACAACATCAAATCGCAGCGCAGGTTCAAGCTGACACCCGCAGGGCTCTCGCATTCATGAACTCCTGGAACCCAGACTTCGCCCGCCGCACGAGCAAAGACATTGCCATCGGGTACCTGGCCAAGTCCGACGAGGGCCACGTCTTCGTCCCTGAACCAGAAATCTCGTTCAAGATTCGAGAACTCGTGGCGTCGGAGCGCCTCGACCCTATGGACCCGGCCACCTACGCCAGGGCCGCGAAAGCGGTTGCGGAGCAGAACTTGCCGGCGAGCGGGTTCCCCTTCACGAAGCCGCACTTTGCGTACGCGGCGATGTGGGCGTCGGAGTTGGGGGAGCCGGAACACCTGGACGGGTTGCTCGCGTATGCGGATGCGAAGATGAGTCCTACATGGGAGGATGGGGGCCTGTTTTACGGCGGCAGCGGGAGGTCTGAGGAGGGTGCCTCTGTGGATGTGATAAGTGGTAATGCTGCTGTTGCGTATGCGAGGTTCAACATCGTGGATGGCCAGCGCACGATGTATGAGAGGCCTTGGGATGAGGAGCACTTTGCGACTGTGCCTTTTGTCAAGAATGTTGATCTCGCGAGCGGGGTCGATTTCTTGCGTGGAAGCTGGGATGAGGGGCTTCAGGCGCTGGCGATTACGTTGCGCTCGTGGGATGGCACAAGCAAGAGGTGCGTCTGAGATGGTCGTTCTAATGTTTTGAAGATGTCTGCTAACATCGTGTACAGCTTTCAGCCTCAGTTTACCGGGCTTCGAGAGGGCACGTATGGCATCTATCAAAACGGTGTGCTTCATCAGACACAAGAGGTCAAGAGCAAAGACGACGTTATCGCACTTGACCTTCAGGTATCAGGGGATGAGGTTGACCTGGTATTGGTGAGGTCTCATTGAAGGAAGCTGTTCTATGTGTCACTGTGTGTTCCAAGAAGATCTTCATCTCAATAGCCACTTATGAGCAGGTCTGATGTGAAGTTTCCAAGGACCATTGCTTCATCTGATCTAAACAATGAGTCACAAATTGATCTTCGGAGTGCGTGAAGCATGGACGAAGCTTGGATCAAGGGAACGACACATGGAAACGCCGTGATCAATACATTGCACCCATCGTCAATTGAGTTTTGGTCCATCTTGATTATCAAGCATGTTGAAACATCTTGTTGAGCTCGTAGTCGTAGGATTTTATGAGTCACAACTGCACTCCTTCACTATGAAGGCAGCCAGGCGGCGGTCATTAGCCGAGACATGGTTGGCAGCCTAGACTTTGGAGAAGTTGGGATTTTGTCGATTGAGTTTCTAATATTGAAGCAAAACGGTCAATGATTTAAAACACAAGAGATTGATAGGAAGCAGACTTCACTGCATTTCTAAGCAGAGAGCTGTCTGCCCAAGATCGACGACGACGATTGGTGGTGGGAAAGAAAGTCAATGAAGTGATGCAGCGAGGAGGAATACGCAGCGGCGGAAAACGTTGGGCGGAGTCGCGGAACTCCCTGCTAGGCCCTGCTAGGCCCTGTTAGGTATCCATTTAGGGGCACAGGCACCAGCGACAATAGGACTTTGAGCCAATCAGACGCCGTCTTGGCAGCAATTGGGCACTGTGATTGGTCGCTTCGGAGCAGGGAGCTGGTGCCTGGATTTGCCTGCGCCCACCACCGACACAGGCACACCACAATGAGCACATACAAGGCACTCCTCCTCCTCCTCGATGTCATTCCTTCTCTCCTAGGTGTATAAGAACCACTCTCATTCATGCCTCAGTCTGCTTCTCTTTCAGTACTTCTCCCAGCATTAAAATCAACTCGGCTCAGCATCTGAGCCCTTTTCTGATTCTTTCTCTACGAATCATCATATTGATCCAGTCATACAAACACGAACACCAAGCCATCCTTGCGTACCCTCGATCAACGTTGCTTCACTTCGCGTGCTCTTGATCGTAAGTATTCTACCGTCATCATGGTTTTTGGTCAACATCCTCTCCCGGGAGGTCTTTTTGGCGGCCTTGGCTCCAACGCGAACAACAACAAGGGTGGTCTTTTTGGCAGTTCTAACAGCGGTAACAGCAACACCGGAAACACCAGTAACCCGTTCGGCAACGCCCCGGCCACCGGTGGTCTCTTTGGCTCGCTCAACAACAACGGCCATCGCGAAGGTACCACAGGTGGGCTCTTTGGACAGAGCACCGGATATAGCTTGTTCGGCGGCCAAGTCAACAACATGGCCGGTCACGTCTGCGGACTCTACTACCTCGACCTGACGGCATCCTATCACTGTGGGTATCGACGGAACTACCTGCCCACCGTCTCACAATCAGTTCACGCACGCGTGATCGCATCGACTGCAAGAACGACACTCACCCAGACTTTCGTCAACCCATCCAAGACTGAAGTCATCCCTGAGCTCCGCTACACCTTTCCCTTGTACGATAGCGTCTCGGTGGTAGGCTTCACTTGCACCATCAACAACACCCGCGTCATCCGCGGCGTTGTCCAGGAGAAGAACACCGCCCGCAAAACATACGACGCGGCCGTCGCCAAAGGCGAGACTGCCGGCCTCTTCGAGCAGTTGCCTGAAGCCAGCGACGTGTTCACCACCACCATTGGCAACGCCCCCGCCGGCGCCGAACTCAAAGTAGAGATAGCCTATCTCGGCGAGCTCAAGCACGATGCTGAAGTCGACGGCATCAGACTTACCATTCCCACCAGCATCGCCCCTCGTTACGGCTCCTACCCTGGCACTCTGATGGAGAAGCCTTCCGATGTTTCCTCCAAGGACGGCATCGAGATTATCGTCGACGCGGAGATGCCAGGTGGCAGCGCCATCAAATCCATCCAGTCCCCTTCTCACCCCATCGCCGTCTCCGTCGGCTCAACCTCGACCATGAGTGCCGACTCCACCCCATCCCTCCAGCTCGCCTCTGCCACGCTCTCTCTCGGAACCGCAGAGCTCGAGAGAGACTTCATCGTCCAGATCATCGCAACCAACACATCCAACCCCATCGCCGTCCTCGAGACGCATCCCACAAAGCCCCACCAGCAGGCCATCATGGCCACTCTAGTGCCCAAGTTCAAGCTCGCCACCACGAAGCCCGAGGTCGTCTTCGTCTGCGACCGCTCAGGCTCCATGCAGGGCAAGATCGCCGACCTGAAGAACGCGCTGCAGATTTACATGAAGTCCCTCCCCGTCGGCTGCATGTTCAATATCTGCAGCTTCGGCAGCCGCCACACATTCCTCTTCCCCAAGTCCCAGACGTACGACAAGAATACCCTGAATACTGCCATGAAGCACATCGACAAGTTCGGTTCCGACTACGGCGGCACGGAGCTTTATGCGCCCATCGAGCAGACCTTCAAGCGCCGGCACAAGGACCTTGACCTTGAGGTGTTTGTCCTGACGGATGGTGAAGTTTGGAACCACGAGAACCTGTTTGGCATGGTCAACAAGCATGTGGAGGACTCCAAGGGCAGTGTTCGTCTGTTTACTCTGGGCATCGGCCGCGGCGTCAGCCATGCCTTGGTTGAGGGCCTCGCTCGTGCAGGCCAGGGCTTTTCGCAGACGGTTTCCGAGAAGGAGAAGATGTCGGGCAAGGTCGTCCGGATGCTCAAGGGAGCTCTTACTCCACATGTGAAGGACTACTCTCTTGAGGTCAAGTACGCCGACGCGGAATCGGAAACTGAGCCTGAGGATGACTTTGAGGTCATCGATCCTGTATCCCCCAAGCCAGGGCCTTCCAGCGAGAGACCTGCGCCGGTGCCCCAGAAGCCCATCTCCCTCTTCGATCCCGATTCCGAAGACGTCGATATGGACAACACGAACCAGCAAGACGATGGTACTGGCACCGAGCGCTTTTCCCGTGTGCCCACCGTCAAGCCACCCAAGATCCTCCAGGCGCCCTTTCGCATCCCGCCCCTGTACCCATACAGCCGGACTAGCGTCTACCTCCTGCTATCTCCAGACCGGGCACTCAGGAACAGAACTCCCTCTTCTGTGGTCCTTCGCGGAACGTCATCCCAAGGTCCTCTAGAACTCGAGATCCCCATCACGATCCTCGCCGAGAAGGCCAAGACGATCCACCAACTCGCAGCCCGCAAGGCCGTCAAGGAGCTCGAAGAGGGCCGCGGCTGGATCTTCCATGCCAAGGGTAAGGACGGAAAGGAGCTGCAGAAGAGCCACCCCGGCAGGTTCCCCGCCATGGTCGAGCGCGAGGCCGTCCGTCTCGGTGTCGGATTCCAAGTCGGAGGCAAGTGGTGCTCCTTTGTCGCGGTAGAGGCCAACGACAATGATGAGGATGCGGTCGAATCCCCTGTGGAGGAGGTCCCCGCACCTGGAAGAGAGCCAGATTGGCATGGTATTCCTGACATGGCTGAAGACCGCCGTTGCAGAAACACAGCTCACTCCGCAAGGAAGAGCATCATGCAGAGGCAGGCGATGGGCCTGGCACAACAACAGGCACAGCAACAGGCACAACAACAGCAACAACAGCAACAGCAGATCCAACCACAGCAACAGCAGCAACAGCTACAAAACCACCAACAAGGGCTCATGATGCTCCGTCAAGACCGGTCCAAACGAAGCCAGCCACTTGGCATGGCTCGAGGTACGCCCGCTCCCCCATCCGTAGGCGGCAGCCTGTTCGGCGCGCCCTCTTCCCCTCACCCTGCACCCATCGCGACCGCTTTTGGTAGCGGTGTCAATTATGGTGTCGTCACTTCCCCTAGCAATTTTGAAGCCACCTCGCCTGTCACATCACCAGTTGGGTCACAGTCTGGATGCAGGTCTCCTTCGTTTGGAGGAGATTCCCCTGTATATGGAGGCAACTCCCCAGGCTACTCTCCTGTCTCGCCACCCGCACCGGCTGCGACTACATCTATGTTCAGCAGCCAGCCTACAGCTGGTGGTTTGTTCGGCTTTCCAACATACACTCCACCGGGCGCGAGTTCTTCTGCATTTGGATGCAAGCCCGCGGCTGGTGGTCTGTTTGGCGGCTCAACATCCTCTGCCCCAGCCGCGAGCTCGTCTCTATTTGGAAGCAAGCCCACGACTGGTGGTTTGTTCGGTGGCCCAACTTCCCCTGCACCCAACACAAGCCCTTCTCCTTTTGGCAATAAGTCTTCAACTGGTGGTTTGTTCGGTAGCTCATCCTCTTCCTTCTCAGGTGCTCCACGGGCGTTCGCAAGCAACGCCCTCGCCCGGCCGGCTGTGCAATCTGCGGCTACCCCGACAGGCGGCGGTTTGTTCGGCACATCCGCATCAACAGGCGGCCTCTTCGGCGCTCCCGCCCCGGCGCCTGTTCAAGCAGCCGCACTCGCTCCGCCTACCAAACAGGTTGAGCCATCCCTGCTGGCCCAGTACCAAATGGAAATGAGCAACGCCGCGGCCATGCCACTTCCCGACGAGGACCTCATCGACTACTCAGACGAAGACATCGACCCCAAGCCTGCCGCCCCTGTTCACAAGAAGAAGCGCAGGAGTGCAGGAAACAACCTGTTCAGCGTTGAGGCCGAGGTAGACGAGGACGATGACGCACAGGTCGACGAGGATGCTGCCGACAAGTTCTCCGTGCTCGTCGAGATGCAGGACTTCAGCGGCTTCTGGGCCTGGTCTGCCCAGCTGCTGAAGGTGCTGGATGTCACGGAACAGCAGGTCAACGATGCTCTGGCCAGTTTTCAGGCGAGCCAGAACGTGGTGGCTACCTCGGTGGTGGTCGCGTTCTTACGCAAGAAGCTGGCGCATGAGAGTGAGAGCTGGGAGATGATGGAGGAGAAGGCTGTCGCTTGGCTTGAGGAGGAGAGTGGAGATGATGTAGTTGGGAAGGTGTTGGCTGCGGCTGAGGCCCTGTTTTGAGGATATTGAATGAAGGAACGTGATGAGTATGAAATCAGTTAAAAAAATGGGTTATGAACCAAAACGATGAGATATTTGGAAGCCGGGAAAACCCGGTCCTGAGAAAGTAATAGTAAAGATTGCTTGCTTTGAAAAATGCGTGTTCCGTGAATGTGACCCCCGCTTCGTTGCTTCATAATCGTGTTCATATGCGAATCTTCTCGCCTTGCTTTTGCCCCTACGCTCGACGACCTACCCAGCCTTCTTCACAGTCCCATCCCCATCGTTCAAATCAACCACCATCACCGCCGCCTCAGTTCTCGTCCCCCTCCCTTCACGATAATCATCGAACCAATAACGATGCACCACCCCAAACCCGCACTTCTCATACGTCCTCCTCGCAGCAGGGTTATCGTTATCCACGATCAACGATAGCCGCACCCTCTCACCAGAGACCTTCGCCTCAGCCGCAACATATCTCTTGGCATACTCCAGAATCTGCACACCCAGGCTGTTGCCCCTGGCTATCGGGAGCACGTACATCCCATTCACGACAAACTGCCTCGTCGGCCTGTCGCACTTCCTTGCAGGCCCGAGGTCCAACTCATGCGCAGGCCCGAAATCCACAAACGACTCCTCAAGATGCAAATGCGTCGCCAGCGTCTTGGTGTCGAGCGGCCCTGAGATCGTGAGGGAAGCCAGCCACTCTGCGTCCAAGGCGAGCTCAAAGTCCGCGTCCGGGTCTGCCGTCTCGATGCTGAGATTTACATCGCTGGACGCTTGCACGGGCGACGGCGGGGTAACCCCGTCATCGACGACGACGATGGTCGTCGCAAGCGGGTTCGACAGCCGCGCGAGCCATTTGTCCGGCGCGAAGGCGACCTCGCGCGCGTACGTCGAGCCGAAGCTCTCGGGGGAGAGGCGCAGCGAGAGCAGGCGGAAGGACTTGTAGCGGTCGGAGAGTTGGAGGAATTTGGCGAGGGAGGGGTGGGATTTCGGGAGGACGATGAACTTGGGCGACATGGCGCGCAGAACGGGAGGATGGGAGATGTTCACCGGCGGCTTATGGTGTTCACCTGGCGTTTTGGCAAATTTGAGCGAGATTGTGAGGGTGGAAAGGCTGGGTGAGTCACGGCTGGTGGTGGGTGCGAGATCGGGAAGGTGGTATGTTTGGGGCGGCTAGCGGTGTTTGGCTCCCGCGTCAGACGGGGGCGTGCGAATCATCCTTCGGCGGTGTGTCTACATATGTACGTATCGCTGCGACTTGATTTGATGACGGCTGCGAGAGTCTGGTGTTATGCATTGAAGGGTTCGCAGTTCAGAGTTCAGAGCAATTAATACAAGACCAAAAACGATGTTGTATTCACGAGATAGAACTAAGAACAGATGCAATTCACGCCGGTGCCTATGCATGATTGCAATTTTCAGTTGCAAACTCCGCGTGGAAAGAAAATAGGAACTTAATCGTGATATTAACATAGTACATATAAGAAACAGGACGTGGATGAAGGCTTTATAAATAAGTATCATCTACTGCCTCTCATACTCATCCTGTTCTTTGAATTTTCCCTAGACATGACCTGATTAGGCACTACAAACTAAAGAAATAATTCTTAGCTATTAAAAGCTACTTTAATAGAACATGTGTTTATGCTCTCTGTGTTCATTATCTTAGATAGCATGTCAAGCGACAATCTTATGTACTTGTGACTAGGACTTTATATACAATTAGTATTGAGTATCGCACAGATACTGGGTTTTAGGTGATCGCGTGCCTCCATTATGCTGATAAGACTTGGACCTGTAAATGGCACACCCTACATCGGCGTGCAACTCTGCATTTTAATGAAAACTAGCTCACACACCTCTCCTGAAGTGCGCCGTCATACATGAAGTTGGCCGGAAACTCGCTACAGACTCTCTGGCAAGTAAAGTTGTCAGCGACTTCAACTAGACCACTACTTATCTAGGCAGTCCTTCTCAGAAACTCGCTATCTATGTCTCTACTATCGTAAGACCCGAGATTCATATTCGTATCTTGTTTGCGACAGCTCGTAGTATACATACCTGACCAGTATTGTCTGTTGATGAAGCTATTGGACATATCGACCTACGTCTTTATGACAAGTCTCGCGGTCTTAATTGTTTTCATGAAGAGATGGACGACAATTGAAACCACCCATGTCGAGCAAATAACAAAGTGATTTGCATCATTCAGCAATTGCGATGTGTGTTATCAGAGCAGCTGGTACTCCCTCCCGGGCATGCCTCGGCATAATCCAATTCCGGAGCCGAATCGCCCCAGACAAGACCAGACCGGCGGGGCATATTTCGGACGCGTCGTACCCAGCTCATCAGTTTCCCATCAGTCGCGAACTCACATTCCCCCGCCAAGGTCGCGACACTTATCACAGATTCTGGACCGGAGCACTGGGTCTGAGCTACCTGGTTGAACTTCATATCAAGGCTCTTGGTGTGCGTCCCATAAACCCACCTGCAGAAACCCCGCACCCAGCCACCTCATCCCGGACCACCAACCGCGACAGTCTTCACGCACGTGGTTGGGAATACCGGCAACTCTCGCATCGACCTTTTTTGGGCATTTTCGCAATGCTCAGTCGTGCGCTCACGCGGTCAGGCGCCCCCCTGCCTCGCAGGTTTCTCTTCCAGAATAGGCCGCGATCCGTTGTCCGCGGACGTCTGCCTGGGCTGACATTCAGCCCTCACAACTCTCAACTCCGCCATGCATCTGCCTCCAGGCCCTTTCCGAAGACAAAACCAGGAGATGCTGGCCCGCAAAGCTCAAAAAGTGATGCCTCGCGGGTGCGGACGCCGGCAGAATTCCTTTCTGATCCGAAGGAGTGGGCCGAAGCCTTTCGGTTCGCGGTATATTTCTTGGTGGTTATAACGCTGGCGGAATATTATTTCGATACCACCATTGAAGAATTTGCCACAGATTATCTTAGTCGAGCAAATGTCAAACTTTCTCGTGTAAAATTCGCCGATGAAAAAACGATGAAACGGGTACGATGGATCCTCCAATCGTGACTGGGTATTCTGACAAAACGGCAGGCTGCCAAAGATATTGAAGACGCTTTGGGCCCTCAGGCAGTTAGCTACGACCAGGACGAAATCGAGCGACATGGCCATTCAGACTGGTCAACGTCCAACTCGAAAGGACGTCCAGTGGCGATTGTTTACCCTCGCAATACCGAGGAGGTATCCACGATTGCAAAAATCTGCGACAGGTACAAATGTCCAATAGGTAGGCGTTACTATTCCGTGTGAAAAGCTTTCGGCTACTAACCTATGCAGTGCCATTTGGAGCTGGCTCTTCTGTGGAAGGAAGCTTCTCCTCTCCGTACGGTGGGATTTGTGTAGATTTTGTGCATATGGACAAGATCGTCGCCTTCCACCCCGATGAGTAATTGACCTGCCCCAACGCTGATGTTCATGTACTAATAAACCGGTGCCAGCATGGACGTAGTTGTCCAACCAGGCGTCAACTGGGTTGACCTCAACAAATCCATCGAGGAGTCTGGCCTTTTCTTGCCATTGGATCCCTCGCCTACCGCGATGATCGGGGGCATGGTCTCTACCAACTGCAGCGGTACCAACGCGTTCCGCTACGGAACCATGAAGGACTGGGTCCTGAATCTGACTGTCGTCCTCGCTGATGGCCGCGTGATCAAGACCAGAAAGCGTCCGAGGAAGAACTCTGCCGGGTACAATCTTACATCTCTGTTTGTTGGGGCCGAAGGTACTCTCGGCCTCGTCACGGAGATCACGCTGAAATTAGCAGTTGTACCGGAGGACACGAGCGTTGCCGTGGTCTCGTTCCCGACCATTGGCGAGGCGGCCAAGGCGGCGACGAAGTTAATTCGTTCTGGGATCCAGCTCGGTGCGTTGGAGTTTATGGACGAGGTTCAGATGCAGGTTATCAACCGACACGGAAGCGAGGCTGTGCGCAAAACGGCTTGGGATGAGAGTCCTACTTTGTTTCTCAAGTAAGTGGTCCCTGGACAACCCCGTTCAAATCCCAGCTGATGAGAGTTTCGCATAGGTTCGCGGGGACAACCGAGGGCATCAAGGCAGATGTTGCGAAGGTGAAGCGTATCGTAGACCCCTTCAAGCCCGGAAAGATTTTCTTCGCGCGTAATAAGCAGGAGGAGGCAGATCTGTGGGCTGCACGAAAGGAGGCCCTTTGGACGATGACCTCCATCAAGCCAGATGGATATGCAATGTGGTCTACAGACGTGGCTGTGCCCATCTCCAGGCTAGCCGAGATCATTGGTGAGTTGGCACTACCACGGCCCCAGGCATTGCACTACGAAGACAGTCTGACAGTTGCCAATCCACTCAGCCCAATCCAAGGAGGACTCCGGAGATCTTGGTCTTTTTGCCAGCGTTATCGGCCACGTTGGTGACGGCAACTTCCACCAAGCGGTGATGTATGATCCTAAAAATACTCAACATAAGGAGGGAGTTTCTCGGTGCGTCCACAATATGATGAATCGCGCTCTTGAGATGGAAGGCACGATTTCGGTAAGTCGACTGCTGGCTAGAATTATCTTCGAGTCGTTGTTGACGGCATACAGGGAGAGCACGCCATTGGCATTGGCAAAAAGGTTTGACTCCTGTCCTCTGTAACTGTACGGAACTGACACCATTTCTAGGATTGTCTTGAGGACGAGCTTGGCGTCGACACGATTGGCTTGATGAAAAACATCAAGCAATCTTTTGATCCTGCGTGAGTGTCCCCTCATATTCCACAGCTAGGCTATGTCCTTACACGTATTACAGTTGGATCATGAACCCAGGCAAGGTCTTCGACCTACCGCCCAAATCCACGGCCAAGGCTGTCGACGTCGAGTAAGCACGCACCGTGCCACAACTCCGCCATCGCGACAGGCATTCTTGGTGTTGTTTGTTGCACATCTGAGGCAAGGCTGCCAGGAGGACAAGCAAACCGGCCTGAAACCAGGTGCATGCAGTGCCATGATTCGGGGTCGCAATAGTGGAGGCCATGTAGCAAATGGTAGCAACCAACACCACGTGGGGGCCAACAGCACCCCCTCGAGTTTCTATTTTCCCACCACGAACGCCTCTTTCGTGCATGTTGCAGTTGGTTCGTCCGGTTGATAAATGGCAATTTCAGCGCGAGAACCAGCGGTCGCAATCGGTTTGTCTCTTCCAGCAGCGTTTCACTCTTGCTGGCCGTAGTTCGCACGTCGCAGTTTGCAACCCCTTCCTGACTGCCAAGACCGGTTCCTTCTCCGTGACCTGACTCGGACTGCTGCTGCCTGGGTATGGAAGACTGGCCTCCGGTCAATTGAGCTGATGATTGTTGGTGAGCCACGCGGGGCATCGCGTCTGCCGTTTCCCTGGCGGCGCGCGATCTAAACTGGCGAGCACGGGCATTGCCTGTCAACGGCGCCGATTCTGTTGATCCTGGCTCATTACCGAACGCCACCATCTCCTACTGTAGAAATCCCATCTTTTGTCTATTTTTGAGCTCTTGCGCAGGCTACCGCACTCGAAGCATTTCTGCTTCCTGCATGTCTTATCATGCTGTGGGTCCCCAATTGGACGTACTCGGCCGAGAGCTGAGCCTGCTGCGCCGACCATCCAACATCAACTCGCATGGGGCTGATCAAGCCTTGCAGGGCGTTGCAGGGGACCGTACTGTAGTCACAGGAGCAGGCGTTCATCCCTTCGCACATCAAACAGCCACTGAAGCCCCCCGCGATGTGGGGGTCTTCCTCAAAAGGAACTCAGCTCCCCGATGTTTGAACAGGATGGGATTTTGGCATTTCCAGTCCTCTATACTCTTCACAAGACTTTGCAGCCACGATGCATCCGCAGTTCTTCTGGGCCCTTCTTTGGGCTTTCATGACCAGCCTGGTTGTGGCATCAACCGAATCGCCAGTTGATCTGGTGGTGCGCACTAACCCTGGCAAGACGGCCTCGGATACCCTTCGAGCTATTCGTCGGTCTATCGCAAATGCAAGAGTCGAGGGCCGGAAGGAGAAGTTCAGCAACAGCACGTCTTTGGAGAAGAGCTTCGACAATGCAGTCCTATTCAAGTTGTAAGTACTCCATGCGCTTGTGTCGCCTCACTCCTCGGATGCTGACGACACCTAAACCCAGCGAGCAAGATGTTGCTGTTGGCACGGAGAATGTCACAGCAACCGCCGGAATCAGCATCGTCTGCACCAAGTGCTACGTCAAGGGCAAAGCCAACGCGCATTTCACCATTGATGGCACCTTCAACGCAACAGGCGTCATCAAGGAAATCGGCAACGAGTTTGAGGAGACCTTCGACAATATTACCACTTACGCCAAAGACTATGTCACCGGGGTTGTCAAGAAGCTGTCTGACGGCTTCGACATTGATGACTTTGATTTCCCTCCTCTCAACATCACTTTTGATGTGGATATTCCCGAGTTCCCAGAATGCAAGCTTGGCTTTGGCTTCGATGATTTTGAGATGTACATGGAGCTTGACACAACTCTGTCGGCTGGCCTGTCTTACACTCTCAACCTGTACACTTCGACGACTCCCTTGGGTTCACAGATTGGCGATGACTTGCTTCTTGGAGTTGTCTTCAATGTCGACCTCATTTTGAATGTTGAGACTGAGATCCAAATGAGCACCGGCTTCCACATCAAGATGGAGGATGGCGTGACTTTTGACATTGCGTTATTCTCAAAGAACGTTTCGAGTGTCGCATTGTAAGTTGCCACCACCACTCCAGTTTTATCGCACCAGAGAGACAGTGCTAACCAAGTCATGCGTAACAGCGGTGGAGGCAAATTCGAATTCCTCCCAGTTGTCATCGAAAGTGCCGGTGCAGTCATGAAGGCCGTCCTCCGCGTCGGCATCAACGCCGGCATCGAGATCTCTTCTCCCATCGACAGCAAAGAGATAGAGTTCTTCAACAAGACCGTCACTATCCCAGGAGCGTCCGCCGGCATCGAAGTCGCAGTGTTTGCCAACATCGCGGAGCTGAGCACCAACGTCACCGTGCTCCCTGAAGCTGACGAGGATGGCTGCGTACTTCGCGCCGTCAACGCGTACCAGCTCGCGCTCGGCGCCGCCGCAGGTGCATCCGTGGAGATTGGGGATCGTATTTGGGGCCCGACGCCCAACACACAAATCCCGATTTTCTTCACTACGCTCGCGGATGGCTGCGCTCAGAAGAGGGTGCCGACTACGACTGTTGCTACTGCCTCGGCTACCACTACCTCCAAAGCGAAGCGTGACGACCTGACTACGACTACCTTGGCGAAGAAGGTGACATATACCGGTATTGAGTGCTTGGCGACGGGTCTTGTCAACTGTCCTCCGGCGCTGCAGACGCTGAGGAAGTTCGTCGCAACGGAGACGTTCGTCACTGCAGTTGCATCTGGAGTAGAGGCTACTTTCCCCGCAGCTACAAATGCAGCTGTTCAAGAGGTTGAAAACTTCGGATCAGGGGTCAAGTCTATGATCTCGACAAGCGGTACACCAAAGGTCTTCACGCCCACTACTTCGACAGCGTCTGCGACTCCCATTAGCACCGGTGACATCTTGGACGGCGAGGTCGGCGGAGTTGATAAGAAGGTCATTGTCGGCATCAGTGTTGGCGCTGGTCTACTTATCATCGCCATCGTTGCTGGAGTTTTCATGTATGTTTCTCAAGGGTGTCCTTTGCCTACGATGTGGTCTTCTAACATGCATCACAGTTACATGCGACGCAAGGGACGATACGCGCCTGTCAACAAGGCGGAAACTCGCGTCGCCTATGATCCGATTGCTTACCCTGAAGGTACATACAGCCAGATGAAAGACAAGCTTGAGGTGAATGTCTATATCAGGCAATGATGATGTGGCACCAGCCATTTGTTCACCCTTTGAAGCCGGCTTCGGGGTTATGAATTGGATTGATGGCGTTTGAAGATACCAGGGGTTACTAGGAGCCACTGGGAAATCCGCGAGGGTGGCGCAAGGTTTAGAAGGACTGGCGGATCACGACTTTATGATAGCATACCCATTTGAATGACCATTCATGTTTTAAATTCTCATCCGTCTAATTGAAACTGGACCTTCCTACCGCACATGCCAGCCAGATCAAATCTTTGATGTGGCTCTCACTAACTTAAAGAATTCTTCGACATCCTCCAAGAATAGCTCGGGCTGCTCAAGAGCTGCAAAGTGACCACCCTGTGAATTTTATGTAAGTATTTCTCATCTTGAAAGATCTGTTTGATATGGCTTCACGCACCTTCTCGTGTATGCGATAGAACTTCAGGTTGGGGTAGACTGCTTCCGCCCAAGCCTTGGGCATGAAGCTGACTTCGTTGGGGAAGAGCGAGTATCCCAACGGCGTCTCTTTGGATGTCGGGATTGGCAGCTGGCTTCCAGAGCTGATTGACTCTGCCAGTGGGCGGTACGGGTACACACTCCGGGGGAATGTGGATGTGAACCAGTACAGGCTCACGAGGTCCAGGATTGTCTCCAGCTGTAGCGGGTACCGGTCGTCGACCCATTCCAAGTACTTCTCGCCGATCCTATCATTTCATCAGTATGGCTCTCTTGCATGGGTTTTTCTGTCTCTGAAATTCTTACCAAGCAAGTAGTGAGATAGGACTGGCTGAGAGAACAAGCCCAATAGTCGCAGGCCTCAAGCCATGCTCAAGGGCGTACGACATTCCTGTAGATCGCCACTTGAGCATCTTCTGTGTCATCTGCTGCTCCTGAGCAGTCAAGACGTCAACACTTCCAGCGTCATCAGGGCCAGGGTAGAGCATGTTCACTGGTGGTCGTTAGCAGATATTTCAAGAATATCTTCTTCTTTTCATGCCACTCACAATGAACAGCCTTGCACTCCTTGAAGCTGGCGGACATCAGTCTAGCCATGAAGCTTCCGACATCACCTCCTTGAGCCGCATAACCGTTTCCGAATCCGAGGTCTATCATGAGCTGATGCATTACACCTGCGACCTGGTCCATGGCAAGCTCCTTATCGACTGGAGCGGATGACGCTGATAGTCCGTAGCCGGTCAATGATGGGACGATGACATGGTACGGCAGGGTCTCCGGCGTGTACTTCTTCAGAAGCAAGTCGAGCATCGGCAAGAACTCTAGGAAAGACCCAGGCCATCCGTGCATGAAGATGATAGGGAGCGCGTCCTTCTTGGATGAGAAAAGGGCTGCGAAGTGAACGTCTGATGTCCCGATATCCTTCTGGTGCACCTTGGCTTTGAAGTTGGGGAACGAGTTGATACGATCCTCCGTCTTCCGCCAGTCGTACTTGAGCCAGGTCTCTTTGGCATTGATAAGCCACTTTCGGGTGACTCCGAACCGTCGATCATCTTGCTGGTTGTAATACGTATCTGGACCAATCTTGGATAATTCCACGAGCTTCTTGAAATCTGCGATCTCCTGGTCTGGAATGCGAAGGGTGAACTTCTCAGGCTGCTTCGGCGCACCTGCCGGGACGGTTCCATATGCGTGGGCCATGGTGAATATCAATGCAGTCCGCTTAGGTCGACGGGATAGTTGTACGAGATGGCAGTGGAGAGTTTTGGGTTTATTCAACAGAACGACTGAGACACAGGACGATGGGGGTTCTTAAGTATATCGTAGATTCTGCCTGTGGAACGGAGGCCATGGATTATCAATCCCCCCGCTCGAACACTACCGAACACGACAGGCAAGGATACGTTTAAACTTTCTGTCATGCGGAATTCGACACTATGACCGCACGATCCCGTCCGTAGTGCAAAGTCCGCCGCTCGTTGCCTCCCATTCGATGGATCATCCCGTGTTCCCCGCGGGTGAAAGTGGGGCACCTCGGTAGACGGGGCGGACGGACAGCCCAAAGTCCGGGATTGTCGAGGGTGTTGAGCTCATGCATGCATAAGTCCACCGCGTATGATCTTATCCGGACCACTTAATTATTCGGTTGATCTGCATGTATCACTGCTGTGTTGCAGTGTATTGAGTCACATCGGAAGTAAAGAGGAGCCCGCATTCGTTCAGTGAGGTAGCGTCATAAGAAACGATTTCTTTAAAATAAGCAGCGAAATAATCCGGGCAGGCTCACTGCAATGAGTCTTGCCAGTAGCTGTAGTTGAGAGAAATAGATAGCGTACAGACTGCTACCAGGAATGCTCCGAGTCCAAAGGCGGAAGACGCGTCTGACGATATGCCCCAATACACAGCCACAACAATGCCAATAAGGACGACTGCGATAAGAGCTAGTAAAACAAAATGGGTCCAATTAAAGACTTCGTTGACGATAATGCCCCATCCTACAACCGACGGATTTGCAGCTCCAGGCAGGCGGCTCAAAGGAGTTTGTAATTTCTTGGGAAACATGGTAAGCCAACCGTCGTCGCTGTGCTTTCCGGGAAGAGTGAGGTGAGAAAGAGGGATGAAGTCCAACTCAACATCACCCATTGGCACCGGCCGGTATAAGTAGTTACCAGATTTCACTTCCGCACACGGTGGAAATTCTGTTCGTTTGAAACCCCTTGGGACGATCTCCTCGCGAACAGGAACAAGATGGAACTATCCAGCTGTCAGTCTCGCTTTAAAAACAGGGTCCATTGAACTACAGACCTTAACGAAGTCTCCCGTGCTCATTTTGTAGAATCGGATCTTAGACAATGACTTCAAAGGCTAAAGAATAAAACCAACCCAAGCGTGGTGCTGGAGTGTTGTTAATGTGCGATCCAATGTCGAGCGACTCCAGGATGGCAAAAGGGAAGAGGGTTTCCATTCTGAAGCTTCACGAATGGCCGTGTACTCCTTCAGTATCTCCTGGAAGAGATACTGGTCGTTTTTGAAAGAGCTGCACTCGATATGCACGAGGGTGTGTAGTTCTCTCTGTTTGATACAGATCAACAGATATTGAGGGCCATGGGATAGTCCAGGAATCCATACGTCGTTTTCAGACCACGAAGTAGCTGATGTTGGAGTCGAAGGCCCTCTTCCCGGCGATTAGGACGGCATTTCGTCAGAGCTAGATCCGGCTTTATGTGAGCTTTTGGATTGATTTCTTGTCGGCATGAGATATGCTGGTGGAGGGGTAGAGGGGCTGACTGTTGAACTTGGCGGACATAAAACCATGTCGGTGGCCCCATTCTTCGATAACACATTGCAGAAACGTACAACTCCACCAAGGCTAAGCTCTTTGACGTCTAAGAGCATATTATCGCCACACGCCTGAGAGAAAATGTTAGCTGTGATTTGGCAACGATGGCGATATGGAATGATATGGGAGGCCTCTTACGCGGGTGTACATGATTCTGTGATGTTTCGACTTTGGCGGTTGGCAAACATTGTATAACCAATCAAAGAGAATCCACTTATAACGCTTTTCCAGTTTTGAGAGTGGGCTCCAATTCTGGGTACGATCCTTTCCCTTTCTAATTTCGCCTTTGGAAAGAGAAAGTCACGAAAGTCGGCTTTAAACTTTGTCAATGGCACGCCCGAAGTAAGAAACTGCCGGGTTCCTTCTAACTTTTCGAATAACACAGGGGCCGCGGAATTCGTCGGTTCGTCATATTCCGTAGCGCCGTCGCTTCGTTCGTCGTTGTCGGAGACGTCATTGTCGACACCATTTTCTCTGAAGCATGAAGATTTGGCCTCTGAACCTGATTCATACACTTCTTCGGGGCCTGTAAGATACCGCTCCAGAGTGAGGTCGCGGCTTTCGTGATTCTGCATTTCTGCGGTCAGGTCTTCAATTTTCGTGGCTTTCTGCGGGGATAGACTCCTCAATATCTTGCTTGAGATCATGTTTCTATGCTTTCTTGATCTAAGAAAGCCAATAGAACTGGTTTGATCCATTGTGTGAGCCTGAGAGTTCAACATGATGTAGTAGCCCTTGAGTAAACGTCTATGATTGCTCATGAATCTGTCCTCGTCCAAGTGGTTGATTGCATACTCATACAAAGCCATGAGCTCAGGATCACTGGTCAGTATGTCAGCTACGAAACTCACTGCTGACATAATGACATCCCAGTCAACTGGTCCAGTGTCGTCTAGTGACATTATATCGTCTGCAAGAGAAAGAATTGACTGGGCTTCGGTGGTGTCGTTGTCGGCCTCCTCGGATCCTCGGCTAGAGTCAATATCATCCACACCCGGACTCATCGTCCGGGGGTTTCTCTTCTGTTGCGATGGATGTAAGGACTCTACTTCCATTGAAGAAGGTTTCGTAGATTCAGGGTGTAAAGTGAAAGATTGGCTTCCGACACTACCACTGGTGTATGTCTCTGTAGAGGGACAGCGTTGCTCGTTCTGCTTTGGGGCAAAACAACTGTCAGTCGGCCAACCCGTCTCCATTTTCGGCATCTTCGAACTAATTTCGCGAGATGTCTCTGCTTGAAGACAAACGGATTCCCCTTGGTCTTCTGCAGAATAGTTCGTTGAGTTGACACTGGGCTTATCCTTGTCGGGATGCCCGCCATCGTGTCTCGTTGAGAAATTATCCCGTGGTTCTCTTGAGCCAAACCCTCTGTTGAATACACCTCGGGCCGTGTTGAATAACCAGAACAATGGGTTATTCGAGTAGTTTAGCAGTCTTTGTCGGTTACCTTGGACGATAATATACAAATGCAGCTGTTGGTGTCAATTAACGTTAATCCTATGGTACACTTTGAGCGACTTGCCTGTTCCTTGAGATTCTTGATGTTTCTTTCGGTGTTATTTAGGTCCGCGAGTATTTCTCTCATATTATCCGTCTCATCGGCTATGTGGCTAAAATGTGTCGATATTCGAATTGAAAGATGCTCATCCGCACCACAGTCGAAGTCAGGGAATAGTGACAGAAATCCATTCAGGCTCTCTATAGTGGTTTGAAGCAGTCCAGTCAGTTTGAAAAGAAGATTATGTGTTCGCCCAACCCAAATATAAGAATCCTCGACAGCCTGACCATCACGTTCTGCCGTGGAAAGCGTCGTGGTTCTTCGCATCAACGGGATTCTGTCGTGTGATAGCTGCGGCATGTTACTAAGATTGTATCAAGAAATACAAAACAGGAGTTTCTTTAGGAATTTGTAATCGTTCTCAACATGGCTGCTGACACTAAGGTTGCAAGTGATGCTTGAATTTGACAAAATGGCCGGTCGGGTTACTCACATATTGATCGATACTTTTGCTTACATGAAATAGTGTACGAGACCATTCCTTTTTATTTCTTGCTATGTGAGCTTCAATCACGGCCAAGAAGTATCTCCGCGGGTCTTGGATGGAATTAGAGGTAATCAGGTGAGACACATCTGCGCCGGTCTCGGTTTGCTGGGTCTCGGAATAAAGTTGAAGTAAGTTTGTAGCCTGAGGGTCGGAGTGGCCATAAAAGTATGTATCGGTGAAGCTCAATGCTGTCCAGTTAGACGGATTCCATCCTATCACACACACCGACGTTTGACTTTCATGGAGGAAGCTTGCTGGGGGGGCAAAAATGTCCTGTGAGCCTGATAAAAATGATATGTCCAAGGACTCCCGAATGGGTCGATTGTCCGATGTTAGACGCACATCAACTTGTACTGTGGTATCGTCTCTGTACGCGTAACATGGCAGTTGAAAGTCCAACATGTAAGGGCCTTGCGTCTAAGTCGAACCGCCATATCAGTATTTAAATCGAGTACGCACCCACTCCAACACAAGTTTCCGAAACGTATATGGATAACGGACGAAAGAAATCCATGGATGGGGGATGATCGTTCGAGAAATGGGCAATGATCTCACCGGAAATTCCGCTTTTATTGATGTGGCGAAGGTAAGGTATTTGAACATCGACTCTCGTAGGAAGGGGAGTTCGTGTTGTGATGTCGTCATAACCAGAAGACACATGACCATCGGAGATGGGTTGAGGATGTATCTTTCACAGTCGTTTGTGTTAACTAACGTTGATTCGAGTCGGCTGCTAACTTACAATCGCCTTGTAGAGTCACTTGGGTGATGTGAGAATCTGACGCGCTTCATACTTGGAGGTCAGCTGGATGGTCAAACCGCTGGGGTGGAGGAAGAAAAGGAGAACAGGGCACTTTACGTTGTTTTCCTTCAGCATCTGCCTGAACTGATTGACCGTGGTCATACCGTCCGGCTCTATGGCATGGCCGTCATTGCCGATTTTGTGGACCCACGCTACAAAAGTATCCGGGTCTTTGAATGTGCCCTCTCTTGCCGTGTTGATTATTGAGGCGTCGAAAATTCGCGCGAATACTGAAAGCTCATGATGTCTTCCTGGTGACCACTCAGGTATCTTCAATAGACTTTGCAATTCGGTATGATCCAATCCATCTTTCGTTGATGGCCAGACCACATGAGATCCATGAGCGGGTTCTGCCACAATATCTCCTACTTCATCTGCCGGGATCCGTCGATTCCATTCGGGACGAGGCCGTGGAAGATGCACGATTGTGGCTCTATCCATGCCGGGCGCAGTGTTTAATGAAAGAATCGAAGCGCAGGACGTTTTCCGAGCGTAGGATATGCAAAAGCACGAAAGTCAAGTCACAGCGTAGGCCCGATGAGAGAGATTTCTGCCATCTTATGGGGAAATGGGGGACGCGGATACTTTACGCACTATGTACTTTCCATGATGCAGTTGCTTTTCGGCACACGCAAATTTTAGCCCTGGGAATTTGAATGGCGGCCGCAACCCAGCGCGTGAAAGTAAGGCGATCAGACATTAATTTGGGTCCAGCTCCAACACATCGACGGGATGGCAACTGCAGGTAATTCCAGCCGATTCCCATGAAATATTCCACTTGCTAATTAGTGCTTGGTTGTAAAGTTGCCTTCGCCACCAAGTACCCAGCCCCGAAAGGGTCCCGTGCATCTTTTTGCATCTGTCAGCTGTCTGGCTATTGGAGGAATATGCCATGTCGAGTGTCCAATCGGTTTCGTGAGGAAAGTGAGGCGACGAGGCGCAGCCCATGCTGACCACCAGTAGTGACTTCAGATATTGAATCAGCTGGCTTATCTCTGTTTTAAGTCGGGCCGCGAACCATGGCATACACGCAGCAGTGATTCACAAGCCCATTGGGGTGTTATACGAAATTATCCTTGATATACCGTTCTCTCTCGCCCTCTCTTATATAGGTAGCTTTCAGGTGATGTTTTGGGGGCTACCATCTGCTAGCATGTCGTTTCGACATCTTCATAGCGGTAAGGAGGCATACATAGGATTTACAGCCAAGGATTCCCAAGACACATTCCTCGCTGTCTGTGGAGGAGAATGGCGTCGACTTAGTGCACTGTGGGTCAAACAAGTCGTTTCCATCCACGTTGGATGGGGCTTTTGGCTAGAACCTTTCGGTGTCGGGCTCCCAGCATCATCTTAAATGGGGATCAGCTGAATATCGCATAGTTACTTACTGAAGATCATGTTTCTGTATTCGATTTCCATTCGTGGCTCACGAGCATGGGCAGTGGGGAGGGTTTGTCACCTGATCGTCGCACACGGCTTGGAGCCAATTGTCACCATATCTAAGATTCATGCAGAAAGGTGCTGAAGCTTTTTATTATCGCCCCTCAACCCTTAGGTATGATGCGTGAGCCATGGCCAGTCCAAACCCAGCCTCGTTTCAACCGACGTTCGGAGGAATCCTCAAATAAAGAAACTCCCTGTGCTGGAACATTGCCTTTCACGGACAGTAAGCCCCTCGCTGCGGCAGCGTTTTCGCATTGGCTACCGATCACCTCCCCAGAGAAGGCTCATCTCCAGATACAAGATGGCAGTCGTCCATTCCACTGTGAAATCCTATTTAACCTGTTTCTGATATAGTGTATTACGGACACCTCCGCGTGTTGATCTTACTAGTCATGACAGTGCCGTTCCTACGCGACAAACCTTAATTCGAGAACTCGCCAGCATTGCCCTGGATCAAGACCTCCTAAAATGCCAATCCAGTTGAGCTTCGAACAGCTTTCACAATTCTGCATCGGTCATGCCAGCAGATACCTACTGCCAGTTGCCCTTTCAGTGCTGATTTAGCTCGCTGCCGTGAGCGTCTCCGCTCTGTAAAATTCGAGTGTTTCGTTGCCTTGCTCCTGATGAAATTTCAGAATTGCGGTTGTCTCCTCCCGAGCAATGCCTGACTCAAGTCGTCGAGACGATGTTCTTCAGGCCCTGAATGAATAAGTTAGCGGTCAACGTTCTCACTAAGAGCTTATTATCGAGCAGTAAACCTGAACTCCCCGGGCCGTACCCTCCTTTTCAGCCGACTGAGCGGTCCTGGAAGTCTCTCGCGTCTCTCGCGCATTCCACCTAAACTACGCGCAACTGTAAATAACGATTGCGGGTACTGAATGATCGCAATGAACGTGCTACGAGTTTTGAATGTTATTCACGCCTGCACTCACATGATTAACTATACAGCTACCCGCGCGGGCGATTGAGGCCATTAGTCTTATTGGACAATCAAAGTGGGATACCGCTTGATCAAAGTGGGATACCGCCCGAGAACGACAGCCCATACAGCAAAACTCATCCCAAATACAGGCTTTTGTTTTGTTCTCGAGATACGATGTTGTCCTTCACTCCTCAGTTATCTTCCAAATAGAACTTCAAAGACGGTAGATCCTTGCCTCTGTGAGGATCTATAAAGTCACCATTTTGCTGGATGAGCTTATCATAGCACATAACTGACGTCTATTTCATTGGCGGTACCGATCGATAGCTTCAACCTGGAACTTTTTCCGGCACAAAGTATTTGACAAGAAGGAAAAGGAAACCAGTTTCAGCTCGACTCAAGCCTTAAACTTGAAGACGCCGACCTTGGCTCTGCACTTCGAATCACCCATAGCTCCCTTGGCCTGGCAAGCCTCGCGGAACTTGCAGTTGGACAATGCCGTGACTTTGAAGGCACTGCTCTTGTAGAGCTTGCACTCAGTGTATCCCTTGTCGTTGATGCGGGTGTAGCTGGGGTCGCATGCCCAGTCGGTGGCTACGTCGTTCGTGCTGCCGTCTGGGTTGGTGCACGCGCAGTACTTGTATTGGTCGCAGGCTTGGGTGGTCAACGCAAGAGCGAGGACGGAAAGAACGAATGAAGCCTTCATATTGAGGTCGTGAAAAGGCTGTGCTGTTAGCTGGGTGTCCCTGGCGCAACATGTGGAGCGGACAAGTGTACTTACTAAAGACCGTGCTGTGAGTATGGAGATGAACTTCTGTTTTGAACGAAAGACTGGACGAGCTTGGGATTGCTTGCTGTTGTGAACATGAGTTGAGAATCATTCGCACCTTTATAAGATGAACCCTTCAGTTCTAGCGTAGGGCGTAGCAGCATAGACTCTGCTAAAACATGGGGGCATGGTTGTCGGTATTGCCGACTTCCTCCGCCTCTTCACGTTACCCCCACATTCCATGTTGCAGGAAATTGTCCCTACTTGGCAAAGTTTAAGTTCCCCCTGGTAACTGACTCAAATAAGCATCAATCAGTCCAGTTTCGCAGGTGACTTGAGATGAACAGCCACACTTTAACTCATATGCTACTGGCCATCAATCTCAATCTGGAACACAATTGAGATGTCACCGTGTGCCGTTTTTCAGGGGTCAGCGTGAAATCTAGAGCCCTACTTGCGGAGCTATCCGTGGACCGTGATTCCCATCACAGGCTCAAAGAACGGAACAGATGGTTGAGCCAACATTTGATTAACTACATCCGCGGGAGGCCTTTTATTAATGGAGATCGCTGGTTCCGAAGTTAATTAGGTCGGCCTCGATAAACACACCGAAAATGCCGGATGCGAACGGCGCGTACTCGGCACTTATCGTACTCGGGCTCGGACCCGTGCTACCGCCGGCCTTTGCTGGCGACGGACACCTCCAGGACGCTACAATGGGTTTCGGCCTGGCTCTCAGTGGTGCAGTCCCCAGATCATCTGAACACTTAATCTTCTCCACCGGCGCCGGACTCAAAGATAACGTCTTCGATTAACTTAGTCGGGAGGACTATCTTCGATAACACATCTGTCGCATCGGATACTCTTGATTTCATTCTAGTTCTTCAGCAACGCGCTACAGTTACTCTTTTGGCCAGGACACTTCTCCTGCTGTTTCTGCCCCTTCGTGCGGATGTTGGCCACATCATCAATCTTTTGGCGTTGAGGCAACGGACAGCTTAGAAGTCGATGCTATCGAAGTTCTTTGCACGGGCGATTTGGTAGATACAGGGAATTACTTGAATTGATTGCTATTTTGGGCAAAGGGAAGACGTCGCAAGCAAATTGACACAGCGATGGTGCGATGAATAAGCGTTGGGTGACGGTAGTGAGATTGCGGTTATCAACGGCCGGGAGGCGGGCGGCATGAGCCAACAACAAGGCAATTTCATGCTCGATTCAGCTACTATGCCTCACCACAGCACCATTTATGATTGTCTTTTGCCAAGTCTTTAAACGTCTGATAGTCAATCCTTTGATCTAACTATGGGTATTGTGGAAAATCCCGATCGTCCTTGGCAATTGTGCACTTCAATGCCGTTAAACCTTGAGTACGTGCCATTTCCTTTTCCAGTAACTTTTCTCCGAGCGCAAAGTCTAAAAGTGTCTTTTTCGACTCAAGTTTCGCTGCTGCCTTACACAGCGTCACCGAGATGGTAAGCTCCCAACCTTTAATCAAACCACCTGATATCGAGATAAACCTTAGTACAGAAGTAGTGTAGTCGCGCCAAATGAATGTGATTATTTTCGTGAAATCGTGTAAAGATCGTAACTAGATGCACCTATATCCGCCGCTTATATAATGCTGGTCATACTCATTTCCTCATATCCTACGACAAGACATATCCCCCAGTATCTTCAGTGACATGCTGCTTAGAATCCTCCGTTGGGGCAGTAAGCAACGCCACCATCACTGGGCCAGCCGCAGCAAGATCCGTCTCCAGCTCCGGCACCAACCTGTTTAGCCGAAGGTTAGCAAGCCGATCTCCATGTCGAAGTTACCCGCAGTACGGGCGAAACCGTGAAGACTTACGCAAGAACCGACACCGCAGTCGTAGTTAACCAGGCCCCACATGCAGCTGGTTCCGTTGCAAACCTATTTTGGCATCTGTCAGTCTCATATTCTAATGCGAGCATCATGAGTTGGGATGAATGCATACACCCTTGGAAGCGTAGTTGCTAGGGCACTCCTTGCGCTTGAACAGCTGGGCAGGAGTTGCCGCGGCAGGTGAAGACTCGGGAGCCGGAGTGGGAGCGGCGGCGACGAGGGTGAGGGCCGAAGCAATGGCGAAGATGGTAGAGAACTGCATTTTGACTGAGTTGAGAAGATGCTGTTGCGTGGGTAAGTGTGTGATGGGAGCTTTGGGTTGAATGAAGCTGTGATTATGATGATGAGGTTTGAGTGAGAATACTGGATGGTATACGGAGTATTCAGTAGTTTATATAGATTTTCAAGCAAGTTGCCAGCAGGCGTTATTCGCATCAGACCCATCATTATCTTGTGGCCGAGCCGTGTAAGTCTATTCTCCACCAGTCTCTCTAACCGCACTGCTGCGTGTACAATTGCCCGACTTCTGTTTCTATTGTGGATCTGTCTATTGTCAGACTGGCTTGATGTGCCCCAGTGCTGACTGCGACTGTCGATCTTGCGAGCACGGGTCAGCGTTGATGGTACGATTTCCTGAAAATGGACACCATGTTCAACAGGTACTGGAGCCGTTGTTGCCTTCTCGGATAGACCTGATTGGTCACAGAGGGTCACCTAGTCTCGGCCTTATGGTTGTAGCTCAGAGGCCCATCCTTCCGTCAGACAATGTATTGGACTGACAAGTTTACGTCTACAGGGTCTATCGTCAAAAGCCCAGTCCGAGTCTCCATCATCACCTCCACAACAAGTCGGAAGGGTCGTCCCGTTCGGAAAGATTTGAGTCAGGCTTAGCGCAATTCAGCGAAGATCGCCGTAGGGCTGCCGGCATTCGATCCTACGATCCACCGCTCCACGGGCACCAACCACTTTCCATTGGTAAGGCCTGGGGAACGTAACTGCCATGTCCTTTTGCTAGTATTGCAACATTGTCAAGGCTCAGCTGCCTGTGCCCCGTCAAAGGAAGGATCCAGTTGCGGTGCCCCCATAAGCTTACTGCAGGCCGTGAAAACACTCCGAAATGGGACTTTCGTCGTAGAAGTCTTGGTATAGCACTTCCGCATCCGGCTTGTCTTCATTCCATTCGTGGAGAGTTGGACCCAATTCGGATTCTCGTGTTTGTGTTGAAGTTGAGGTGGTGTCGACGAGTTGACTTCATGCACTGCCATCCGATGTGATGGAGAAGTTGTCCGTCGTGATCCCTCTCGCAATGTTTGCAGTGCTATTTTAGATCGAACTTCTATTCGAACCGTGATCCCTAACAGTAAATCAATCTATCTAAGCAGGCATTGCATCCTCCTCAGATGAGGGTTCACATCAATCCCAACGTGAATCAGTGGACAACAAATCACGGATGCCTGGCTGCGAATGTCGATCAGTTCGCATCCCTCAAACCCTGCTGGGCCTCGGCCGGCCTCATCTCGGTACCCAAATACCGACTTCAAAATGGAAGCGAAAGACAGCGATGTACTTTCCTGAGTCGCAACCTCGCAGCAAAAGGACTTCACATCGTCGGCCGACGCAGGGCGAGTCCGACTTGTCGGGGTGGGCGGCCGGGACATACTACGCGGATTTTGCGGTGTGCCAACGCAGAAGTTTCCATCTCTCCCCATAATTCGCAGCCGTCAGTGCGAGGGAGGGCCCCCCGGTAGTTGGACGAAAGAGGCTGCTGATCGTCGCTGTCTGTGATATTGATCCACGTAGGTTCCACCTCTCATGGCAGTGTGACGGCCGACGAGCGAGACGACGAAGGAGCCCCGGTGGCGCCCGGGCAAACAATATTGAGAACTGATTTGGCTATGGGAAGATTTGCCGTATGGTTTTGTGGAGGTTGGCTCTCGGCAAGGCTCAATCCTTTGAAAATGTGCGGCGGCTGAGAGGCTTATGGGATACGCAAGGTCGAAGGTTATTGCCAGCGGGACGTGAATTACGGTTTCTTCACTTTGCTCTGTTCTGCAGTGCTGCAAGTAAAATGCGTTCATTCTGTGTGGTTTCTAACAGAATAGAGGACCAGCATCTCAGGTAGACTCTCGGCGCGGTCGTTGACGTAGACAACTGCATCAGGAGAAAATATTGCTGAAGTCTTGCGGTGGATTTAATTTTGATAAAATTCAAATCAGACTATGACATGTTATCATACCAAACCAAATCATACCGCTTATCAGTCTTGAACCATCTTGTCATGCAACTGGACTGAGCACTGACCGATATGCTTTTGCTGCCTTTTGCCCTTCTGTGGAAGTCCCTGCTGAGTGGGCTCGAAACCTCCTCAGCAAGCCATCCATTTATTTCTTTATCAATATTTTGAGGTTATTCGCACATCCTTGGGAAGCCCTCTTGGCTTCAATCCTTCCACTTCGTCTCGAACACACATCCCGTGGCAAACCTTCTCGTATAAGCGCATGCACAAATCCAAAGCCAAACATGAATATTGTATGAATATACGAATGTTGTATGAATATCGTATGAATATTGTATGAATATTGCTCCAAGGCGCAAAAACGCAAGGTCTAATACCCAACGGATTCAACAGCCACAAACGATCAAGGTGATGAGAAAGCCACCACCACATGCCCTGGCACGATACCCGGGCGTACAAAAGGCACACAACACTCCCAACCTTTCGCCCCTCTCCGCTCTTTTTGGTGTTCTTTCAACTAACCCTAAAGGTCCCGACACAGCCTTGAATCAACCCAGACACCTTCATCATGAAGGTCACCACCGTCTTACTCGCGGCCGTCGTCGTCCTCTCCGGTGTCGACGCCCTCGGCAAGGGCGGCAAGGGTCGCAAGGACGGATATTACAGAGGCGGAATAGATATGGGCCAGAAGAAGGATCGCGAAGCTCGCAAGACGGAATGTCCCAAGTCTATCGGCTCTAGGGGCGTAAGTTGAGATTACGTTTTCTTGCTCATTCGCGTTTCGTTTTCCTGCTTCCGGCGTCTTCTGTCTCTCACTGTCTCTCCATCTTTATTTGCACACAGCTATCCCCTTCCTCGTGAACTCATTCCTCCCCCTCCTTGCCTGTCCACCTTTAGCCACGTCCTATCAAAAGCCTCACGCTACAACCCGATAAGCAGAAGCGAACGAAACGTCACTAATAACCCACAGAGATGCAACGGTTACTCCTGCCGCGTGAGGGGCGCCAACTACCCCTGCGTCTTCGGCAAATGCGTAAGCCTTGCCACGGTTCCTCCCCTTCCACCCTCTCATCTCTAACCACCTCCAACAGGTCGGCGACGGCGGCCGCGACGGCGCCTGCTGCGGCATGCTACCTTTCGGCGTCCACGCGCGCTGCCCCAACGGGCTCACCGGCGAGAAAGAGCTGATCAACGGCACGATGGTGCCCGAGGACCGCGGCGGCTGGGGCTGGTGGGGCCACCCCGCGCTTCCCATCGAGGACTGGTACACCAAGTGGGAGTGCACGGCCATCGGGCCCGACTTGAGCAAGATGAAGGGCATGATGGGCGGCAGCGCCGCCGCCATGACGCTTGCGGAGCACTTCGAGGAGTTGCTCGAGCACGACTACAGCGCGGAGGCGATGGCCGCCGCTGCGAAGGATCCCGAGGCTGCCGCTGCCGCTACGGCTGCTGTGCAGGACGCGGAAGATGTGGAGGAGGAGGAGGAGGAGGAGGAGGAGGGGGATGCTGCGATCCAAAACGCCGAGGCCGAGGCCGGCGGCCCTCCCAAGGACAAGAAGGCTCCAAAGGGCAAGAAGCCTCCCAAGGGCAAAAAGCCTCCCAAGGGCAAGAAGCCCGATTCCCAAGACGGCCCCCCTCTCTCTGAGGACGATCGAAAAAGAGCAAGGTGCGGTAAGCATCTTCAAACCATTCCGAACCTTCGACCCAAGCTGCAGTTCTAGAGAGCTAGGGTTTCTGCTCCTCGCCATGTTGTCTCCCTGGGGTCTTCCCAAGAGTGGACAACGCCTTTTCATGGGGGAGAGAATCTGAAGACAGAGGGTTGGAACTTTGGGTTCAGTGCGACGGATTGAAACAGGGGGTCCACTTCATATTCCTCTCTGCAACAGCATCGTACGGTCTGGTTGTCAGCTGAGTACAGGACTCGTGCAACAGTCTTTCATTGTTTGTTTGGCAGCTGAGTCGCTGGGTGGAGGACGAGTGCCTGGGCGAGAATGTTTCTGTTGGCGTTATGGAATTGTGGTCTAAAAGGGGAGAGAGTCTTGGTCGGAACTTTGGGTTCATTGCGACGGATTGGAATACGGGCGTCATCACATCAAGCAACTGGATTACATGTGTTTTCCAGTTGAGTCCCTGAATGGCTGACTTTTGTCACACCATACCATACTCAATCGACAATTTGTCAGTTGCGACCCGGCGGATGGATGACTTTGTTTAGTGGCATTTAATGGAATTATCCCGGATTTGCACAGCTTGATTTGCCTTGTGATCTTGGATTTGGTGTTGTATCTACAGGCATGGAATGGGGACGCTCAGATGTCGGCCGTATACCGGTCGTTTGTGGCGTCTTTGGTTTTTTTCCTTTGACCAGTATTGATCTTCAATTTTTCCATCTCTGTAAATCGACCATGCTGGCCAACTAAAGTTTCACTATGTTGAAGTATGCCTTTTTCACTTACATTTTGACTCAATTTGAATTAATGTTTACAACCTTTTCAATCCGTTACACTAGTCAGACAACAATTCAACCCACATGCCCAAACTTAGTTGAAGTACGCAAGGAGTCCTCTCTCGACAGCGGCGCCAACAACACCAGCACCGGCGACGATCCACACCCACTTGTTGTTCGCCTCCTTGACGGCCGGCCAGAAGCTGTTCTTCTCGGCCCGGTACTCCCGCAGCTGCTGCAGCTTGACGGGGCTCGTCTTGGCGTACCGCTCCTCCTGGCTCGCCTCATTCTCCTTGTCGCCGCCGAGGTAGCGGAGGATGATGTAGTTGAGGATCGGGCCGAGCACGGCCAGCGGGTGGAGCATGCCGGCGCTGTAGAGCAGGACGGGGAAGGACAGGTGGCAGAGGGCGTCGCCGAGGTAGCTGTATGAGGTCAGTACCTTTATTTGACATGATATAGTAGGAAAGGAAAAGGTGTCACTTACTTGGGGTGGCGAACGATGCTCCAAACACCCTCGCGGTTCAACTCCTTGCTCTTCCTCGAGTGCGCCTCAAGCTGCGTATCCGCAAGCGTCTCAAGCGCAAAACCAGTAGTAAACAGGAACACAGCCAAGCTGTGGAACGTCTCAGGGAAGTCGGTAATCAGCGACGCGCGCGCACTCGCCAGCGGTGCCTGGAAGGGCAGCGTGAACGGCAGCGCAATCAAAGCCTGGAAGGCAGCCTCGGGCAGGAACATGGTGAAGAATGCGCGGTCCCAGAACTTGGGGTCCTGCTGCTTGGCGGTCACGTAGCGGTCGTCGTCCCGGCCGCGCTTGATGCTGCGCGTCGCGATGCGGTACAGCAGGCGCCCGCCCCAGACGCTGACGCCCGTGAGGAGCAGCTTCTGCGTGTAGCCGAGCGAGTCCCATGCCGAGGGCAGCGAGAGGCCATCGTAGACGACGCGGGTGCCGACGGCGGTCCACCATGCGTTGGCGACCTGGCCCGTTGGCCAGAGGAAGTCCTTGGCGTCAGCGCGGTCGGTATACCGCGCGACGGCGTACGTGACGGTGCTCAGGCCGGCGTGCAGCCCGAAGGAGGGGAGGAGGGCATTCTGGAGGAGGCCGAGGGTTGTTGTGGTGGCGCTGTTAACGGGGTTGCTCGGGTGCAGGTTGAAGTGTGTGCCGTAGCGGTCTTGTTCCGCGCCGGACACTCGAGGGAGACGGCGGGAGATGCCCTCAGCGGAGGGGGCTTTGCCGCCGAAGTGGCCTCCGAAGCGGTCCTGTTCTGCGCCCGAGACTTGGGGCATGGCGTTCTTCACCTCGGAGGCGGAGGGGAGCTTGTCCCCTCCGAACCAGCCCCCGAAGCGGTCTTGCTCAGCGCCGGAGGTCTTGGGCAGGTTCCGCTCCACCTTGTCCGCGACTTGCTCGCCCTTGCCACCCCACCACCTCTCATAGCGGTCCTGCTCGGCCCCAGAGACGTGAGGGAGGCGGTCTCCGAGCTTCTCCATGGAGGGAAGCTTGTCGCCGCCGAACCAGCGGTTGTACCTTTCCTGCTCGGCGCCCGAGACGTGCGGCAGCCTCTCGCCCAGCTTTTCCATGGAGGGGAGCCTGTCGCCGCCAAAGTGGGAGTTGTAGCGGTCCTGCTCAGCCCCGGAGACATGTGGCAGCTTCTCGCCCAGCTTCTCGAGGGACGGCAGCTTGTCGCCGCCGAACCAGCCAGCGTAGCGGTCCTGCTCAGCACCAGAGCCGCGGGGGAGGTGGTCCTTGACGGCGTCGGCGGCCTTGTCTGCCTTGTTGCCACCGAACCAGCCGCCGAAGCGGTCCTGCTCAGCGCCCGAGGCGGCGGGCATGCTTGGTGTTGGGATCTTGTCTGTGTTTACTCCCAGATGGGATTGGTAGCGGTCTTGTTCTGCCATTGTGCCTTCAGCGGAGCTCAATGGGCTTTGTCAGATTGATCGAACGATGATGAGGGAGGGGGAAGCTCGTGACAGAGGAGGTGTTATTTATTGGAAAGGGAGGATCAGATCGGAGCTCGGGTAGCTAGCTGTTCCCCTTCTGCTGTTAGTCCTTCCTCTGGTGGCATGTTTCCTTCCCTCGTCCGAGCACAGCTGGAAGCACCTGCAGCAGCTGCAGCAGCTGCAGTTGGACGCTGTAAGAATGACGTACATCCGCGGTAGGGCGTCAGGGCGATCCACCGCACCCTTGCAGCTGCGACGTCACCAGCCCCTGGGACGGGCATGTTGGCTGATTCTCTTCGTGTTCTGGACTTGTGTGTTTGGAACGGAGGCGATGAAGGTGGATTTATTCTTCAGTGACTGTCGGCTCAGATCAATCTCACATATCTCATTTCACTCGTCTTTGCAAGTGAACTGACTGAACATGACTGATGCTGTTGATGAAGCCCTTGCATCAACTTACAGCCGGCGACAGGGGCACTAAGAGAGAGTGCGGGGCTGGCGGGTGCGATGCAGATCCCCAAAAGGCGGGGGGAAGCACGGAACGAACGCTTGCGGCTAAAATGGACATGGTCTGGCCTGCATTCCTCTACGTGGCGTGGCATCGGGTGATCGATCAGCTTGGCTCGAACGCGATGGGCCAGTCCACCAAGTTACATGGTTTGACTGTTTTGCTTTACATTTACATTTTCAAAAGATGGTGTTGGTGGTTTTGAAGATGAAATGAAGAGATTCTGTTGCTAAACAGCTCATACAAGAAGGGATTACATGTATAGAACCCCCAGGGAACTCCAATCGTTCATACATCGTAAGAGCTTCGTCATCCCAATTTGACCCAAAACATCCGGGGCACCCACAAAAACACCAAAAACTCCAGAAATAGTCAAAAGAAACCCCCGTCATGCCCGCCGTGCCGGTCGTACTTCTTCCCATACGGCGACGGCGGCAGGTCCTGCGTCGGGGGAGGGAACATGGGCGAGGAGACGAGAGCCTTTGTCTTGCGCTGCTGCTGCTGCCCATCCGCCCCTCCACCTCCTCCCTCGCTGTACGCAGCTGATGAGTCTAACATCAGGTCGAACAGCGTCTCCTCGTCGTTCTCGTCGATGGAGACGGAAAGGTCTGGCGAGAACGAGAATGGCGCTACTAACCTCGCTGAGGGCCCATCCTCCTCCTCAACTTTGCTCTCCGGCCCCGTCGTTCCGGGTGCTGGCGGCCGTGAGGAGTCCGCTGACTGCAACGACGCCCTTGAGTACGAATTGATGAGCTCCTCGAGCATCCTGCAATTTCGGCAGAGGATGCCAATGCCCGAGTCGGAGAACCGGCAGCTCGAGTCGGTAGTGCGCGGCGCCGTACGCGTCGACGGGGCCGCGCTGAGCCGCGGGTCGCAGAAGACGTCCTCGTTAGGGCGCAGCGAAGGCCGCATGTTGCATTTGCTGCAACGTATATCCGTGTTATTCGAGTCGCGCAGGCCGCCTGCGCTGGTTGGGTTCGACTCCACGCCCGAGGAGTACTCCGCGTCCGAGGAGGTGCCTTTCGGGGATATGTTCCCCTCGGGGCCGGCGTCGGAGTGCTCCGTCAGGGCAGATATCCGCGGGAAAGGGATTGTGAGCGTGGCGGGGATGGGGAGGTTGGTGGTGCGAGGGGGGAGCTTGGCTTTGGGGGAGCCCTCGCTCAGGCTGCGGCGCTGGGTAGGGATATGTGGGCGGAGGACGGGGTCACGGGTGAAACTTCTGGTCTCGGTAAGGGGCGGGCGGCGATGATGCTCCAGAATATTCCTCACCCCCCCTGAGGACGCCGAGGAGAGCTTGCGCGGGCGGTTATTTGGTACATCCTGTGTCTGGGACGCGGAGCGGGAGCGGTTTGGTATTCGTGACGGGGGCTGAGTCCGGCAGGCGATGAATACACTTCGGAGATGGGCTTCGACGGCGAGGGAGAGGGAGCCGGTGATGACGGGGATCTGTGCTGACAAGAGGTCGCTGTTTGCCGATTGGGAGGCGAGGAACTTGAGGCGTTCTTCGAGGCTTGCCTTCAGGGTGGACATGTTGGCGCTGGTGAAGACTTCTTGTTCAACTTGGGGGAGCTCGATGGCGGGTAGGATGGCTGAGGTTGTTAGCGGCGGTTGTCTATCTGAAGGGCAGGCTTGACTTACCTGGACGAGGAACTGTCCTGTCATCTGGGAAAAGACACTTCCACAAGTCGTCCCACGATCCAATTTTGCCCGCCTCGACTCCTTCGGAAAGTGTCCTCGCCCTGCCGGCAGTGATGCCATCTTCAGGATCACTGCTGGGCGGAACAGCCTCCGAGCGGGGATCACACATCTGCTCCCTCGGGAGCATCAAATGCTCCTTGAAGGCATTCGGCTCAGGGAAACCCTTCTCGCATCGGGGGCAATGGAACAACTGGGAGTCGCTGGCGTGACGATGGTGTCTAGTGATGTGCTGCCTTTTGAGAGGTCAGTGAAGTCCTTACATTGGCCGCGACTGACTTACTGCAGATCCGAAAGGCTCTTCCACTGCCCTTGTGCGCAATGCCAGCTATCACTAACGTTGAAGCGTGCAGGGTTGCGCGTTCTGAACGGGCAAGGGAGCGCTGTCGTGGTGGCTTTTGCTTGTTGGACATCGACGACTGGCGCTGCTCTGGCCGGAGCATCTATCTTGACATCCCCTTCGTCCATATTTGGGGCTTCTCCCATACGCCGACTGTCGTTGTTCTGCTTCTGATTATGCCGAAGTCCCCATGCTTCCAGCGGCCATGGATGGATTGAATTGGAGGCTGGGGCTGGCGTCTCCTGTAAGATCTTGTCTGATGGGGGGTCCTCTTTTGGCGGCTTGCTGGGAGTCTCCGTCGTAGAAGCGTTGGCAATCCCATCCAGGCACTTGGACACGGCGTCCCAGACCTTCAGAGCGGCAGAAGATCTGTCGGCGCCGGTGCCAATGCCCTCATCTAGAATCATGGTTGAGATTCGAGAAACCAGGGTGCCACCAGCATCAGCCGCTGGACCATCAGATGGCAGAACGGGCAGCTTCTTGTTGATCTCCGGTACCGATACTTCCTTGCGAGGGGGAAACGGCTCGGACTGGCGATATACAGGAGGCGGCGGTGGCTTTGAGTCACGGTAGAATGATCCGAGTCTGTACATACATCAGTTGCCTGGCTCCCTTCTAGATGTATGGCGTGCTTACCTCGGGAACCCCTTCAGCCGCGACTTAGACGGCGTCGAGGGCGTGGGTGGAAGACTCCCACGCACCGCAACCCGCTGCTCCGGAGTCTCAGGAGCTTTGACGGGCATACTCTCCCTCGTTGGTGCCGTCACCTTTGACGAATCAGGGGAATCCTTTCGCTTCAGCAGGATCGAGTCTCTCAGGGGAAGCCGTCGACGCTTAGGCGACGTCAACTTCGACCGCGCCAGCCCAGGAGACGGCAACGGCGGCTCCACCGCTTCCTGAACAGGTTTGTTCTCCTGGCCATCCCGCTCCTTCTCGTCTCTCGCGCCATGCCGACTCGGCGACAGAATACGTAAGGTCATGACGGGGCTGCGGCACTCATACGGCTGTGTCGACGAGCTATACACACGGCCGGGCGAGCCGCTGGCGCGCCGGGGCAGCATCGAGGACGAGTTTGCGTTCGGGCGGGACTCGTCCTCCGGCGCGGTGTATCGTGAGCGGATCGGAGGTCTGTTGGTGGGCACCGGCGGGCGGTACTGCGTCTCGACCCTAGTTCTGCGGCCTGGCGTGCTGCTCCGCGGCTGTGGGGTGGGATTGCTGGCTGGAGTATCTGGACGAGCAGGGCGTTCGGGACGTTCAGGACGGCGGGGCGGTCTTGGTTGGGTCTGCCATAGCGGCGAGCTCACGCCGTGTTGTGTGTGCCAAAATGGAGAGGTCATCGTGTGGTTTGGCAGCCTGCTCGACTTACACGAGAATGGAGCTCAACGTCGATGGGGTAGGTTATCACAACGAAGGCACAACGAAGGCACAACGAAGGCGCAACGAAATCGAGTGAACGCCTCGAATAGACTTCAGGATCCAGTTAACTGAAGAGCCTTCGCGGCATGATGGCCTCGACCTCGGACGTGGGGGGTTTGAACACTCATATCTGCTTCTTTGTGGCCCTCTCCCAACATCTTTGTCCGTAGGGATGAGCAAAATCTTGAACAGTGTGCCCATCCACACCCATAGCCTGGTCGCTAGTCCATCGCTAGCCCGGTATCAGCAGATGCCCTTGGTGTGCGAGACGGCATCCCGAAACCTGACGAACACCCGTCGTATCCATTGGCCCGCGCCGGCAAGGGAGAAGCGAAGTTGGCAGTCCGCGCAGTTGCCAAGGGTCGTCGCGACTGAGACACGGTCTCACGCTCCAACGAGGGGCGGGTTCACCGTTTCTGGTGTGCTCGATTCACATCATTGGACAGACGGCGCATCTCTCCCTTCGGATCCCTTCGGCTGAGGTGGGCACACAATGCCGGAGGCTGGACTCCCTGGATGGCTGGTGGATGGTGATGGTGTGCAGGAGGGAGCCGGAGGATGGCTTTTTTTGACTGCGCTGACGATGACTGAATCTTGTTTGATTCAAATTTCTGAGGGAATCCGCATCTTCAGTGGGTGATCGGCGAGGAGCTGGTAGAACATCGGATCGAGTTATTGTCTGCCCGACCTCGACTAGGCACTGCCGAGAAGCAGGGAATCCGACACCGGATCCCTTGTCATCGGTCCATCAACCAGCACAAAGCTGGTGATATCTAGGTTGCATAAAAATAGAGTGACACCTCGTCTTGGCCGCTCCGATTTCGACTCGATGATTAGACATGATGCAGCTCATTGAGCATTCGGCATCACGATTTGTTTTTCTGAAGTTGTGATGGTGGTGTAGGAGCATCAACTGAAGGCCACCCAGCCGCTTCTGAAAAGGTTTGTGATGAATTGTGTCTAGAGATGAAACTCCTGGACGGCCATCTCTTGACATAATTTCGTTCAAGTCTCTCCGACTTGAACAAGCCAAGACCAAGGAGCATCACGATGTGATGAAGATGATGCAGGAGGATGAGTGTAAGCAGGCAGCTTGGCTTGCCGGGTGATAGCTGTGGGGGCCTTATCTTATCAGCCACCCAGCACGGTTCTCCAGCCAGGCACGTTCCTAATTTCCAGGAAATCAGGTCGCTGACCAGAAGATCAACACCTCCAGCTTCCCAACCTCACACGAGATTTCACAGCGCACAACGGCCAATTGCTCGACCACAGCCGTCCGCCAGCAGCCTGCTCAACCCCTCTTGCCTGTACCATCCGAACACGCGTCTCACGCATCCGCAGCCGACAACATCCACGCGCCGCGCCCGCAAGGCCCGCACCAACCGGCCCGGAAGCTCTCTCCAGCTCCTCGATCCCGCAACCCCCCTCCATCCTCACGAACAAATCACCACCCCGAACCCCCGCCATGGCAGACACATACACCGAAGGGCCCCCGCCGGCCCTCGCAGAAGTCAAGAAACCCAAAAAGAAGAAGGTCCTCCTCATGGGCAAGTCCGGCTCCGGCAAGTCCAGCATGCGCAGCATCATCTTCAGCAACTACATCGCCCGCGACACCCGCCGCCTCGGCGCCACGATCGACATCGACCTCTCCCACGTGAAATTCCTCGGCAACCTCACCCTCAACCTCTGGGACTGCGGCGGCCAGGAGGCCTTCATGGAGAACTACCTCTCCCAGCAGCGCGTCCACGTCTTCTCCAACGTCGGCGTCCTCATCTACGTCTTCGACATCGAGTCCCGCGACATCGACCGCGACCTCGCCACCTACGTCTCCATCATCTGCGCCCTCCTCCAGTTCTCCCCGCAAGCCAAGATCTACGTCCTCATCCACAAGATGGACCTCGTCGTCCCCGCACACCGCGAGTCCGTCTACGACGACCGCGTCCGCGTCGTCCGCCAGAAGACCGCCGAGTACGCAAACTCCATCGGCTACCTCTCCCACCAACAACAGCAGCAGCAGGCAGACGACAGCAACGACCCCAGCAGCCCCGTCCAGCAGCCGCCGCAGACGGGCGCCTTCGACATCACCCCCTTCGCGACCTCCATCTGGGACCAGTCCCTCTACAAGGCCTGGGCCAGCATCATCCACGACCTCGTGCCCAATCTCGCCACCATCGAGCGCAACCTCGCCAACCTCGGCGTCGCCATCGAGGCCGAGGAGCTGCTACTCTTCGAGCGCACATCCTTCCTCGCCGTCTCCTCCTGGACCTCCGAGGAGGGCCAGCGCAACCCCACAGAGGACCGCCTCGAGCGCATGTCCAACATCATGAAGCACTTCAAGCAGACCATCTCCCGCTTCACGGGGACCCCGCGCAACGCCGAGCAGTTCGTCCGCATGGAGCACAAAGCCGGCACCCGCTTCAACCTCTTCATCCTCAAGTTCACGACAAACACGTATCTGATGGTCGTCCTGCCGCCCGGCGAGGCGCGGTTCAACGCCGCCATGCTCAATTGCCAGATTGCCATTGAGCATTTTAAGTTTCTCGACGGGCCGGCGACGATGATGGCGCACAGCGGGGCGGCTGGGCCTGCGTGAGAGAGTGTGGCTGGGGTGGAGGGGAAAAGAGAGACATCACGCACTGTAGATCTGTTTTTTAATATTGTGTGACGCTGGGCAGCAGCCTCGTAGCTGCTGTGACGCATGGCAGGGATGATTAATGATACCATTTCAAGAGGGCGTTTGAAGGAACCACGACATTGTAGCATAGCATACACCAAAATCACATGTACATCACTTAAGTCATTGAAGATGTTCTTGAGTACTTCTATTTGTCGGGACGAATCTACATTCCACCCAGAGGCAAGAAGGCCTCGTACACCCTAGCCGCACCACCCATTGTGTGAAGGCTGGGCTGAAAAGAAATTCCAAACGCCGCCGTTACCCGCCATTTTTTAAAGACCTCGCTCAAGCCCACTTGACAACGGCGGTACCGCCCTTCTTGAACTCGGGCATCTCGCCCAGCACCAGACTGCGATCGGTGTGGTCTTTGTTGGGGAATGTCGTGGCCAGCACCCAAGATCTGGTGCGAGTGTCGGCGGAGGCGCGCTGGACAAACTCGTAGACGTCATTCACAGTGTTAGTGGTGTTGAATCGCGCGGGGAGTCTCGTGCCGTTGGGAAGCTGGATGCGGAGGGCCAGAGTTGGCTGAGACTCGTCGACGGTCGTCTGCGGGCCGGAAGAGGTGGTCGAGGCGGAAGCGGTGGTGGTCGAAGCTGCAGGGGCAGCGGCTGACGAGCTGCCTTCGCCTGGGACGGGGCTGCCGAGACGGCGACCCTCTCCGCCGAAGGGCTTGTACTTCTTGGGAAGGGGACGGTAGTTCTCCTGGTGCTGGTGGAGCTTCACGTCGACTGGCTGGTCGTAGCGCACGTTCATAAGGTGAAGGGGAGCTCGGCCGGCGCGAATCATGTTCAGGTCCATGGCGTTCTCCGGGTCGTCGAATCTGTGCAGCTCGCCGTCGTCGATGCTGAAGCCGTCCTGCCACAGGTGAAGAGTGCGCTCCTGGGGTTCGCCGGTCTGGCCCGGGGGGCCGCCAGAGCCCTCCTGGAAGGCATTCGGGTCGGGGATGCTGCGGCTCTCGGTGCCCTCACCGCCGAGGGTCTGGCCAGTGCCTCTGAAGGTGGAGCGGGAGGGTCCGGCCGGAGATGCTGTCTCGGGGCGGGAGGCGTTTCTATAAGTGTTAGTCGTGATCTCGGGGTGACTGTGGCCAGCACTTACGCCTTTGCCTTGGCGAGGATGTCACTGATGATCTTCTTGGCGCCACCTCCCTCCTGTTGAGAGGGATCCTGAACGGCCAAACCAGACTTTTCTCCTCCAGCGAACAGATCACCTCTACCTCTGTCGTCGTCATCCTCGTCGTCTTCATCGTCATCGTCGTCATGCGTGTGGCTGCCTCCAAGGGAGCTCAGGGTAGCGAGGCCCTTCTTCTTGGGTGCCTTGCTGGATGCAGCACCGCCGCGGGCAGCCTCAGGCGCAGGGCGGCCATCGAGGGTTCTGGGACCAGTGTATGCTTCTGCGGCAGGGGCGGGCTGGGATGACGATCCGGCAGCACGTTGAGGAGCATCGTCTTCAGAGTCGTGGTCCGCGTAGTAGGCCTGGGCGGCAAGGCCAATGTCCCAGTTTGCGACTTCGAGGTACTCTGTGCACTGAGGGGGGGTCAGCCAGGAACGCAAGCAACGAATGACGGGATCGCATGGAACAGGCAAACACGTACGCGAGCCTCGGGGAGGCCAGTCAGGCTGGTGAAGTCGCGGAGGATGTTATTGCGCGAAGCGCTGTTGCTGCCGGACATGGTGATGGCGGTTCTGTAGGTGGACGGTGGGGAAGAGAGAAGGAGGATTGCAATGAGTGACGAAGCGATGCAATTGTCGCTGCTGAGATTTATGTGTTGCAGCGAATGTCTTATCCGGAAAGAGGTGAATGAAGGTGTGTGTCACTTCAAGGTTGCGTCCTCCCAAGGTTCAGGCAAAAGGAAGTGATCACCTTCGCGTGGTGGTGAATGGTGTTGGTGATGAACGGACTAGAGCAGGCAGCTTAGTGGTCGTAACTGCCTGAGTTAGAGCTTGCTGCTTCCGTTCCTGTACCTCTCTAGCACGTTCCCTGTGACGTGGGATGTAGCCACCCAGGCCACCCAGGTGCACCTTCCAGAACCCCACCACAGCACCTTCCGCAATGTGAAGTGCATCCGGATCAGATATCCACCGGACCCCGCGCTTATCTAATCTGGATCCATGGATCCCGTCTTGTCCCGCCTTGGAGAGCTCAGGCACCTCAGCTAGCTGTGGGGATTTCCCGAAGTGAAGCCGGAGCTGTCCATCCTCGTCACAGCACCTCGCCCAGGGCCGAGACTCGGTAAACGTGCCTCGCTCGCCGTCGTTGGATCTACTCTGCGGTCACCAAGTAGCTCCCCAACAACCCGCCTCAACCATCACCCTCCCATCCGATACGAAATCCCCCCCGTCGATGATGGCTTCCCACGACGACTCGCTCCACCCCCTGGCTGAGTCTGGCGTCACGATCCGCTCCGACAGCGAGCAGTACTCCCAGGCCGAGACCCCGTCCCCCCCGTCGTCGAACTCGCCGATCATCCTCTACAAGCCGCCTACCTTCTGGGGTCTGGTCCGCGGCGCCGCTATCAACCTGTTGCTGCCCTTCATCAACGGCATGATGCTGGGATTTGGAGAGTTGTTTGCCCACGAGGCAGCCTTCAGGCTAGGATGGGGCGGTACCAAGGTATGGAGAGACTGGGCGATACGCTTTTGCTGCTGCTTGCGAGGACTTGCGCACGATGCAGTTCTGGAAAAGGCGATGTGGAAAGGACACAGTAGCTAACACTCCGCAGGTTTTCCCCATGTCCAGGAGGAGAGCCCACCCCATTGGCCCTGGCCTGGAGGTCCGCGACAAGCGCCGCGCCCCATCCCCAGGTCTCGAGGACCTGACGAGCCTGGAATGACTAGGCGGATGGGAATGAGGGCTTAGGCGCACCGACGACGTCCTGCTGGTGATGCTTCAGAAGTATTACTGTTGTGACATCGTCTCTCATTGAGGATGGCAATGCTGTCCGGCAGACAGGATATGCAGCAAAATGGACTAAAACTTGGAAGGAATGGTGTCTGGCAGAGAATAGACACAGATCATGCATCGGCGTACGGAAGATGGAGGGTGTACAAACAAGACCCCTAGACAGGCGGCGCGGACCGGGTGAAAGGGACGAGTCCAAGAATATTGAATCGTACATACATGACGGTAGAACCAAAAACGAAACGAACCAATTATTCCCTCTTGTCTTCCGAATCTCCAGAAACAACAGCGTGCAGTTCACGAAAGCAACGAATCAGTTCCCTGTCATCCCTCATATCAAATGCTGACCTCCACCAGCCCGCCCCAGGCCCCGGGAGACGGAGCCGGGAAGCTTGGGCCACCCACCCGACGTTTTCCCGGCGCGTATGCGGTCCCCAAAAATTTCCAGCACCCGCGCATCTGTCGATAGCGACATTCTTCAATTCCCACCCACCACACCCCTCTCCTCACAATCGTCCACCATGCTGCCCAGCAGAGGCGTCCTCCGATCCCTCCCCTCGGCGAGGGCGACCAGCAGCATATCCAGCCAAGCCGTACGCACCTCCCTCCTCCTCAATTGACGGAACGCTGCTCCCCGCCATTGCATCCCAAAAAAGTCAAGGGCTAACTCAATAGCCAGATCTCTAGGTCACACAGACGACTCGGCGATGGACGTAACTTCAGCTCCCTGCGCACCACCGCCAGCGGCGCTGCCCCCTGGGCCGGCTTGAGGTCCTCAAGCGGCAGACTCGCCGGCACCGTGGCCATCGGCGGCGCCCTCCAGACCCGACGAGCCATCTCCCTCTGGGGCAAATCCGAGCCCGCACCCCAACAACCAGCCCAAATCCAGACACCACCGGCACCCTCACCACCCGTCCAGCCCGCCGCCGAAACCGCCGCCGCCGCCGAGCCCGTCTCCATCCCCGCTGAGCCGTCAACCCTCGTCGACCCGACGGCCTCCTCCCTCCCCTCCATCGACGCCGCCACCCTCCTCGACCTCCCCGAGCAGATCGGCTACCTCAAGACCCTCGGCCTCGACTTCGGCTGGGGCCCCTCCTCCGTGATGCAGTGGGCCCTCGAGCACGTCCACGTCTACTCCGGCCTGCCCTGGATCGGCTCCATCACCGTCACCGCCGTCCTCCTCCGCCTCCTCCTCCTCAAGCCCCTCCTCAAGGCCCAGGAGACCTCCGCTAAGCTCCAGCTCGTCCAGCAGAACCCGCAGTACGAGGCGCTGAAGAAGGCCTCCGTCGAGGCCCTCAGCATGGGCGACACGGCACGCACGCAGGAGCTCCGCCGCGACCTCGCCACGATGAACAAGCGCGCCGGCGTCAACCCCTTCAACGCCGCCTGGGGCTTCCTCCAGATCCCCTTCGGCTACGGCATGTTCCGCGTCCTCAATGGCGCCTCCAGCATCCCCGTCCCCGGCTTCGAGAACGGCGGCTTCGGCTGGATCACAGACCTCTCCGTCCCCGACCCGCTGTACATCCTCCCCATCCTCGGCCCCATTTCCATGTTCGCCATGATGAAGGTAAGAGCCCCTGTTCCTCCCCTCACGCCGCAACTCAAACTAATAAACCACCCAAAGACCGCCGGCGCAAACGCCTCCCCGCAACAAAAGGCCCAACAAAAGATCCTCATGTGGGTCATCGGCCCCATCTCCGTCGTCGTCACCCTGTACCTCCCCGCCGCCGTCCAGTGGTACTTCTTCGTCTCCGGCCTCATCGGCGTCGTCCAGAACTACACCCTCACCCGCCCCGCCATCCGCCGCGCCCTCGGCCTCCCCGTCGTCGGGCCCTCGGGCGGCCGCAGATACAACGGCGGCAGCATCTCCACCACCGCTACCTACCAGGCGCCCTCCCCGCGCCCGGGCTCCGAGGACGGCTCCATCAAGGGCGTCGTGTCCAGCATCCAGCAGACGATCCACAACGCAAGGGGCGGCGCGGGCGACTACCTCGAGGCCCAGGAGAAGAAGGCCGCCGCCAAGGAGGCTGCGGCGCGGGCGGCGCTGCTGAAGAAGGCGCAGAGAGAGGAGATGTACGGCCGACGGAGGTAGAGAGGTTTTGTGTGGATGAACGGGTTTGAGAAAGCGCGGTGTGTTTGTTCATGAACAGTGTACATCTAGATCGTTCCCGGGGTTGGGCACGTAGATCCCCCATGAAAGTGAAGGTGGGGAAGCTGAGGGGAGGTTGAGAAGAGAGATACTGTACCATATGGGAGAGGCTGTGTGTGTCCGTCTGGATACCATGTAACCTTGCATCAAGGGATAATAGAAGAATCACTCCCCTGAAGCTTTTACGCAAATTTGTTATGATGCTGTGTGGCTCAATGAGATGTGTCCTGTAAGCCGCCAACCTTGAGCACTGTCGGGGCTTCCTTCGTGAATGCGAGCTTTGAGATGTGATGAGTGAGACCAACTTTCCTAGCCATTAAAAACCACAACGCCGGCCATCTCGACATCTCTCCCGATACGTTGTGGACATTCTCACCACGCGTCTGGGTTCGTCAGCATAATGCACATGACCTTAGCAGCAGCCTTTAAATACCTCACACTGAAACACCTCTTTAGATCTGTGAATTCTCGCCATAAAAAAGTGCCATCACCCGCCAACCCTCTCCCACTTTTCCACCTCGACATGACCTCTACCCGGCACATTTTGGAGGGGTTGCAACCTCATACCTCCCACGCCGATCCTGACCGAAAAGAAAACCTCTTCTTGAGGGCAGAGAAGCCGGCATGTCCAAAATGACAGTTGCGGCTTGCCTCACCCATCATTTGGGAAAGCCCCAGACCCTCCACGAAGTCTTGAAACTACATAGAACACAGCAGTCAATAAGCCATGACATGCCATAAAGACAAGCAAGGCCATACTCCAACGCAGAGTCGGCCAATCTCAAGTTCATATTGATAGGCTTTGGATATACCCAAACATGTGGTTGTCCATGGGTACCCACGGGTTTGTAGTTGGATCATGGGTAATGGGTAATGGGTAATGGGTAGTCCCCACTTGGGTATCCATGGGTATCGTGAAGTCCAAAGTCCATATCCCCCAAAGTTTGCAATTCATGCGCCTGATCCAGTAAACCTTCTCCCTCCTCTGACTCGTTCAGAAGCCTACATAAGTAAGAGCGAGTAGAAAGAAGACCTTGAGCAACCATGCATCCATCCACTACTTCAGGGTAACGTAGTGCTCTGGTACACACCACAGATTGTTTCATAACGCAAGTATTATTCTCCATTGTGGCACAACGAAATGAACAAACATTCCTTCAAAGAATTTCACCTTTTGAAGCTGGAGGATTTCAGATGAAATTTATGTCAAGTTTGTCTCTAGGCTACAACCGAAACAAGTTGTTGCAAATACAACAATGGAAAATCGTATCTCAAGAACCTGTGATGAAAACGCCTCCCGACAGTTCAAAAAACCTTATCTTTAGATAGAGCATTCAATCCTAAAACTTATCCTATTCATCGTCTCAAAGCACTCTACACTGTCCGACTTCAACAGAAACCACCCGTCGCGGTCCCGCAGGCTCGGACCCATATTTCTCGGCGCCGATAGGTACCCGCATGGGTCTCCCAACTCCACAACGCCGGCTAAAAATTCTGCACCACCCGCCCGAAGACCTTCTGAGACACACACAACACGACTCAATTCAACAATCACTGGTTTCGTGGTGTAGTTGGTTATCACGTCAGTCTAACACACTGAAGGTCTCCGGTTCAAGTCCGGGCGAAATCATCCTTTGGGCGAATGGTTTAGTGGTATAATACTCGCTTAGCATGTGAGTGGTCC